TATGGATCCCAACATGGACTACGACTTCTGGATGTTCCCCTTCCCCCTGTAGAAGGTTTTGCACCTATTCTGTGTTGTCTTCAACTCTGGCACCAGGGAGGCAACATACCATGCGAGAGTCACATCTTTCGTTGCAGAAATGCCTTTCTACTCTTTTCACCATTGTGTCCCCAATGGCAATTGCATTCACACTCTTCCCTGTGTCCCCCTGTGCATCCATTTGCTTTTGACTCCCCTCCCCAGAGGTGTCATCACCCTGATCGGTATTCAGTGTAGAGAACCGGTTGTGAGTGCCACACTCTCGGGATTTCTGCACTGCCCATCCCCTCTTCCTACCATGCTAGGTGGTCACCCACTCATTCTCCTTGTGAACCCTCTGTAGCTGTGGGGTGACCACCTCCTGAAATGTTCAATCCATGAACTTTTCAGCCGCCCATATGCTATGAAGTGACATCAGCCTCTCCTCAAGCTCAGAAACTCTGAGCTCGAGCATCTAACATAACATGTAGGAGCAGGAGTAGGACCTTTGAGCCTTCCCTGCCATTCAATCATGGCTGATCTTCTAATCTACCTCCAGCTAATAACCTAACCCTGCCTTATCCCCATATCCCTTAATCCCTTTTGCAATAAGGAGGTACTTTCTGTCTATCCAGAGCACACAAAGCATCCTGGAGTTCCCACATGGCACACATTGTGCATGCAACCGATCTCAGCTGCCCTGACATATTCCCAGACATGTTTTATATTATTTTAATAACTATTATATATTTCATAATAATGCACCTCTTTCCCCCTCTACACCAAATTCCCACTCTCACCAAATTCCTCAATTTTATAGAACTCTCACTCTGTTCCACCTCACTCAGTTCCCTCCTTATGCTGCTGGGCTCTCCTATTAGTTCTATAAAATTAAACCTCAAACTTGCTGAAGTCAAATCTTTATAAATTTGTAAAATGTGCAGTTGCTTTGGAGGTATGTTTTTATTGTTTCTTTAATGGATTCACACAAATTTCTTAAAACATTTTTTATTGCATTCATTTATTCAGTGGTAAGGTTTAAATGAAAGGCCAGTCAGCAGAGCCGCGTATAGCACATGGTTAATGTTCTTCCCTTTTATGTGGGCAGAATTCCAATCAAGCACAAAAGATAGATAAAAATCTCTTTTTGGTGGACACTATTGAAGATGATAAATTATTTGAGCTTTGTGGCAGTCATATCCCTCTTTCTAAGTGGAACAACTGTGACAATATGTACTTGTAATGGGATTTTGTCATTATAAAACATACATCATCAAAGTTGTTAGTTGCTGCACTTGGTGGCAAGAGGAATTTCTCATCCTATATATCTCCATTCAGTCTTCAGAGAGTCTGGATTTGAGCTAGGAAACTGCCAAGAAATTTGTACATCAGATTACGGAAAACTGAAGTCCTATGATTCAACAATCTAGCACTGATGGGAATTAACTAGCAAATTGTACTCAAAGAGTACACATTGAGAGATGATGTCTGAATTGGCTATTTCAAACTGGTGCAGTTTGTTAGAGTTGAGGCATGTAGAGAGAGTTTTACATTACGATTGTTGTTGTAGTTTGTGTGCTGGAAGTCCTGAAGGCAAACCTATGGATGGTCGTCTGATCTTGGTGTGCAGTTACGTTCTTGGCTGGCCGCAAAACACACAGTCATCATGTGACGCTCAGCCCGGGAAGTAGTTATTGTTCTACAATTGGCCTGTGTTAGGTGTAGTGGAGGAGGTCATAGAATCAGCTAGGGTTCCCTCTCCTGATTTCTGCCCGGAGACCCCTATTAGAAAGTGCGTACATATCACGTGAAGAATGGTCACTCGAAGTGAGGTCTTGGAAGCTTGACCAGTGCCACCAGGAGAGTGGAGAAAATTGATTAAAAAGTAATTGAGAGATTCGATCTGATTTCTCTGGATGTTTTGCAGTAATTTTCCACGTAGTAGTAATTCTGGCACAAATCTAGTGGCAGCTGCTCCCTTTAACGACAATATTTGCTGCCTCCATTTTGCCCAGCTCCTCTTTCCAGTTACTGATAACCAAGGATAACCGATTACTAATTATCGCTAGAAAATTGTCAAAATATTTGCCCAAAATGTCAGGGAAATTTGATAAATTTTGCGTAACATTGTGGAATGATTTGACGCTAGCACAGACCCAAGGGGCCGATTGGTTCGTTTCCACCCCGCACTACATTTGTAGCCAGTGTCCACTGCCTCTCCCCTCACGCATTCATTACATCTAGGCTATACTACGCCAACTCCCTGCTTGTTGGCCTTCCCAACTCTTTCCTTCACAAGCTGCAGATCATCCAGAACTCTGCAGCTCATGTCCTTTCCTGCACCAGGCTCCATGACCCTATCACCCCTACCCTCACCTGGCTCCACTGGCTCCCAATCCCCCAGAGCATAGAGTTCAAAATCCTCATCCTCGTCGTCAAGGCCCTCCATGGTCTTGCTCCTTCCTATCTCTGTGACCTGCTAACCCCATATAAACCTGTCCACTCCCTCCGCTCAGCAGACTGTGGCCTGCTCCACATCCCCTGCCCGTCCCGCCTCACCATCGGCCCTTCGGCCTCTCTAGCCCCATCTTTTGGAACTCCGTCCCACATACCCTTCACCTTGCTCCCTCCCTTGCCTCCTTCAAGGCCTGTCTCAAGACCCGATTCTTTGACCGCGCTTTGGTCACTTTCCCTGCCCTCCACCCCTCCTGATCCCAATCCCCAGCTTGCGTCCAATCCCTAACTGTCTAGCGCTTTTGGACGTGAAAGGCGCTATACAAATGTAATTTGCTGTTGTTGTTTGATGTCCACCTGAACAGGCAGATGGGACCTTTAATGTCTCATCCAGCTCTTCCCAGCACTGGACTGGATTATCAGCCTAGACTATTAGCTTTGGAGTCCCAACATGGGGCTTTAATACCCAACCTTCTGACTCAGAGATGAGAGTGCTAGCAGCAGAGCCACGCTGACACCTTACCTTTTGTGATCAGTAAGTGAACCCTGTCTATGGCCACGTGAGTCTCAGATCTAGACAACCAGTTCTCTCAGTCTGTGGCATTCTGTCATAAGTACCTTCACAAGTTTGTTCCTTGGTTAAACATTGGCACACATTGCTTGGTGGAACAGAGGTGTACATTGATCAGCGGCATCTACTTACGTCCAGATTGTAGAACAATGCTACTTCTGGTGCAGGAACAATTCTAAGTCAGCCAGTGCTAAGATTATCCCAGTAACCAATAAGGACTTGCCTTTTGTCTGTTTATGGACCGTGGAAGATTCACCTGCTAAAATATTTCACAAGATCACACATGCTAAAATATAACCAGTTGAAATCTAAGAAGCACTTTTAAAAACAAAACAAAGTTATTATTGCATATTATTTTCTGTCTGTCTGTTCTGGTCTTTCTGTGTCAAGCTCTGCCTCTAGGTTCTATAGTTAAAGGGAGCCACAATGCTTCCGAATACCACTGTCCATTCCCAAGAAGAAATGGCCCCCAAAGGCTTCCGAGTCACTTCTGCTTTGGAACTGAAATGGTACTTCAGACCAGTGGGACCCACTTCTTGGCTGAGAAAGCAGGCATGTAAACTGCAGGAATGGCTATGCCAGTGCTAATCCATACGTTGCCACTCCAAAGCATGCAGGAGCTCTGCAGCCCTCTGACTGGTTGTCACCATAGTGGTACATGATTCTGTGCCAGTATTCTCCTAGTGTGAGGAACCTGCTTCTTGTCACATTGTGCATAGCATCTTGCATCTAGCTGCAAAGCGCCAGGTCACGCAACCAGCACCAAACAGCAAATATTTCCAATATTTGGAATATATCTTTTCAGGTACTGTAAGTTGTACACAACGTAAAGTATATCACACACATTGCTTTCTCTTTTGCAGGACTACCTCTACTGCTCCCTATTTAACAGCATAATCACACAGAGGAAAGAGGGAGCAAACAAAACTCACAGTGCATGTGGGAACTCTGGAGCCGGATTCTCAACCTTATAGGGAGTCTACAACCTGCAGCAAGTCATGGTGATGGCACTGAGACGCAAAGTGGAAACATAACCAGGATGTTTGGACTGTTTCTCTAAATTGCCAGCAAATTGTTGAACTGTGTGATCATTCCCGTGTGTTGCAATACCATTAAAATGAAGTCTTTACGTCACTAACCTCAGAGAGGTTGTTGTCTTGTCCTTTATTGAATTGGTTTCTCAGGCACTTTTAATAAGGGACACTGGGAGTGAAGTAGTTTTGTATTGTACCGAATGAAACCCGACTGTCTGAATAGACAAGTTGGTGCGTGGTCTTAGGAAACCGCTTTATGACAGCATCTTATTTTCAACAGCTTAGCTGTTATTTTGCACCTAATCCTTCAGAATATGATATTTAAAAATAATAGTGAAATGTTCAGTAACATGTGTTTGGTACTCTTGGTGTACATATTTGGATTGAAATTCCAGTCAGTGTTATGCAATGTGTAATAATAGAGGTGAAATCCAATTACTGACTGACATTACCAAAGTGCCACATGTAGCACTGACCTGAATCTAAGACAATTGACTGCAGTATACAAATGAGATCATCCTAGTGTCCTTTGTAAGACAAAACATGCCTTTTGTCTGAAGCGGTGATGAAGGATGTTTTTCAAGGATGTTGCGGTGATGACAATTTTTCTTTTCTAAATATCAGCAGTTGTAACCCAAAACAACAGGAAAAGGATTCATAATGGGTGCTTCACTGTCAAGCTTTGGTGTCAGTCACAAATCATATGACTGATTGTAGCTTCATTGATATACACTCTAGACATTTTGACGTAACGCTGCTGATCTGCACATCAGGGGTTAATATCTCATATAGGAAATTATTTAAAAATATGTTCATGATGCTATTTTGTCCCGTGTTGCTTTGTTTTGTTAACAATTACAAATGTTTAAGGTTAGAAAATACCCAGGTTGTGCAGGAATAATATTTGATTGTATCGGTTACAGGTTCACAATTTACATGCAAATCTTCAGCAATCGCAGACATTGTGATTCTTGTGGATGGCTCCTGGAGTATTGGCCGACTTAATTTCCGACTAGTGCGACAGTTTTTGGGAAACTTGGTTAGTGCTTTCAATGTTGGGTCTGACAAAACAAGAATAGGTAAGTTTACCTTCTAAAGTTTCTTTGAACATATCAAGAAATGTTATTATTTTTGTAAAGATTTTGAGCTGTTGTACTTCAGGGGTTTGCATGTGGATTTAAGATTATTTGAAATGATTTACAATTTCTATTATTTTCTCATTTGTGAATTTCCGCTTGCTCTTTATGCAGGATTCTGCATGTGAGTTGGATGTGCTGTCTGCATATTTTCATGACTTCAATGCTATTCTTGGAAGTGTGTGGAATTCACATCGGATGCTCAGCATCTCCTCCACATAGGGAGGCATCTTAACTATATCCAGTACATCTCCCAGATTTTCTTTTCCCCTTCACCACCACTCCTCCCCACCACCAAATAAACTGCAAAAAAAATACCCATTCGGGTAATCTGGTGCCTCAATCCAGGCTTGCTGTGGTGAAAGTACCACATATATGTAGTCTATCCCTCCTACTAACTGTTGTGCAATGAGGCCAAGAGGCAGTGCAGGCACGAATTCCATCTACTCTCCAAATGGCCAGCAAATGCTCTTACACCTCTCCCACAAACTGTGCCTGTGACTGGGCTCTAGCTGTACAGTGAATGGCTAGCTCTCCTTTGACTCAGCACATTGCTCCATTTGCAGGCTGTGCTGTCAAGCTGCTCAGATGAATTCCTTCCCTTCAAAACTTATCATAGAATTATACAGCACAGAAGAAGGCCATTCAGCCCATTGTGTCTGTGCTGGCTCTTTGAAAAGACTGTCCAAATTAATCCCACTCCCCCGCTCTTTCTCCACTCCCCAAAGCCCTGTACAGCGCCTTGGCACGTCCTCCCGATGTGAAAGGCGCTCTATAAATGAAATCTTGTTGTTGTTCTTGTACACTTCTCCCAAATAATCATCTACTTTTCTTTTAAAAGTTGTTTTAAATCTGAACATCTAGTTACTAATAAGTTACGCAATTGATTTAAGCACTGGAAACTATAAATGTTGCTGAGTCAGAAAGTTAAGTTGAATTAACTTTACCTTTATGGTCATAAAGAGCATAATAAAGTTCTGATGTAGAGGGCCACCCACCATTGTTCATTCAGTAAGTGTATCGTAAAGCAGTGAGCAGGACATGGATGCTTCTCTTTGGCAGCTTAATTATTTACTGACTATTTTTCTATAAGAAGGGGAGGAAGAAAGCGACTATTCAGTAATTCTGAAATTAAAGCATTTTAAAAGGCCTGGGAAATGGTTGACCTTCTGACCACAGCAGCATTTGCTATAAGTCAAACTGTTCTCTGAACTACGCTGTATGTTATTTTGTGTGCTCACAGAGTGCTGGTAGTATCAACAAAATAATTAATTGTTAAACACAGAAAGTAAAGTGGGTGACAAAGGCTATTTGATGGGTATATGTGCATTGTGTTGGATTTTAACAGATGTTTACTTAGTATACACACTCTTAATGTAAGTATTTTGCTTAATTGTGAATTATCACAACACATAAATTAAGCCTTTAAATGCTCCACTATTGCAGGCCTGGCTCAATACAGTGGGGATCCCAGGATCGAATGGTATCTAAATCAATATGAAACAAAGCAAGCTGTATTGGATGCTGCTAGAAATCTTCCTTATAAAGGCGGCAACACACTTACAGGTACCCGAATGCTAAATACTATGTATTATCCTAAATGAGTAGCTTCTTTCAATTAGAAGTAAAGTGGGGGCTCTCAGTCACATTGTAACTATGAATGTTGATATCTGGGCTACATGCCAGAGAAAAAGGGGAAACTTGACTTTTTAGCTTTTACCTTGGAACTAGTAAAGACCATTGAACCATAAAAACAGAGTTTACAGCACAGAAAGAGGCTGTTGAGCCCATTGTACAGGTGCTGGTTCTGTGATAGAGCTATCTGTTTAGTCCCATTTTGCTGACATAAAATTATAAACAGTTACAGCACAGAAACAGGTCTTTTGGGTTTTCATATTCATGGTGGGTCTGCCAGAGCTATTGGTTTGGTCTCATTCTCCTGCTACAGTCGTAGAAATTTACAGTACAGAAGGAGGGAGCTGGGATAGAGTAGGAAGAGAAGACACTGGATAGAAATGATACAATCATTGAAATACAATTTGGAACTTCAAGGAATCCCCTGAGTTAAGGCTCCATATTTGGATTTATAAACCTCGATCCTGGGCTACACCAGAAAACTGACATATAGCATAAAATGTTAGTCTCCTGAACTTTCTGCAGTCACAAGCAGCCAACTGACTGGAGAAACCAACTGTGGGGGAATCGGAGACTAAGAGAAGCGAGTTAGTGTAAGCAAAGGCATAAGAGTGGCGTTTATTCAGGAATTAGTAACAAATTTCTGTGTATTCCTTAAAGAATGAATTGTCTTAATTAACACATGGAACTCTTTAAGGAATCCTGCAAATTTTACCCCTATTTTCACTATTCATTGTCTTTGTAATGTGATTTCCTATGATAAATATGTAGCAAAGAGATCAATACTTTTAGTGTTGATCGTACATTAACTTGGATTAGCTTGCTCTGCCTGTAAGGGACTTGTTTGTGCAGTGGCTAGTGAAGATTAAAGATAAGGCATTTTGACCCTGCAACCATTGGATTTGATCACTAATAATTTGTACTTATATAACGTCTTTCACATAGGGAGAAGGAATCAAAGTGCTTAGATAGGTGGTTTAGAAGCTCGAGTTGGGAGAGACATGATGGATTGGTGGAGAAGAGGTGTCTGAAGGTGCAGTCAAAGACATAGATCTTTAGGTTAATTTTGAAAGCAGAGAGGGTGGGGTGAAGCAATGGGATTTGAGAAGAGAGTCTGAAATTGTTTTCCACATCAAAATCACAAACTCTTCCAAAAGCAGTGCAATTCACACGTCAGGAACTTTCTTGGTTCTAATTTCCTTTTACTGATCTGTTCGTATCTTAGCCAGAAATTTTATTTGCTTAGCTTTATGCTTTTGCTGTTACACAGGTTATCTGGATTGAAATCTGGACATAATTATAGGCCAAGTTAAACAAGGTTTAGATCAGACAGATGGACTGGACATGTCTGTGCAGGGTGATGGTAGCTTTGTCTCTACTGTTTGGGGCCAGCACTGAATCTGTGTGCGTATGTTGAGAAAGAGCCAAACAATGAAGAATGAACTGCTTTGAGCTGCCTGCTGATGCAGTTATTCCCTTTAAGGTGCCACTGTCTTCATGGGTAAATGTTTGGCAAATCTTTCTTTGTTTGGTTGAGGGAAAAAGACAATAGGGATTATTTATTAAACAAAATGCAAAATACTGCAGATGCTAGAAATCTAAAACAAAAACAGAAGTCGCCGGATACACTCAGCAGGTCAGGTAGCACCTATGGAGAAAGGAAAGTGAGTCAACGTTTTGTGTCCACAACGTTTCAGGTTCTGATGAAGGGTTGTTATTTATTTATTAAGGACTTACTGTCAATTCTCAATTTATTTTTGCATTTTTATTAAATAGTGAGCCCCTATATCCATTGCAGTAAAGTTTGACGACCATCCTCCCCAAAAAGGTTATGAAAGGTCATTAAAATTTGCAGGATTATTTATTTATCATTCTAAGCACCTAGCGTTTCTGACTAAAGCACAAACACAAAACTAAAAGGAAACTGCAATAAAGGGGTAAAAATGCCAGTCAGACTGTCAACACTCAATTTATTTTTGCAGATGGTGTTTTATTAATCAGTGAGCCCCTATATCATTTGCAGTAAAGTTTATATTTTACATTGCTAAAAGTAGAGATTAGTTTGCTGGGACTCTACACTGACATTTCCCAGTGGGACGTTGTAGTAAGTTGATCACATTTGCCAGTGCTCAGTGTCAAAATGATTCCCCCACCTCCCCCGATTCCGGTTATGAAGGTCCAGGTGTCGGCCTGAATAAGCTGGTAGCACTGTCACCTCTGAGTCAGAAGGTTACAAATTCGAGGCTGACATTGGGACTTCAAGCTCCTAGTCTAGACTGACACCCTAGTGCAGGGCTGGGGGAGTGCTGAATGAGATGTTAAATCGAGATGTTATCTACCTGTTCAAACGTGGGCTATTAAAGATCTCATGGCGTTATTCGAAAAGGGAAGGGAGTTTCCCCTGACTAACAAATCTCCCAGATAAAAAAAAATTGGTTATTCACGTTATGGCTGTTTGTGGGATATTGCGGTGTTCAAATTGACTATCACGTTCACTATAATTACAGTCACTAAACTTAGCAGAAAAAATTCTCATCCTAAAAAACAGGCTCCACTGAGACCTGAGAGTGATTTCAGAAAAGCTCTTCAATTTGAGAAACTCATTAGAAACTTTGAAATACACTGGGTTGTATCTTTGGGCTTATTGCTATTTGTGACCTATTTACCCACGTGGGCGATGACTTTTTTAAATTCTTACCTGGATTGCTGAATGAAATACGTTGCTAGACTAGTAGATCTCACCTTGGACAGAGGCAGTTGATTGATAGCAGTCCAAGCCCTCCTGGCAAGATAAGTCAATTATAATGTTTCCTGTCTGCTCAAATGTTGGAAGAAGCATTGCAGGAAAAGCTGGGGGCAGGAACACTTTGCCTCTTATCGTATCACAAGATCATAAAACAGATTCGGAAGAAGGCCCTTCAACCCAATTGATATCTTCCTTCCAGAATATCCGTTATCCTGTCTTCCCATGACAGCAGCATATTGTTTCTTAAATGAGTGCAGAGTTCTAGCCTCTATGACTTGATGATCTGAACGTCTTTAATATTCAAATCATCAGTTACCATTCCTCCTTCAGGACTCTGTATGGTTTTCAAGTCTATCAGACCCATATAATCAATTGAACTAACTGAAGAAATGTATAAACTTTGAATCCAGTTAATATTGGGTTCCAAACCTCTACGTAATATTGTTAGAAATTACAAGGATTCTGAAGCTGACTAATTTTTGAGGACCGTCCTCCACCCCAAGAAGGTTGCCTAAATTTCCAAAAGTGTGGGTTTCATTGTTGGACATCACCGTTATTCTTTCCTGGGACAAGAAGGTGATCACATCGATGAAAGGATGTTAAGGAGGTGAATATCTGCACATTTGATTGATTGAAATACAGACCATAATGCACCTTCAATGTATGATGTGCCACTAATGATGTAATGTAGACCAGCATGGAAGGTTTGATTTCATCCTGTTATCTGGATCACAGTTTAAATAAGGAATTCTTTATGAAAACAAATGCAAAATGACCATTGTCAAACATGTTCAGTTGAGTTACTGAGGAGATATGGAAAATTAACAGTATATTTTATGGAAGAAATCCAAACATACCAGTATCGTATGAAATGAAGTTTATTATCTTATGCAAACACTGAAGAGGAGATAAAAAAAAGTGTATTTTTTTCCCCAAGGACTCCAAAGTTCTTCCATTTAAAATGTTCTTTGTAACACAACTCAAAAGAGGGTGATGGCGTTCTTTGCTTTATGGGATCCGATAAAATCCATACCTTTTGTTTTGTTTAGGGCTTGCCTTATCCTATATCCAGGAGAATAGCTTCAAACCTGAAGGAGGGGCTAGAACCGGCGTGCCAAAGATCGGGATCTTGATCACTGATGGGAAGTCTCAAGATGACGTCATTCCACCAGCTAAACGCTTACGCGATGCTGGAATCGAACTCTTCGCTATTGGTATGTTACTCATTCCTGTACCAAATGCTTAAAGAGCTGAATTACAACCTTGAGTGACTGGTTTGCCCAATTTGCCTACAAATACAGTCACTACATTTCATTGTAAAAAGATAATACTATGAACTGCTTTGAAATGATTTGGTGGCATAGTAAAGCGCTATATCAAATCCACGGATTACTTTAACTAAATTTGACCTTAACATCATGCAATTTAGACATTAAAGTTCATAGAATCATAGACTCTTACACTGGGACTGCAGAAGGAGCTACCCAATTACTCCCACTCCCCCGCTCCTTCCTCATAGCCTTGCAAATTTTTAACTTCTCCGTTTTTTGGCTAAGATCAAGTGTGTAGTGTAGATTCTTTTTTGATATTGATGAGCTTTGATAGTATCGTTTACACAGAATAGTTTTTGCACTACTGTTTGAATTGTTAGTGTCTTACAGTCTATGGTTCTTAAGCATTCATCCTTTCTTTCGAAACAAAAGGTGTGAAGAATGCAGATGTGAATGAATTGAAAGCAATTGCCTCCGAACCAGACAATACGCATGTTTACAACGTCGCTGATTTTAATATCATGAACACAATCATTGAGAGCCTCACAAAAACTGTGTGCTCACGTGTGGAAGAGCAGGATAAAGAAATAAAAGGTATTTGCTTCATATTGGCCAATAATTCCCCCAAATAAAAGTGTCTGTTACTTCATGGTTGTTTGTGGGATATTGCTGTGTGCAAATTGGCTGCTGCATTCCTCCACCAAATACACAGTTACTACACTTTACTGTATATTCTGTGAAATCCTTTGCAAAGTCCTCCTGACATGAAATGTTTCATAACAAATATAAGGATTCTTATTATTTACTACTATGATCATCAGTTACATAATTGTATCTTTATATAATTTGATATATAATCCATGCCCTTCTGTTATGTGCAGCACTTGTTGCAATTGTCCAGCTGAGAAATTCTTGCTCTGTTAACACGACGTAATTTTGACACATCTATATGGTTCTCAACCTTATCCTCACCAACAGGAGGCAGTGGAGGTGCAGGATCAAATCTGGTAGCTCCCACAAATCTCGTGACATCTGAGATAACACCTCGGGGCTTCCGTGTTAGCTGGACCCACGCCCCTGGGAAAGTGGAGAAGTACCGAGTGGTGTATTACCCCAGCAGGGGAGGAAAGCCAGAAGAGGTACCATACGTCAAAGCCCATTATTGGAGTTACAGAAATATTCACAATAGTATTTTCATTTTCTTTTTAAAAAAAACATTTCACTCTGCAGTGAATCAGGTGTGATTATATTTAGTGGGCTGGACTTACTCTTTGAGTACGACTTCCCGATGTGAAAGGCGCTGTATAAATGTAAATTGTATTGTACTCCAGTAGGCGCTGGTTTATTCCTTGGTTCAAATAATACACAAAAAAATAAGTTGCCTTTGTGTCGGAAGCACCATGTGCATTTCCTCCTCCCTCTCCTGCTCTGGGACTGAATTCATTTTTGTGATTCATGAATTCATGAATGAATTCATTCATTCATTCTATAGTCTTCTTGAGTTTCCTCAGAAGGGAATTAAGACATTATGACAAGACAAAAGTCCAAAGCAGTGGTGGCCAACCTTTAAGAGCATAAACAGTGGGCTTAGGCTTTGGTCCATTGGGGATATTGTTCTCAATTCTATGTGCTTTCACTTATCTTTTTCCACCTCATCCCCCCTCAGCTCCCAGCCTCAGCTCTGTTGCCAGGCCAGTATTATCAAGCGCTTTGGGACGTCCTCCCAGTGTGAAAGCCACTACATAAGTGTATACATTACATTTGTATAGCGCCTTTCATGTCGGGAGGACGTCCCAAGACGCTGGACAGTCAGAGTTTCAGACTCGAGCTGGGGAACGGGGAGGGTGGAGGGCAGGGGGGGAAGCAGGGTGATCGATAGCACTGTCAAAGAGGAGGATCTTGAGATGGGTCTTGAAGGAGGCAAGGGAGGGGGCGAGGCAGAGGGACTGTGGGATAGAGTTTCAGAGGGTGGGGCCAGAGTGACAGAAGGCCCGCCTGCCAATAGTGGGGTGAGTGAGGCGGGGGACGTGAAGCAGGCTGGTGCCCGCTGAGCAGAGGGAGTGAGCAGGATGGTAGGGGGTTAGGAGGTCGCAGAGGTAAGGGGGAGCAAGACCATGGAGGGCTTTGAAGGTGAGGATCAGGACCTTGCACTGCATCCTCTGTGTGATGGGAAGCCAGTGGAGTCGGGCGAGGATGGGGGTAATAGGGTCACGGAGCCTGGTGCGGGAGAGGACACGGGCTGCAGAGTTCTGGATGTTCTGCAGCCTATGTGTAATTGTGAATTGTATTGTATTTTATCATCACCTGAATGCTGTTGGTGCTGCAGCTTTAGATAAAATAACAAAAACCAAGCAAACCTTGAGAAACCAATTCATTTAGTTGAAACCGAAACGTGTAAAGATGTAAAGGATTAGCATCTTTATCCAGACAGATACAAAGCTGCAGCCAAGTGTTTGATGAAAAGGGTTTGACAAATCTTTTCTTTGTGCAGTGATGCATAGATCATGACAGGCTGTTTCAACTTGTCCAGAATAGTAAAACCAGAGCTCACGGACTGCGATTGAAGGGGGTAAATTCAGAACGAATTTATGCAAACACTATTTCAGTGAGCGAATATTGAACCTGTAGAACAGGCTCCCTCGGGAGACAGTTGAAGCTGGAAGTGTTGATTCTTTCAAACACGGATTAGATATTTTTCTTTTAGGAAATAACATTATGGGATATAGTACATAGATAGTTTGGGACATATGTGCATGTGACTACCAGGAAGGTGGAAGGCGAACTAGATGGACCTTGGTCTTATTTTGTCGAGCATTTCTTATGTTTTTATTTCCGTAACATCGCCCGACTCCGCCACTACCTCACCCCTCAGGCCGCTGAAACTCTTGTTCATGCCTTCATCACCTCCAGGCTCGACTATGCAAACTCCCTGCTTGTCGGCCTTCCCAACTCCTCCCTCCATAAGCTAAAGGTAATCCAGAACTCTGAAGCCCGTGTCCTCTCCCGCACCAAACTCCGTGACCCCATCTCCCTCATTCTCACCCGACTCCACTGGCTCCCTATCCTTCAGAGGATCCAGTTCAAGATCCTGGTCCTCACAAAGCCCTCCATGGCCTCTCTCCACCCTACCTCTGCAACCTCCTAACCCCCTACCAAGCTGCCTGTTCCCTCCGCTCAGCCGTCTCTGGCCTACTCCACGTCCCCCGTCCCACCATTGGCGGGAGAGCCTTCAGCCACTCTGCCCCCAACCTCTGGAATTCCATCTCCCAATCACTCTGCCTCACCCCCTCCTTAGCCTCTTTCAAGTCCCGCCTCAAGACCCTCCTCTTTGACCATGCCATCGGTCACCCCCCCTCCTGAAACGCTGTACACTGTCCAGCGCCTTGGGACGTCCTCCCGACGTGAAAGGCGCTATACAAATGTAATCTTGATGTTGTATTTCAGCAGGATTTATGTCTTTTTTGTGAACAACAGAGATAAAATTTGTCATGAAAAATTTCATGATAAGGGGTCAGAATTGTGGTACGCATAATAATAATTATTATTATGGTACGTCTAACACATTTAATTTCTTAATTAAGGAGTGTTATTAAAATGTGTTTTAAAATATTCTTTCACTCCCCACCCCTTCCCACCCATATTTGAATAATGGTTTACAGTTTACTTGTATTTAGCACCTTTCACATCAATAGAATGTCTTCACACAACCTGATGAAGCCTGAGATAGGGGAGGAGAAAGCAGTGGGGCGAGTGGGGGTGGGGAAGCTGAGGTGGGGATAAGAATGGCTGAAAGCAACAACAAAGACATTAAGGTGGGTTTTCAAGGCAGCTTTATAAGGAACATTGGCCCACATCAATGGTAATTCTTCCAACTCTTCAAAAACAGGTGGTTGTGGATGGCACAGAGTTAACAGCGGTTCTCCAGAACCTGATGTCCCTGACCGAATATCAGCTCGCAATCTTTGCCGTGTATTCAAATGCTGGCAGTGACGCCCTACGTGGCGTTGAAACTACATGTGAGTAACACATAGTAAATCCATCACTTAATTCAGATACTTTGACACTTCCAACTTTGCAATGATTTTCGTGCTGAAAAGGCAGATTTGTCTGCGTGGAATGTGTTCACTCCAATTTTTCTTCTTAGATTGAGTTTGTCGACAGAGGCAGGTCCACCTCTGTAGGTGACCTTAAGGAGAAGCAGTTAAATTTCACGCTTTGCACTCTAAATCAGACCAGCCACCAGCCTCTGCAGTGAGTTGTGTCTGTTTCCAGATTGGTGGGAGCAACAGAAGTGGAAACGTTAAACCATACCATGTATTTCAGTGATGGTTTTCACAAAAGCAAACAGTTAAAGGTTTTGCACTCACATGATGTAACATGTTGATTATGCAGTGATGCCCTGTGTTTTGTTCACCATTGCACCGTGAGCTCTTAGCCATTCTGTTTTCAGTCTCCTCCAACTCCCGCCCCCTCCCACCCTTTAAAACCAGCCTTAATATTTCTTTTTGACTGCTCGTTTCCACCATCTTCAGCTCCCTTCAACCAAGCTTGGGTTTCCAGCTGCCTCTGTGAAGTGCTTTGAGACATCCTCCTGAGGTGAAAGACATTGTATATATACACTGAGACGCAATCCGGCGTGGAGCGCGCTATATAAATCCAAGTTGTTGTTGTTATAAATGTAAAATTGTATAAATGTAAAATTCACGCCCTATTGACTCTCTTTCGGAAGTGCGGAGGCAAAACCAGTTGATGACCACAATCAGTTCACAATCCATGTCACAAGGCACACAATGTAAAAGACATGAAAGAACTGCAGACAACTGAAAAGAATATTGGCACGTTAAGATCTTGCCTGAGTTCTGAGGGATGTTTTGAGAGCTTTGTGTGTGCGCTTTCTTTTTTTAAAAAAAAAGTGTCCAGGTGTTGCTGTGGTAGATGATAAAAGATTGAGTAAGCCACCATTCAAAACAAAAGTATGTGCACGTTTACTTGCATTAATAATAATGTAGTTTGTAGTTGATATGGTGCTTTATTATGTCATTGGGACATCTCCGGGTGCAACAGTGTGTATTTTGTGGCTTTTTGCGGCAGCCAGTTTGTGCACAGCTGTATTATATTTAAACAGGAAGCAAATTTGACTGAACCCCAAATGGGGAGCTGCATGTCCATTTGCTAATGTCATTGGGTGCTCTTCGTTAGAATTGGTGGTTAAATTAGATATTCTGTTTAAAAATTTGTGCTGAGTCACCCCCCCCCCCTCCCTCCAATATTTATCACTGAGCCAATGCCTGTTGTGTTGTCATAGTGCTTGATGCATTGTTTCAAATGCCCCAGAGGTGGCACCTAATGATTCTAAACTATTCATTACAAACCACAGCTGTAGCTCTCACACACACTGGACAATAGGAATTACATTGTGCTTGTGTGTGGGCTTCACAGCTGTGAGCTTGCAAAGAAGGGATGAAATCTCAGTGAAGCTTGATTTCCAGAACAAGACCCCCTCAAGTGTAATGAGACATAATTATTCTTTCATTGACTAACTAATACAAACCACACTATTGGGAGCATTCAGCCCTTAGGCATTGACCTGTTGTACTACCATCTTCCTGAGTCCACTCCAGCTCTAAACAATGTGCACTACCTGCTGTGAATGTACTATCCTAAAAGCTCAGCTCTCTGATGCTAATGATTCTCCCTTCTAGTTTGGGTCCCTCATGCTGGTAACCTCCAACTTCTGGTCTGGATCCTGTAATCTGTGTCTTTTGTAGTAGCTGCTTCTCTCTGGGTTCATATCTCTCACAGCAGATTGGCATCTGTGTTCTCCGTCCCTCTCTGAGATTACACACAGCCTTCAGCCATCCCTTCTATTCTTAAATTGCACTGCCCGCCCAAACTGGGTTAAACACAACCTGCAGAAGTGAACCCAGCTCCAACTGCATCAACTAACACTAATGCTGCTGAAGACCTTTCTTTTCGACCGCGCCTTTGGTCACCTTCCCTCCCCTCCCCCTGACTCGGTCCCAGGATCCAAAACTGTAAAGCGCTCTGAGACGCCGTCCGGCGTGGAGGGCGCTATATAAATCCATGTGGCTGTTGTTGTTGTTGTTGGATACACTCTACTGAGTTAGACCTGAAACTTTGTTCCCAGTGGATTGGAACAACAATAACAAATTACATTTATACAGTCCGTTTCACTTTGGAAGGACGTCCTAAGGTGCTGGACAGTTAAGGGTTTGCACCCAAGCTGGGGGTTGGAATTAACAGGGGTGGAGGGTAGAAGGGTGGGGGTGGGAGAGGAGGGAGTGGGGGGTTGAAGGCACGGTCAAAGAGGAAGGCCTTGAAACAGGCCTTGAAGGAGGCAAGGTGGAAGGGCTCTGTAATGGAGTTCCAGAGAGTGAGGGCAGAAGGGCTGAAGGACAGACTGGCGGGGTGGGCAGGACAAGCGACATGTAGAGGACAGAGCTTGCTGAGCAGAGTTTAAAAAATTGTGGTCTGAGCATCTGCATAACAAAGTTAATCTCAAAGTTACCCTTTGTGTCCCAAACATTTGAGATATTAGCATTGTATTACAGAAGTAGAACTAAGATAGTAAGGTTGGGCATATGATTCAAATCCCTTTCCTCTGTTTCACGTGTTATGCGCATGTTTATTAATTTACTGATTTTTTNCTTCCCCAGTGGCACTTCCTTCAGCTGCAGATCTGGAAATCTATGATGTAACACACAGCAGTATGAGAGTCAAGTGGAAGGCTGCTGAGGCTGCCTCTGGTTACATGATACTGTTTGCTGCACTCACAGAAGCACAAGCAGCTGACGAAAAGGAGGTACAAGAATCAGACTTTTATATAAAATGCAATAGAAAAGCACATATATCCATTATATTTAAACATCAATCATGTCTAAAGGCTAAACCACCATTCTCGGGGATTAAAAACATTTCCCACCCATCAGCAATGTGTGTTGTGTGTATGGTATATAGTCACCATAAGTATTTCAATATTGCACGACTTGAATGTGTCTCTGAACTCCCAAAGAAGAGGGCAGAAATTCAGAGCAATGAGGTCCAATTTGTAATATTTGCAAACCAGATTCCTTGCTTCAATTGCAACTTACTTTAAGGTTGCAGAATTTAAGCCCTTGAGTCATATATCCTAAGTTGGCAATGTCTGAAACACAGGCAAATATAACAATTCCCACTATTGTTTTGTTCACATCAACTTTGTTTTTGTACTTTTTATTGAGTTGGTATTTGTGAATTTTGCAAACTGGGTTCAGAATTAATGTAACTAATTAGGTTTGTACAGATCACACACTGGATGCCAGCATTTTAATAACTGTACCTATGAAGTGACATAATTTGTCTGGTTTATTTTGTCTTAGATAATAACAGTTGTGATTGGGACATGAGCTCACTGTGTTTTCCTAGTTGAAAGTTTCAGGTTCAGTCACCGATATAGAACTTGAAGGATTGTCTCCAAATACTGAGTATACAGTAACGGTGTATGCCATGTACGGTGAGGAGGCCAGTGATCCACTGACAGGACAAGACACAACATGTAGGTTCTAGTTATTCTTCATCTAATTATATCTTCTTGTGGGCTGAACATCTGTAGTATAAAAGGGAGCTAAGCTGAGAAAAGCATCTCAAGAGCCACAATAAAACCAGTTGTGCAATTTTTGTATTTCAGTTAGTAATGGCCGATTTAAAAAGTGCACAGCTCCTTGTTTAGCTAATCCCTGATTTCTGGTTAATTTGCTTTATGGTCATATTTGAACTCCAAGGGGAGTGATATTTCCCTGGGGGTGTACTTTGGGGTTGGTGCTGATAATGGGGAAATATACCCCCTCCTTTTGGGAAATACTCCCATCCCTGAACTGGATGAATTGATCCAGTCAGGTATTCAGCAAGTTAATAATATGAATTAGCTGAGTTTGGTTTGATGCTTTGTCCTAATTCTTTGTTTGTTGCTATTGTGGATTCAAAGTTGTGATGCTGCAAACTGTTAATTAACACCCATGAAGGTGAAAATGTGTCATGTGATGATAATCATCATGTCAAATGTAAATTTCACCCTGAGGTACAGGTGGAATTTAATTTAGAAACTTTATGATAATTAACACTTTGAGTGTGCTGGAAAGAAACTCTTCCCCAACCAACCCCGAGAAACCAACCCTGCTGCACATAAGTCTTCCAGCTCCTGGTTTATTACATTGGACTGCCTGTTGCAAAATGCCTATTAACTTCACAATATTCAAAGGAAAGCTGGTATCTCTTTGATTGGAAGTTCAGTGCTACAATCAAAAAAATATTGTGCCCATTGCATATTGCATGGTGTGGTTTGGCTGATATCTTGGCTTGGGATTTGAGAAGGAGGTTGGGGATCGGTAAGGGAGGGATGCATGTGTTAATGACCACATTACATCATTGCACATTTTGTTTAGGTTTTTGTTTTCAATATTTCAAGATAACTTATTGCATACTGGGGAAGGACAGATCTCTCAGGTTGTGGAGCTGAGCATACACTTGAGTTAGAGCCAATCACCTATAGAAAGGTGATAAAGAACACACTAATTCATTCCAGGAGGATGTAGTGACTGATACTCAAGAGTAGCACTGGGGAAGGACTGAGTTATCTTAATGTCTTCTGGTGAGACATTAAACCAGAGTCATGTCTGCAGATGTCAGGTGAATGTTAATATCTCATGACACTCTTCCAATCTCATGAGTTTCTGCCAGTGCTCTGGTCAGAAAGCCTTCAAATAAATTGGTCATTCCCAATATGGCTGTGGATATGCATTTTCCTAACAAAACCAGCCACTGCACATCACATGACAATAATTACTGTAAAGCACTTTGAGATGTTTGACATGATAAGAAGCAAAAGTATGCACATTCTTCCTTTTTAGAAGACTCGTAAAATGGTATGTAGACATGTAAATGTTTTGCTTGATCTCAATTTAATCTTCAGTATCTATTCAATGCCAATCCTGCTGAAATGATGTACAGCCAGGAAAACAGTAATGGTACAGTGTTCAGCATTGAGTGAGTATCAGTATAACTACTTTCCACATTAAGCAATACAGTGGAAATATATATAATGCAGAAATACAATGTTTGCCAATCTGGTTTGTCTTTCACCTGGACTTACTAGAAGTTAACTGCTCCTTTGCTTTACACAGTGCCACTCACTCCGCCCAGAAACTTCCAATTCTCGGAAATTGGCCACAGCAGTGTCAGGGTCACCTGGGATTCACCTTCAAAGAAAGCACGAGGATATCGCATCATGTATGTGAAAACTGATGGCAGTGAAATCAATGAGGTAAGCCCAGGATTCAAGCTTTGAACAACTTGCTAAGAGGAGGACAAAGAAAGATTTACTTTGTAAATACTTGGTGGGGCAGTGCAGGATATTTTGTTGGATGCTAAGAATAGCAATTTGATGATGTGTGTTTATAAATTTGATTTTTTCCTTAGAGGTTAACATTTAACCTTCGACAATGCTAATTTAGCAGCAGACAGAATGTTCCTGGTGATGTTCTGTAGACGTTTAGGAAAGTGCATAATCTCTAGACCTCAGCCTGTTTCCAGTAAGGACTGTTCCTCCTATTAGCACAGACCATGAAAGCCTTCATATGTGTTTTTAAACTCTAAATTTTATTAATTTAGCTGTATTTTCAAAAATATGAATACTCCCAAATCGCTAAAATTGTTTCCCTCTCACACCCCCCAAGTTTTTCTCAATCACAATCTCTGCTTTCTTGGTTTTTCTCTCAGCGTTTCTGCATCTCTCTCCCCCTTTATTTCTTCTCTTCGCGCTTCCCTAATCCAGTGGATAATAATTTATACTCCGAACTTGCCAGCAACAAAGAAATTCTTAAATAAACTGCAGTTTATGGTGAGTACAGTTTACAAGTAACACTGACCAGCTCCTGATGCAACGAACGACCTCTGTGTCTACTCTGTATGTATTACAAATTCAAGGCTTATGTTGCACAATGAGGTTTCTGGTTAATGCAAGACTTTAGCATGGTTCCATTAATGAATTCCTTCATTACATGCATAATTCACAATATATGCGCAGTGCTAATTGAAATATCTAAAATATTAGATCTCAATAAGTCTAATATTTGCTAAGTGGCCTAACAATCTAACATTCGTGATGCTTATTTTGTACTACAATAATTATTGATTTCAGTCCCAGTAATGGTGAAGCACAGGCTGCTGAATTGATGCATTTGATAAGTCCTATCATTCCTCAAGTAAACTATTTGAGGACTGCTTCTTACAACTGGAAGAATTAGGTAAAGTTACATAGAATAAGGTGGCACAGAAATAGGCCTTGTTTATACTCCAAATAAGCTTCAACCCCTCCTTTTCCCTTCTCCTATACCTCTCTATTCCCTTCTCCCTCGTATCATTGTCAAGTTTCCTCTTAAATATTTGATGCTTTTGCTTCAACCACACTTTCTTACTGGGATTTTTTAAAATTCTCTCTCCATTAGAAAAATTAGGTGCCTTTATGAAGAATACAGGTGAGTTCACATTCTGCTCAGGATCCATCTCAGTCAAAGGAAGGTCATACAAATTAAAGCATCAGACCATATTGTGCCTAAAATGCTGCTAGCTCATTCACTGGAGATAATTACTATTAATGTTAATTCCATTCTCTTGCCATTACTTTTTATATTCTTCTTCAAAAGAAGAACGAAAATTGATGCAGTAATGAAGTCTTTTCCTCCTGGGGCTTAACTTCATGACTCACAATTACCATTGCAGTCAAATACTTCTGTGAGTGCAACAGTCATGTCTAGTGTATTGATTGAACTTTGTGTTGCACAGGTTGATGTTTACGATTCCACTACCATTTTATTAAGAAACCTGACCTCACTGACAGAGTACACAGTTGGTATTTTATCAATCTATGACGAAGGGCAATCGGACCCAGTTACAGGCAGTTTCACGACAGGTGAGTCATATTGCCTTTTTGCATTTCATGGGCAATCAGTGGAGTTTAGTTTGTGAGCCTGGGAAAAGATTTGTGAACAAAAGAATCTTGATATGTAGCAGTCGACCTCTCAAACTCCACTTGGATATACGAACAATCGCCTTCTTTGATGTTAACATCCAAGCAGAATTCCACAGACTCAGCTGTGACACCTTTGAATCGTGGAAGTTAGACTCTATTTTTTGTACTGTATCTATTTCAAACAGTTCTATCTCACACCAATGAAAAAATAAACAAAACCGTTTTGCATGCAAATTCAAAATTCAAACTTTTAGACAAAATTTCATCTTCTCTCATTCTGTAAAACCATTTTCTCTTCAATTTTAAGCATATGCAAAATTGTGAAAAATTCATAAATTCAGTTTTCTGCAGGGCTTGAAAAGAAGCTGTCTTTTTGAATTTATACAGAATTTATGAATTTTCGATAATTTTGCATGCAAGTTTAAAATTCAAACTTTAAGACAAAATTATTTCACGGTTTAAAACTGGATGGATTTAGACAAGCGGTGTTTAATTCATAGGATACAATCCACTCAACTACATTCCCTCATGGTCTTCTGTGCTTTTACTTCTGCCCACTTTAGAGAATGTCCCAAATCCTTTGTTCCTCACTGTCAGCGACGCTTCTGTCGACAGCTTCAGGGTTAGTTGGGAGCATGCTGCAGATGACATCACCTTATACAGATTAGTGTGGACCCCCTTAAGTGGTGAAGAATCAAAAGAGGTAAGTCACAAGAAGTGAAAATGGAAAAGTGTTCACAATTTTTATCATGAGGGTCAGCAACACAGCAACCTCCAATGAAGTTCCTTAATAATGGTTCTATAAATCACCAAAGAGATTTCCTCTGCTAACAAGATGTGAGTCATTATCAACTCGTGGGAACTGCTCTGACTTGATTTGCCTTTGGAGTGGAGTTCCTATAGGTCAGTGTGACTCATTTCCCATCACACTGACAATATAAAGGCCCTGAGTGCTTTCTAAAGGAAACTGAAGTAGATTATAGAGTAGCTGTACAATCATTAATGTTTGGTTGTAGTTGAAGTGGAAACTACGGTAAAACCGTAGTATGTACAATAGTTTTAGGGGGTATTTAGGTAATTGTTGTATATTCCCCCTGTTCCTTTGTCTGACGGAATGACGCCTGGCCCACAGAGACTGAGCCTGTGTCTGCTTCTAAGACATTACGAATGCTCCAGATAACTGGCCAGGAGATGCAAATACCACCCAGATATGACCTTCACATTGAATTCCTTCCCTTTCTGAACGTGTCTCAAATTGGGAACTGATCAGAAAGAGAGTCACACCTTCTTTGCTTTCCTCTATGTTGATGTACCCTTCAGTTATCAGCAGTTCATTCTACCTCCCAAATGTCCTTCGAATGAGATGTTACAGCAAGGTCCCATCTCCCTATGCAGGTGGGTGATAAGATCCCAATAGCACAATTTGAAAAGTGAAGTAAGTTCTCCCAGTGTCATGCTCAACAATCCCCCAAATGAAATTGGCATTCACTTCATGGCTGCTTTTGGTACAGTGCACAAATTAGTTGCTGGGTTCCCCTATAAATACACAACCCCCACATTTTGTAGCAAATCCTGTGAAGCGCTTTGAGACATTTTGACGATGTGATAAGGCGTTATATCAAATGCAAAGGTTATTATTCTATGTTCATGGGTAAGGAATAGTTCTCCTCCATGATGTTTAAATCTTAACAACAACAGCACCAACCTATATTTTTAAAGTGGCATTTATGCACAAGAACATCACAAGGAGTGTCTAAACTGATAGACACTAAGCAAGAATTCGGAGAAATTTGAAAGTGACCAGTAGAAGAGAAGAATGGCAATAGTTAATATATTGTGGGGGAATAAAACATTTGGAAGAATTTACTCAGTTTCTTTCATTTTATTGTGCAGCTGGTTTTGAGTGGAGACATGGATACTATCATTCTTGATGATTTGCTACCAAGTACAGAGTATGAAGTTTCACTCTCTGGGATTTACAGCGATGAGGTTGAAAGTGCTGCCGTGGCAGTGCTTGCGACCACATGTAAGTTAATAGCCATTTGTAAAGCAAAACTGCTTAATATTCTTACAATAAGAAATGTTAGCAATACAATTACAGCTTTGGTTGTGTTGCTGTCAACTGCAAGTCTTTTCCGTGGCAACGTATTCAACTGACCGTCAATCAGCTGCATGTAGGCCTTAACGAATGGATATAGAGTCCTTGGCTTTATATCCAGAGAAATAGAGTATAAAAGTTGAGAGATAAAGTTCTATAAAACCTTGGTTAGATCACATTTAGAGCATAACATACAGGTCTATTACAGGAGGGATATTGTAGCATTGGAGGGAGCACAATGTAAGTTTACAGGGGCATTGGCATAGTTGAGCCTGGATGTAATAAAGTCATGTATAAGGGTTTCAGCGGCCTGAGGGGTGAGGCAGTGGTGAAGTTGGGCAATGTTGTAGAGGTGGGGGAAGGCAGAGCGGATCATGGCACGTATGTGGGGGAGAAAGGATAGTTGAGGGACGAACAAGACGCCTAGGTTCCTGACTGGCTTGGTGAGGTGGAGTGTGCATCCTTGGGTGCTGATGTTGTCAGTGGCTGAGGTGCGGAGGCACGGGGCCGAGCCAATCAGGAAAGCCTCGGTCTTGCTGACGGTTAACTGTAGAAAGTTAGCTGTCATCCAGGACTTGTTATCTGACAGGATTGGGAGGGTGGAAGAGGCTGAACTGATCCCCTCGATTTATGTCTTGAGGAAATCGAGCATTTCCTCACAGTTGGACGAGAGGATGGGCCACCTTGTCTCAGAAGGTAATTAAGGTAATCTCGTGTGAGAGGGTGGACGGAGGAGCTGGTTGGTAGTGGGTAGTTTTAAGAGAAAACTTGATGCATACACGAGGGAGAAGGGAATAGAGGGTTATAGGAGAATGGATTAAGAAGGGTGAGTGGTGACTCGTGAGTTTCAACACTGATTCGGACTGTTTCTGGCCCATATCAATCTATGTAATTCTGTTCAATGTCAATCTATCTTTCCCTTTTAAGTTGGGTCAGATGGGACACAAGTGATACAGAATAAGTCTGATGATCATGGAAAATGCCTGCTGCCCAGACTGTGTTTGGACAATTTGTTTTGTTTAGGTAGTTAAGAGTGAAGGGGTTGACTGATGGCATTATGGGACAGTGTGTTGCCTATCTGTGGCTTGTGCCTCAGTGCCTTAGGATGTTATACAAGATTGCACAAACCACAGCAGGGGTTTACCAAACTTGAGCATGCCACCAGGAATGCTCTGAATGGAGTTCCATCCATTAGCCCTGATGGAGGGAATAAAAATTGCTGTATGATCCATTCTCGTGTGCAGTGAAAACTCAATTATTCATACCTCCATTGTCCACTAATCCCTCAGCTTTCCCCCCTTCTTGCCTGACCAGATCACAACTGAAGACTTTCCCAGCTTGGTGTCAAACTAGGCATTGTTCAGCTCTCTGAGATGCTACCTCACGTGAAGGCTACTACATAAGTGCAAGTTGTGGATGTTGAAACTGGACAGTTCATTCATTTCCCCAACGCCAGCCCTCATCCCTGACCACTTCCTGCCATTTCAGCAGATAACAAGTTTGCACTCACCTCTTAATTACCTTCTGAGACAAGGTGGCCTATATATCTGCTTAGCCAGTCAGTGGGTACGTACTCTTTGAGAGACCTAAAGTCAGTGGAGGGGAAAATCAAATGTAAAAATGCAGAGTGGGGAAGTTTGAGACTGAGGGAATGGTTTCTATGTGTGAATTGAATTAAATTTATATTACACATTTATTTGTCCATTTAAGATATAAAATGTGCAGAAATATGTTTAGTAAAATAAACTGTGATAAACAGGTGGGATAATGCTGAAGAGTTATGGTAAAATTAACATTGCTCTTGAGTTTTCCTAGAGATGACTCGATTTAGATAAAAATCCTAACTTCGACTTTTATCCTAAATTGTAGTTGAGGAGACAACCACAATCACCATCACCACAATTATGCCAGCAACCACTCGGATACCTACAACAGCAGGTGTGTGACGTTTAATAAGGTTCTTGTTTGACAAATCAGTTAATAAAACTGGGATTCAGCGTTGTGAGTTGAAGAGATCAAATAGGAAACTCAGGTAGATACAAGCGCTGGACCAATGGTCTACTTCTATCTGAAATACCATGGAGCCCTGTTATTATACATTCCATAAAATTACAGCCTGCGTTGTAGTGAGGTGCGATAGCGGATTTGACTGCATGTGTGCGCGCTCTGTCTGGTTTGGGGCTAAAAGAAAAAACTTGCCTAACTTTTGGCCAAAGGGTCACCCCAACATCACTTCCTCTTTGCTGCATATTCTGTGAACAGGAGGAGACCATTCAGCACATGAGCTTTTTTTGCCAGTTTATTGGATCTTTTCAAATCGTTCAATCCCATTTCCTCAGTGCTCCGAGATGCTACCCTGTCTGAAGGGCTCTCTGTAAATGCAAGTTGTTGTTGATACTGTTACTTCCCGAGCATCTGTCTACTAAATTCAAGGATTGTCCTTTTTAACATGCCAAGTGACTTTGCCTGGACGTTCTCTGGGGCAATGGATTCTTATCTCCTGCTTTTTCTTATATACTTGAAGTTCCAGGGCTCCTAACCTGCAATTTTGGAGTGTGCGCAACTTCCTGACTGTCAGCTTGGAATGGCAGGCATGTGAATCCGTGTTATTTAGTGCAGATGATCTTCCCTTTCTGCATTCATCTGGATATCCTTAGTCAAAGTTTGACAGGCTGCATTGATAACAGGGATAAAGTTGACAGATCTGACAGAGCATGATCACAGAGTAGTAGGCAGACTTAATCCAGCCACAGGTCAACTGATCACTAAACCTCTTCATGGTTCATGAAGCCACTGTGGATGGAGTCATACAGAAGATCTGACATGTCTGTGATCTGATTTACAACCACTTCATTCCACATTGGTTGGATCTTTGTAACTACTCTTAAGTCTAAACACAGCTGTTGAAACAGGCAGTAATTGAGAGAGATCAATGACTCGCTACGATTGGAGATTGGAGGTGATGACTGACCACTTTTTGATGTCTTCCTCCGGCATCTCTGCAGGTTGAGCTAGTGGAGCCAACTCACAGAACAGAAGCTGCTTTTTGTTTTTGGTCCATTACTTCACGATCTGTTCAGGCTATTTTAAACTTGACGGATGTCGGCATTCGTCTCAAATTCATATATCCATTCATAAACATGTTAACTGACCTCATCACAAATGTTTGCGGTGTAGAAGTGCAAGCAGTGAAAGGATTATTGGTGATATTTGTAAAATCGATCATTATTTTTGCTCCTGGCTGAATTCCTGAAGTATAATGCAAAAAAAAATAATCTTATTTATTAAAAAAAAGCCTCCAATGTAGCCAGATAGTATTTGATTGCTTTGATTTTTCTTCAGTTGTTCGATCTGGAATAAGAAACCTAGCTGTGAATGATGAAACACCATTTAGCCTGCAAATATCATGGAACCACGTAGACAACCATGTTCAGCAGTACAGAGTATCCTATGTGACCACGAGAGGTGACCGAGCCGAAGAAGCGGTAAGCATGGTCTGTACACGTTCTGATGCGTTTTTATTAGACATGGACTGTGGGGATGGACAGCCTTCTTACTAATACCAGGCTGAGTCAAAGGTAAAATAGCACAGAAAACTGCCAATGACGGTCATTATTCAATATTAAATGAGATGCCATCTACTCTTTTGACTTACCAGCACCACATACCACTTCATCAAAAAAAAGTCATCAAAATAGCTGCACACATCACCATCTCAAAAACGCTACAATTATTATCTCAGCTGAGAATTTGCAAAGTGTGCTCATTGCGACTATTTATATTTATAGGGGAGACCAATTCTTCATGCCTGAGATCTACTAAACTGCTAATAACTTTGTCAAATCACATTTTACCTTCACCAATGTGCACACACATTTTCCAAGCTCCAATATGAAATGACTGATTCCAAATGAATCAATACATGATGGGGATAATTTTTATGTCAGATTTCAACCAATACATTTTAAATCCATAACAACTCATGTGTTCAGGTATATGTTGGTACTTGGATCCTCTCGTTGTTTAAACATGGCAGATACAGTGGGTGTTGCATTAAAGTACATTGGACCATATTCTGAGATCAGCCTGAAATTAATTCTCTATTGTAAGTAATAGAGGAATTACAACGAGAACGGGTGAATTTTGGTGAATTTTGGTGGCTATGAAGATGATCCTATAGTAAAGGACATAGTATCTTACCTAGTGGCTTACAAAGATTTTACCTGTCTGGTAAGAACTTTGGACATGATGCTGTCTCTTGAAGCATAGAACTCTGGAGTGAACATATGATGAGAACAGACACATGTGCTTTGAAGAAATGGGATCATCTATTACATACAGTGTTTGGCTCACTTGCCTCATCTGCTATGTTTATAGTGGTAGTTCAGAGCAATTTAAAAATATTACCGATGCTAGAGTTTTCAGCTTTAATTCTTGATCAGTTCTTGAAATCATTAATGATGGCTTGTTTTACAAAAACGCCCACTCAGTTCAGCTGGCTCACTGATATGTAATAAATCTGATCATGCAGATTCGTGGGATTGCGTTTAATGCAACTGGTCCAATATCATTTGCTGCAATGAGGACAATAGCTTTGTTTGTACACAGCTATGAAACATTTAGATTATGTTTTTCAGTTGAACACGTAGATTGTAGGTGGTCTGCAAATTTAAAACAGCAAAATAATAGAATATAATAATAATAATCCTTGCATTTGATATAGCGCTTTTCACGTCTTCTCGATGTCTCAAAGCGCTTCACAGAATAGACTGTAAAGTGAATTGACCGTATATTTGTGGGCGAAATAAAATAATTGAGGTTAAGCTCTCATTTTTTATTTTCTATTCGCCTTGCTGTCATCAGAATTTTTGCTCCACGTAAAGTAAACTCTTTTTCCAATTGAAATACGCCTCGATTCTGATATGAGGACCCGTCTGCCTGTTCAGGTGGACAATTATAATCCCTCAAGAAAAAACAACAATAATAAATTGGTCACTTCAATCCACGACTGTTTGTGGGACACTGCTGTGCGCAATTTGGCTGCCGCATTTCGCCTAAAATATACAGTCAAGTCACTTTACAGTATATTCTGTGAAGCGTTTTGAGACGTCTCGAAGACGTGAAAAGCGCTATATCAAATGCAAGGATTATTATTGTTATTAATAAAGATCTCAGAGTGAAAGAGAAGCGAGTTTCTCCTGGAATCTTGGCCAAAAATCACTCAGATAAAAATTAGTTATTCACTTCATGGCTCTTTGGGGCACATTTTTATACCTATTTGCTGCTGTGTTCAACTACAAATTTACGGTTACTACATTTTACAGTACTATTTCTGAATCTCTATGAAACGTTTTGACGTGATAAAACACTGGAGCAAATGTAAGAATTGTTATTATTTTACTAAATGAACCAAAATTAAGCTGTGTGCAAACCAGGCTAATAGAGGAATTTTTGTGTCAAATCAATTCTCTATTCTGTCATCTTAACACCAATGGACTTTTAACTTGCATATTGATGTATGTATATGCTGTAATATTCAAATGCACTTTAAGCCTAAATGGTTGATACCTTTTATTGACAGTAAACAAATTAGCACAATATACTTCATTAGCTGTGCAACACTGAGTTCGAAGCTGCTGTATTACATAGCATGCAGTATTTGCTGATCATCCCTTTTACTCAGGTCATGGTTCCTGGCAAGCAGAATAGCCTCCTCCTCCAGCCTCTGCTCTCAGACACAGCGTACAGAATTACTGTTGCCCCTGTCTATACTGATGGAGAAGGAAGCACACTCTCTGTTAACGGCAAGACGTGTAAGTAAAATATCTTTTTGTGAGGGTTAGGATATTTAGAGTTGTTGCAATAATTGCTCTGTGATCTTATGGTATCGTATAAAATCAATTGTTTTTAAATTGTTTTTGCAGTTGTAATTAATGATGCAAAGCTTAAATACCTTTTGGGATAAGCACTAATAAACTGAATTCTAGGTGCCTTACAAATGGATTTTACACCGAGTAAATTATATCTGTACCATTTGGTGTTGAACCTGTCACTCTGTAGCTTTAGTGGTTAGAGCACTCGCCTCGCAAGTGAGAGGACCTGGGTTTGATTCACGGGCAGGACGAAATGTTGGGCAAGTTTCCTTACTCCACCCACCTCTCTTTAACAAGCAGTAAGTAGGAACTGGTTGTTAGTCGATTGGCAGATCGCTTTTCCAGGGGTAATAATTCCTTCAAAATTTTAAAACAAAAAAATTTGGTGATGTAATCCACGACTGTTTGTGGGTCACTGTTGTGTGCAATTGGCTGCCATGTTTCGCTCACAAAGTATACAGTCAATTCACTTTATAGTATATTCTGTGAAGCTCTTTGAGACATCTCGTCAAATGCAAGGATTATTATTATTAACAATTAAAGCAAATTCAGACAGTGAACGTTATGGTTCAATTTCAAGAGGTCAATAATATTATTTTGTTAGCAATCCTGTGAGATAAAATTGGGGGTGGGGGGCATAAATTTCATTCAATGTTAACACTTAGCGCATTTGGCGATACACAGCTATAATGAAAAATCCCCATAAGTGCTCCGGCCTGCTTCATGTTCTCCGCTTCGCCCGCCCCACCATTGGCGGGCGGGCCTTCTGCCCTCTGACCCCACCCTCTGGAACTCCATTCCCGCCCTCCGTCCCGCCCCCTCCCTTGCCTCCTTCAAGACCCGTCTCAAGACCCTTCTCTTCGACCGTGCCTTCGGGCATCCTCTCTCCCCTGCCCCCCACCCTCCCCGATGCCGACCCCCGAGCTTGAGTCCAAAACACTTATTGTCCAGGGGCTTGGGACGTCCTCCCGACGTGAAAGGTGCTGTACAAATGTAATTTTTTGTTGTTGTTGTTATGCTGAATGGAACTTTTACCCACATGAATGGTTCATTGTACCATAATGAATGCCAAAACACAGTTCATTCTAAACTGTCGTTTACTTTCACACCATGAAAGATGGCAGGAAAAAGGTGAGCTGTGATACAAAACAGACATACATCTGGAATTAAGCTAGTGTTAGTCTCTACCTATTCATTTTTATGGTATATTTCACCATTAGTCATTTTTACCTTTTTTGTTGCAGTGGCACTTTCAGGACCAAGGAACCTGCGGGTCTCAGAGGAATGGTATAATCGCTTCCGAATTAAATGGGACCCTCCACCATCAGCGACCATGGGCTACAGAGTGGTGTACCAGCCTGTCTCTGGTATGTTTCCCCTTAATACGTGTACAAAGTTGTATTTCTTTGAAGTTCCAGGAAACTGATTTGACTCAGAATGAATAAGTGATGAGATGAAAATTATTCAAGGAATCATTTGGGTTGTTGGATGGGTAGGCTAGGTGGACTAATGGTTTACTCCTGCCTGAAGTTCTTGCTGCTTTAGAAAGTGATTTACAGTCATCTGGAATTAATTTGTAATGTACAATATCAGTGATTTACAGTGAACTGGAGGTCACTTGTGATGTACAATGTGAGTTATTTACAGTGAACTGGAGATCATATGGGAATGTGTTGACGTCATTGTGTAAGTAATATGATGCTGTCATTCTTTGGCAAATGCGTGAAGCATCATTAGAAATTAATCTCTAAAACCCAGACTACTGCAATGGAACCCCAGAGAAGGGCAAGTGCAAAGACATCTGATATTTAGGTTCATCTCCCATCTCATCTAAAGATATTTGGGTAAGCGGAAATTACACCATACATTTCTGATGATATGCTGTGCATGTACAAAAGCCTTGCCTCATAATGATACCTGCAGGCTGCTGCAAAGACACTTGCACATGTGGAGGATGTCAATTGCTGCAAGTGTAGTACAGAAGTCAGAGGCAATGGTAAAACAGTGGTGGCTTGGAACACCTCTAGTTTGGTTCTGTAATTTGAGTTTCCACAGCCTTAAAATTAAGAGTGTTGTTGGGAATGTCTTAAAGTGTGTATTATACAGGGACTAGAAGGCCTCAAATTAGCACAGTTAGCAAACGAGCAACAGGAACTTAAACAGTATTGGGACAAGACAAATAAATATTAGTACAATGTCCTTCAGATTCCTCATGGATTTCTATTGCGTTCATAAGTTTCAGAATTTTCTCTTGCGCCTATGACCTCCTGAAAGCTTTCTTTCTGTCTTCAGTGGGTTCAGCCACTCGGAAGTTGCTGGCACACTTGCACTGACCCTGGTTCCATTTATTAACCAACACGAAAGGGGAATTGGTCTGGAATGGAGTGATCCACAACTGGGAACTTGCTGATCAGAAAGTGTAAATACCAACCAATGAGTTAATAGTAATAATAATCCTTGCATTTGATATAGCACCTTATCACATCTTCGAGATGTCTCAAAGTGCTTCACAGATTATATTGTAAAGTGTCGTGACTGTATTTTGTGGGCGAAACACGGCAGCCAATTGCGCACAGCAGTGTCCCACAAACAGTCGTGGATTGAGTGACCAAATTATTTTTTTTTTTCTTTTTTGCGCCTCTCTCTCTCTCTGGAGAGACGCATCCTGCTTACCTAATTCCAGAAAGTATTAGGCGCAGGTTAACATCCATATCAATAATTCCCTCCTAAAGCAAATCTTAGACCTTAAACCTGACATGACCCGAAAATTAGATATTCACAGATTTTAATGTCTCAGAAGAAGAACATTTAATCTGTCTGATTCTCTGGATTTCTTTTTATTTCAGTACCAGGACCAGCTCTGGAGACCTTTGTAGGAGACGACGTAAATACAATGCTGATTCTCAACTTGATGAGCAGCACAGAATACAGTGTCAAGGTGTTTGCAACATACTCAACTGGTTTCAGTGATGCACTTACAGGAAAAGCCAAGACATGTAAGGCATCTTTTCTGTCTGAATTCATAACGTCTCTTTATAAGATAAAATCTGGAAGCTTTGCTTTAGATGATTAAAGCATCTCGCAGTATTAGTGTAAGATTTTCTTTTTAAACGTATCAAAGATAAATATTAATATTTATAAACTGAGTGATACATCCCACTTTCCATTGCTGTAAACAGTTTATTGTGTTAATCTATTGCTGGCTCCTTTGGCATCGTAACACAATACTTGTTCTTTTATTTAGTATACCTCGGCGTGACAAATCTCACTCCATATGAAGTGCGAATGACGAGCATGTGTGCACAGTGGAAGGTGCACAGACATGCTACTGCCAACAGAGTGATTATTGAATCTCTTAGAGGTAAGCCAAAGAGGAAAAATCAATTGACTGGATATTGTACAGAGTGCACAACATGGAGAATTTTAGATTATATCTCTAGAATTTGTTTTGAGTGACAAGAATGCGTAAAAATCCCACCACATCAATTAACCCTTTCATTGTTTTATACAGCAAAGTAGGGTAATTGCTGAGGTGAATACAGAATCAATACAACAAACATGCAAAGGCTACTCTTGTGTACTGGATCCTCAGTGTTGATAAGGCACTCATTGTTGATCACTGAACTGTTCTTGACCAAACTATGCTACTCAATATCTGCTACTCTCTTTCTGACTTTTTCTCTTTCCATCTCTGACAATCTTACTCTCTCTCATAGGTTCTCTTGTAGTCTCTCTTGCTCTCTATTCTATATGTCTGTCTCTCTGAATTTTGCTGTCTAATGTGCCAAGTAATATTACATTAACGTAGACCAGGATATTTTGAAATGATCAGTGTATTGATTTTTACATTACTTAATGTTCAACTCATGAGAAAGTGGTCAAACACTGCGTGGGCTGCAGCATTTCAATGACATAAAGCAATAATTCTGCTCTTCATAGGGTAATGTTTGCATTGAGTTTTATCCATAGTACATTGATGTGTTTCTGCGCTTGTAAAAGTCACAAATGACATCCTCTCTATCTGTGACCAGGGCTCCCTCTGCCGCCTTGTCCTCCTGGACCTCTCCGCCGCGTTCGACACAGTCGATCACGCCATCCTCCTCCACCTCCTTTCCTCCGTCATAACAACAACATCCACCTTAGTGGGACCGCACTTGCCTGGTTCGAGTCCTACCTCACAAACCGCCAGCAGTACATCTGCACAAACGGCTTCTCCTTCCGCTCTCACCCGGTTACCAGCGGGGTACCCCAAGGATCTATCCTTAGCCCCCTCCTCTTTCTGATCTACATGCTCCCTCTTGGGGATGTCATCCGCAGACATGGGGTATATTTCTGCATGTATGCAGATGATACCCAACTCTATTTTTCCACCTCTCTTTGCGACCCCCCAGTCCCCTGATGTTCTGTCAGCCTGCCTGTCAGACCTCAGGGGCTGGATGAGCGCAATTTCCTTCAGCTGAACGTTGACAAGACGGAAGCCATACTCTTTGGCTCTCGTCAATGTCTAAAATCTCACGGTTCTCACCTCCACCTATCCGACCTCCCCCTTAAACTCTCTGAACCTGTACCCCCTCTACTACCATCCATAAAATCCAGATTATTCAAAACTCTGCCACCCGCATTCTCATCCACACCGAACTCCGCTCCCAGTCCTTGTCAGACTGCACTGGCTCCCTGTCCCAGAGAGGGTCGATTTCAAGATCCTCACCCTTGTCTTCAAATCCCTCCACTCCTCTGCACTCCCTACCTCTCTGACCTCTCTCCTCACAACAGTGCCCGTTGCCTTCATTCCTCCGGGTTTGGCCTCCTTTGTCCCCCGAGTCCTCCGCTCCACACTCTGGGACTCCCTTCCTCACTCCCTTCATCTTGCTCCTTCCCTTCCTATTTTCAGGTCTCTACTGAAGACCTATCTTTTCGACTGTGCCTTTGGTCACCTTTCTCCCCCTCCCCCTGGCTCAGCCCAGGGATCCATTACTGTGAAGCACTCTGAGACACCGTCCGGCGTGGAGGGTGCTATATAAATCCTTGTTGTTGTTGTGTGGTTTGTATAGTGGCACAAGGCAATGATCAACAACTTAGAAACACTTTTGGTAATGACAATAAAAGGGCTAATGTTTGTTTAGAATTACAGTCAAGTGATGATTATCCACATTAATTAGGACCGACACATTGTGGATGAGGACACCGTGCAGGCAATTGGTCATCACACAAATTACAAATTGTCTATAGTGCTAACTAAAACATTATTCCATCAGGAGTTATACTGTCACTATAGTACTGTGTCCCCCCTACCTACCTGCCCGTACCCTCCGTTCCTCTGGCTCCGGTCTGCTCCACGTCCCCCGCCCCAACCGCCCTACCATCGGTGGTCGGGCCTTCAGCCTCTCAGCCCCCAGGCTCTGGAACTCCATCCCCCAGTGCCTTCGCCGCCTCCTCCCTTTCCTCCTTCAAGGCCGGTCTCAAAACCTTTCTCTTTGACCGTGCCTTCAGCTCCCCTCTCAACTCTCTAACCCCTCCTCGACCCCTCCCTTCCCTCCGACCATTTCCCCCCTCCTCGCTCCCTCCCTTCCCTCCCCTCACCCTGACCATTTCCCCCCTGCTCGGGTCATGACCCAACTGTGCAGCGCCTTGGGACGTCCTCCTGACGTGAAAGGCGCTTTATAAATGGAATCTTGTTGTTGTTGTTGTGTCAGCTTTCTCTCTCTCTGCTACTCTCTCTTACTTTTCCCTCTCTGACAACATTGTTCTTTCTCATAGGTTCTCTTTCTCTTTCAGTCTCTCTCTAGTCTGTCTGCCTGTGTCTCTGAATATCTTTCTCTCTCACTCTCTGAATCTCTCTCTCTGTCTGAATCTCTCTCTCTCTCTCTCTCTCTCTGAATCTCTCTCTCTCTCTGAATCTCTCTCTTTCTCTCTCTGAATCTCTCTCTCTCTCTCTCTGAATCTCTCTCTCTCTCTCTCTCTGAATTTCTCTCTCTCTCTCTGTGAATTTCTCTCTCTCTCTCTCTCTCTGAATTTCTCTCTCTCTCTCTCTCTCTGAATCTCTTTATTCTAGTTTCTCAAACTTTCTATCTCTCTGTTGCCTTTGCTCTGTGACTTTTTTCTCTATCTTTAAAAACAAAAGAATTGCTAGACGAAAGCTGACCAAAGTTCATCCAGTTCGCTTTCCACCATCTCAGCAGTCGCTTGCACACGTCATGTCTCAAACTATATACTATATTGGCCCAGACAATACAGTTTATAATTTGTATACTGTTTGTATATACTGTATATACAGTACCTTTATAACTTTCTGACTCTTTTGTTTCTATTTGTACACTGCTAAATAAACACCTTCAAGCTACTAACAACCACAGGCCTCGTATTCTCTATTATTTCACAGCCCCCTCTACAGTGTTGTTAAGTGCACCTGGGGGTAGCTGCCATGTATATACTTCCTCCAATAAAGGGTTACAGGCTCAGGTGCAAAGGAGCTGTGCCTTGTGTTTCAATGAAAATCCACCTAATATAAGTTTCACCAGACACTAGACAGTTTACATATGTTTTATATAATCCTGTTACATAATAAAAACAAACTGGAACGCATTTTTTTTGTAAGTCGAAGCCTTACTGACTTTCTGTGGGGTTTATAGGGGTTAACGTGTATGTATAGCTTGGCCTTGTTCCATAAGATGTTTGACAAACAAAGAGTTCTATAGAAATCATAATTTCATTATCGAGGCAATGGAGCGGCTTCAGGATCACGTTTCAGACAATAGATTGATTTTTTACACGAAGAAGACATTCATTTTAGACCTTTTTCAAGATCACTCCTCAACCACTGCTTAATTTTGACCTCATTTGCTTGTTCCTTGTTATTTAAATCATTATAACACTTCTGCTATCTTTTCGTTCTGCTCAAAAGTGTTGTTCTGCTTTGTTTGGAGGTAGGATATGTATTGGAGGTGCGGTTATTCTGTGTTTGTCGATGCATTTACTGGTTCTGATAGTGCGTGTTTGTAATAGAAATATCACTTCTATCTTTCTACTGTCAATGTCAGTCAGTTTGCCCACAAAGAGGGAATAATCCTTATAAAATCCACAGTCACAGGAGTGAAAACTCTGGCTATTCATCTCTTTCTATCTCTTGGGTGCTGAGGACAACTGTAATATCTCAGTCCTTTCTCATTCAAGATCAGTTAACCTACAGCTCAGATGGAAAAATTAAACCCAGGGCCTTTGAAGAGTATGTGATTTAATATCACACAAAGCATTCTCTTTATCAATTAAGCCATGAGGCGAAAAACAAACAATATATAGCTTTAATGAGAACCTAGAACAATACGTTCAGATATGTCAAGGCAGCAGAACAAGATTGCGAAAAGGTTCAGGGATGCAAAAGGGCAAAATTAGGACAGACAGCAGGAAGCATTTCTTCACACAACTAGATTATCTAGAATGATGGTTGAAACCAGGACCCTAGACTCCGTTACGAGTCAGCTTAATGCTGTATATGGGTACATATATGGGTACATATACAGCTGTATAATATGGGATGCTGTATGATGATCGTATGGGTATTCTGGAAGGATGAGTCAAAAGGGCTCACTCACCAGAAGGATTTTCTTTATTCAAACCTCTCTTGAAATCTTGTTATTTGAAAATAAGACGTGGATTTTATTATTGAACCCATATTGCTTTTATAACATTTCAGATGGAAAGAAGAATGAAGTGATTGTTGGTGGAGGTACATCCTGGCACTGTTTCTACGAGCTCCTTCCTGATACTGAATACCGAATCAGTGTCCACTCTCAGCTGCGAGAAATTGAAGGCCCGGCCATCAACATACTGCACAGAACATGTGTGTAATAGCTTACCTTCCATCCCATTTCTTAAACTCTCTTTACGTTTATTTCACTTTTAGTTTAACCAAAATATGTTGGGCTGAATCAATGCAACATCTTCGGGACATCCTCCTGATATGAAAAACGCAATATAAGTGCAAATTGTGCAAAGTACTGTATTGTATCTTGCTGATTTGAGGTGAAGGCACAAAACTGCCTTCAATCTTGAGTTATTTTTCAATGTGAGAGATTTTCTGCTCAGGTTTCAGTATGTGCACATTGGTTCAAAGGATTACCTTTCCTGGTGAAAGTGCAGTTGTATGTTGTGTGTGAGCATTATGCCATTTGATTTACTCCATTTTCCTCTCCCCATTAATATTGTTAATGAACAATCAGTGCAGACATAGGAAAGCTTTGCTTTTTGTTGTGGTTTCTCTTTGTGCACATTGGAGGATTAGCTATACTTTGTCACTGTAGATGCCAGGGTTCAGCTCCACATCATAGAGCAGAAGTGGAATGTCAATCCTCTACAGAACTACAAGCAGGGCAGCATGACAAGAGGTCCCAACACATAACCTGGTCCCGTACATTTATGCTTGGAATTTAATACCTGCTTCAGAATTCTGTATTCATCCAAAAGCTGTCCAATTCTGAGTGGTGAAGCTTCACATTATTCTTCTGCCTGTGCAATTCTATTCCTGATGGTCTCTTTGCCCGGAATGCAAATACAAGAATTATTATTATCTATCCTGCAAGTATTCAAGTTCAGAGTTGACTATCATGCACCAAATGAAGTTGGGCAGCTGGAATATTATCTACAGACCCTATGTTTTAGCTCTTTAATAATAATAATAATAATCCTCGCATTTGATATAGCGCTTTTCACGTCGGGAGGACGTCCCAAAGCGCTTCACAGAACACACTGTAAAGTGAATTGACTGTATATTTGTGGGCGAACGCAGCAGCCAATTGTGCACAGCAATGTCCCACAAACAGTCATAGATTGAAAATGATCAATTTATTATTGTTTTTGGTTTTGGAGGGATTATTATTAGGCGTGTGGAGTAAGGAAACTTGCCCAAGGTTTCGCCCTGTCTGGAATTGAACTCAGGTCTCTCACTTGCGAAGCGAGTGCTCTAACCACTGAGCTACAGGACTCCATCCTGCCTGCTTCAGTATTACCAATATATCATAAGGAATGTGTTATGAAAGTTTCAGTCCTGGCTGTACAAGGCTGGCTGTACCTGTCAATCAGTCTGGTTTCTGGCTCCCTGAGGCTATCACTGCTGTTCCACTGCCATCCTGAATTTTCACTCCAGAGCTGTTATTGAGGCAATATTGAGTTGCCAGCAGCAAAACAGTTGAAGAAACCAATTTTATTTAATCATTTTCTTGATCTGCGGCATTTAAGTGCCTCTTTTAGGCCTAAAGACAGAGTTTTAAATTAAAAATTTCCTCCTCTGCCTCAACCAGACTAATTTAAAAAAAACAGCTTGACGCTGTGGTGGGAAGATGTTAGGATGGGTATTCTGGAAGCGTGGGATCAAATGGACTCTTGTGTGATCTTGTGATGGTGCTGAAGCTGTGACGTGGAAATGTACTTCTATAAAAACTTGTGCCACTGGTTTAAACTTGCACTCAAGAAAATTTCCACTGCTGGTTACGATGTACGCATGCACATAGTTAAAGACTTCTCTAATGCTTAAGCTAACTTTATTTCCAGGATCTCAGGACTAGTGAGGGTAAGCAGACAAGTGGTTTATTAGTATGCAACAATGCTATTACACTACTCTACTGTAGCTGTACTCTGCTGTAGTTGTATTGTACAATGCTTATTTTGCTTGGAATATAATACAATAAAATGTACATTTATACAGTGTCATTCAAGTCGGGAGGACAGCTCAAAGAGCTTTACACTGGTGGCAGGGTAACATTATTGGATTGTATTATTCCAAAATGTATGTATATATTTTTTATATATACAAGGGGATGAAGAGTGCTATATAAATGCTAGTTGTTGTCATTGTGTGTATTGCACAGTTTTTAATTTAAATCACTTTTACCCACCTTGTACCTTTCTTCCACTTCAGTTTCTGTCCCCACTCAACCACCAACTAAACCAGCCACAACTCTACCTCCCCCAACAATCCCTCCTGCCCGTGAAGGTAAGACAAAGCAGACATTCTTGAGAAACAAAGAGGTTATTTCCAGTGGCTTTTGTTAATTTTCTGCATAAGTTTTATACAAGCTTTGAGTAAGAAATCTGCAAAATCGTGCCATTTTTATACCATTTGATTTTAAATCTTAAATGGAGTGCAGTAGCAATAATTTTTAAAAAATTGCATTCCATGAAACTTGTACCTCTCACAGGATACTGCTATGCAATATCTAAACCTTTTCAAATGTTCCTTACCCTCCAGTTTGCAAAGCTGCCAAAGCTAACCTGGTATTCCTGGTGGATGGTTCGTGGAGTATTGGAGATGAAAACTTCATCAAAATCATCGGCTTTCTCTACAGTACTATAGGAGCTCTGGACAAGATTGGCCGTGAAGGAACTCAAGTAAGCCCAGTGTCACAACCACACATAGCCTCTCACAACCAGGGCACCTTTTGAAAGCGGCTAACTTTTTCCAAGGGTGTCCTTGCTCTGATAATTCACTGATGGCCAGGATCATATTCTTTACTTACAACTGCTGTCTTACACTGCAGCAGGCGGTGATCACTTAGGAATATTTTAAAAGGAAATCTTTGCCTCCAATAGGTCCAAGTGACAACCTATGAGATATCTACTGGAGCTATCTACTCTTGTGTCACTCCCATGGATCTGTTCCCATATCTTTTACTGTTGCTTTTCCTCAAATGCAGTATCAATTCTCCTGTTAAATGCTCTTGTGGACTTGGGTACAACATCCAACAGTGGGTATTCCATATTCTGAACAACCCTCTATGCAAAAAAAAATCTTCCAATTCCCCCTTTTATTTTAGATGTCAGTTTGGCTCAGGTGGTAGCACTCTTTGGTTGTGAAGTGCTTTGAAACGTTTTGACATGATACTATTATTATAAATAATAATGTATGGTGACAATAATCCTAATGCGATCATTTAACATGAAATCAATATGAATGCATTATTTTATCATATCCATCATCAAATAACACCTAACATCAAATAAGGATTGACCTTTAAGCAGTTGTCTATCACTCATTGACTTATTTGATAAATTTACTCTGAAAATACTGAAAATGTACGAGAAACCCAAGCCAAGTAAAAGAGAAATATTTCTTGCTGGCTCCTCACTAAAATGTCAGGAATGATTTGTATAATGGTGTGTCAACACTTGATTATTAATCCTATTATTTGAAACTAACATAGGTGGCGATAATTCAATTCAGTGACGATCCCAGGACAGAATTTCAGCTGAATGCATACAAAGACAAAGAGAACCTCCTTAATGCCATCCAGAACATACAGTACAAGGGGGGCAATACAAAGACAGGTATGTGAAGTACTTTGAGACGTCTTGAAGATGTGACAAGCTCTATATCAAATGTAAAGATTATTATTAAATTGGGGTATGGAGCTGTTCGATTAGTGCACCTGTAATTCCTTCTGCACTCATGTACAGTATCTACACAGTCTGTAAATTAGCTTCCAGTAATGAGTATTATTATACACAAAGGCTTTCCCAAATCAATCTGCGGTTTATGGTTTTTAGGCAAAGCAATCCAGCACGCCCGAGATTCTGTCTTCACGGTAGCAGCGGGGCTGCGGAGAGGAATCCCGAGAGTCCTTGTTGTGATTACAGATGGACGGTCACAAGACGACGTGAACAAGATTTCCAAAGAGATGCAGCTTGATGGTAATGAAGGGAAAGTGTTCAAACAGCTTGTGGTGGCTGTGACCATCTGATTTTTTTTATTTGCAGAAACCCATGCTTAAGAGTATTTAGACCAGGCAGAGACCAATGCATGCCACCTAAACATGGGAATTCCTGTGTTTGGAATGGAATGTGCACGCTCCCCGAGGAATATGCATCCTGCTTACTTAATTCCAGAGAGTATTTGGTGCAGGTTGACGGGAGCCAAGGCTTGGTAACTCCAGATTGTACTTTTGGGTACAATGCTGTATAGCCTACCATTCTGTCTGACAAGCTTCCTGCTGCTTGTCCAGCTAGGGCCACCTTACCTGTTAGTGCTGAAGAAATGTGGGTGGTCTGTGGCTTGTGTGGGAATAATTAGGAAGTTCAGCCATGAGGGCATTGGAAGAGTAGTATATATATTTAATACATAATAACTTCAGCCCTTTCCACTTCCTACCGACTACTTTCCTGGTGGGTCTCAGTCTCTTGCTAAAAAAAATCTGGAACTCTGTTAATGCACAACTGTAGCGAGTGTGTGAATTGAAATACTGAATGAATCTTGTACAAGCACAATATGTATTTCTAGAAAAAAAACTAAACTCCCTGGACATTTTCTAATTGAACTTTTGTCTGGACAAACGCTGCAATGTTACTGCACTCCCTATTATTACTTCTTCCAAAGCACCTTGTTGTGGCAATGTGAAGAGAATAAGATACTATTGACTGCCTATCAGCTCTTGGGCTGAGATAAACCTTTGTAATAATCATATTCCTGGCATATATCAAATGCAAGGATTATTATTATTTGAAATAGCATCTTATCCATCCTTAAAATGCCTCAAACAATTTACTGGAGTGACTATAGCATGGGCACATGCAGTAGCCAATTTGCATACAACAATATTGTATAAACAGGTATAATATGAACGCCCAAATTTATCTGGGAAATTGAAATCAGCACAGTTATTCTCTTTTCGAATAGTGCCATGGGAATCTTTAACATCCCCCTGAACAGGAAAGTAGAACCTTGGTTTATTATCCCAGTATTTCACTTGAGTATCATCTTAGATTAGGAGCTTGGAGTCCTGACGTAGAATTTGAACTCACAGCCTTCTGACTGGTGGGAGTGCTAGCAACTGAGCCTGTCTACGTCTTCAGCATGAATGCCACCTATTTTTTTCCCTACAAATAGTGAATTGCAGTTTAAATAACATTGCCTGATATCAGCTCCATATTGTCGCAGACAGTAAAGCTCGTATTTGTCATCATTTTAATTACCCTTTGTCTCAAAACCTTAAAAACATTTTCCTCTTGCTGAGAGTTCATGATCCTTTTTGTTTCAACTGAGCATACATTTTTAAGCTGAAAAAATATTTTGCTTTTAATTTGTAGAAAGGGTCACTTCTGCACAGGAAGTCAACAAGCTCAAACTGCTTTAAACATCATTAGTGTTTTTATTGCCTTTAATCAATCAAATGGCCATCTATCAAATTACCTTATTACAGTTCCCTTGATAGTTCAGTGAGTCCCAAGTTTGATCCCTAATCTGTCCTGAATTAGCTGATGTCAGCCAAGGTAACATTAAGGGTGATATAATTGGGCTCTGGGTTAGGGAGGGGAAATATCAAACGGAAATGTTCTCCTGGTGGCTGTTCAGAGACCCTTGCTCGAAGGTCCACCTGTCCCAGTGGGATTGAACTTGACTGAGATGCCCTCACAATCAAATTGTGCGACCCCACTGACTCCTAAATGGACATGAATAATGGTTATTGGGGACTGGAGAGTGATTGACACCCATGGAACGTCACCAGAGTGGAAAAGAAAATAGAGTCGGACACCTTCGGGAAAGGTTTGAGGTGGGGAGAGAGTTTGCAGAGAAACTCAGTGGAATTTTTTTTCCTTTTTGCTATATCTACTGAAGTATCAGGAAGCAATGTCATCACATTGATTATATAAGCTGTAAAAGTGTCACCTGCCCTATAAATGTCTTCTACAAATGTCATTACACTTTGCAGTAAAGTCTTGTGAAGCACTTTGTTTAGAGTGATGCGATAGACAGACATATAGATTAATACACTTTTCTGTTCCTGTTTCTTTTTTCTAGGTTACAGCATTTTTGCAATAGGTGTCGCTGATGCCGACTATTCTGAGCTTCTAAACATAGCTAGCAAGCCCAGCCGGCGGCATGCCTTCTTTGTGGACGATTTTGATGCCTTCAAGAAGATTGAAGATGAGCTTGTCACATTTGTCTGTGAAACTGCATCTGCCAGTAAGTCACTATCAACTGCCATTTCTAATCGCCTGTCAGGTTACGTGACGTCATCGTTTTGGGGGAGATGTTTCACCTGCGTCTAGATTTACTCTATTTATTTCAACTTCACGATCCTCACCCTCACATACAAATCCCTCAAGCCCTAGCGCCTCCCTTCCTACTTGTCTGAGCTCTGCTTCTAATCTTCTCCACTGCATCACTCAGCTAAAGCAAGCCTGCTGTGTGTCCCCTTGGTTTCACTGTTGGTGGCTGATCCTTCAGCCACTATGCCCCTAACCTGTGGTGCTCCCTGTGTCTATCTCTTTGATTCGCCACATCTCTATTGATCTTTATATTCCACCTTAAGACCCATCTCTTTGACCGTGGTCACCTCCCCTTTCACCTTTGCTTGGCGTCCAACCCTGCCACTGTTCAATGCTCTTAAGACGTTATCGTACTAAAAAGTGCTATAAAAATGCAAGTTATTATTATTATATTTTGGAATGTGTTGAAATTGGCAAATTATTGAATTCATTCTTAACTATGAAGCTGTTTTATTTAGTTCTTTAAAAAAAAGTATAGAAAAACAACTTTAAGATCAAGGCTTTATTTACATGTTTGCCAAATTATGGATGTTTTGAAATGCTCAGTCAATGGAATAAATGTAGATCAGAATGGAATTTCTTTCCCATTATCTATTGAACTCACAACACCTAACAGACTTGTGCAATCAAGTGAGTAAGAAAGTGGAAGGGATGAAAATGACATGGAACAAATTGGTGTTATTGCTAAACATACAAATCTTTTCTCTATGAAGTTTTTCATAATAAATACATAGCGACAAGATTATTGTTTTTACTACTTTGTGTAATATCACCACCTAAATCAACAAACATTATCTGTGCATATGGGAACTGGTTCATACTGACTGTATTTGTTTGTCCTTCCCCACTCTCGCTCCCACACCCAGCTGGTATTGTCAAATGCCTTGAGATATCCTCCCAATGTGAAAGGCGCTGTATAAGTGCCAATTGTATTGTAAGGCATTGTTACTGAAGTGTTCCTGTTTGTTTGTGTTTTCAGCTTGTCCTTTGGTTCTCCTGGGAGACAATAGCCTGTCAGGTGAGGAAGTCACCATGTAGATCTCCTTGTGCTGAAAGTCGAGGGAAGACCTCATTTTGACGAGCACATTGGTGTTCTGCCATGCAATGTGTGTGGGGTGGTGGGGGGGGAGGAAGGAAACTGAGGCTCATACCTGAGATGACTCATGCTCTGAATTTAACATCAGGCCCATGTGATCCAAAGGCATTGAGTGGAAGGCAGGTGAGAGTAAGTCAGTTGGAGCACTGGTACGCACCTCCTGTAATCTGGCTTCAGAGCTGCAATTACAGAGACTTGGATGCATCTTATTTGTCTGACCCACAAGCAATAGAAGGGCAACAGTGTCAGAGATTGGGATTAACCTTAAAAAAATTCTAAAATATACAACAGAAGATGATAAGAAGAATTACCTAACGATATTAATTGTATTATACTTAGAAACAAAATATTACCTGCTTGAAATATTTTCATTTCATTTTATGGTATCGAAGAACAATTTCTTATGTCCTCAGGGTTTAAGATGATGGAGATGTTTGGGCTGATGGAGAAGGAGTACGCTACTGTAGAAGGGGTTTCCATGGAACCTGGCTCTCTCAATAGCTTCCCTTGTTTCAGAATTCACAAAGACGCCCTTATAACACAGCCAACGAAGTAGGTATCATAACCACAGTTACAATTTCTAAAGGAAACTGCAATTCTGCATATTTATTGTGTATTAAAACTGATTTTTGATATGAGCATACTATGGCCAGTCTTCCCACATTGTAACTGGTATTATTGCTGATTCTGGTATGTTATTTCCCACCCAGAAAGATTGACCCACAGAGGCTGAAAATTCCATGCATTACATAGCAAATGTTAAATTAGATTTTGGGAATGCTTTTCAGATGAGGTGTCCAAATTTACCTGCCAAAGTATTGTGGGCCTGTTTGCATGTGTTTTCTGTAGAAATTTCTGTGCTATCCAACAACAGGCCTTAAGTTACACTTATTCTAAATAGAAATACAGATCCTGCTGACTATAGATTAACCTGTTTTTGTCATGAAATGTCTGAATGCAATGTTGGAATCAGCAGTACATCATATTTTAAGAATGTAAATCTGAGCTTTCCACGTACAATAAGAGCTCTTTTACAGTCTAACCTAACTAATTGCAATGCTTGTTGTTTTGGAATGTACTGAGTTTTATTATTTATTACCTGTGTACGTTTCACCCATTCTCTGAACAATATTAATAATAATCCTTGCATTTGATATAGCGCTTTTCACGTCTTCTCGACGTCTCAAAGCGCTTCACAGAATAGACTATAAAGTGAATTGACCGTATATTTGTGGGCGAAACGCGGCAGCCAATTGCGCACAGCAGTATCCCACAAACAGTTGTGGATTGAAAATGACCAATTTATTATTGTTTTGTTTTGGAGGGATTATTATTAGGTGTGTGGAGTAAGGAAACTTGCCCAAGGTTTTGCCCTGCCTGGAATTGAACCCAGGTGTCTCGCTTGCAAAGCGAGTGCTCTAACCACTGAACTACAGGAACAAAGTCCCTGTTGACTGTGTTTCGTGCAGTCATTCACACAAAAGAGATCATCCTCTTCTAGAATAAGTATGTTATTTTCAGTGCTGTCTAACAAATGAACTAAAAGGGTGACGAGCAACAATCTGTATGCTCAGCATTTGGAAGTAAAGATGTTCGAGGTGAAGTTATTGTTGCTAATGTCAATGTGGAGTTTGCTAACCCTCCTGTTTCTTTGTCAAGGAGCATTCATCCTGAAGGGCTGCCTTCTGATTACACTATGACTTTCCTCTTCCGGTTGCTGCCTGACACACCACAGGAACCTTTTGCCCTCTGGGAGATTCTAAACAAGGAAAATGAACCACTAGTTGGAGTTATTTTGGACAGTAAGTGCTTCATGGTTGCTTTACTATTCTGTTGTCTGCGGTAACAGGGCTAAAGAAGCAATATTAGCTAAGTTGATGGCACGGCACTAATTCATTGTAATTCATTGTAATTGTAAACTTCAGGTTTACAAATGACATTGTGGGATTTGCTATGAAATTCGATTTTTAAACCAAAAAAAAAGACAAATGGGAGAAAATCTGAAGCCTGAAAGTTTGAAAAGGCCATTTTGCAGCAAGTGTTTTGCTTTGCAACCGTTTGTCAGTTTTTGGGCCTTCTCTTGGCCAAGAAGATGCTCATCCACCCTCTGCTCCACCATTGGTGGTCGTGGTTTCAGCCATTATGACCCTAAGGTCTGCAATTCCCTACCTCAATGCCTGTATCTCGCCTCCCCGTTACCTATCTTTAAATCCCACTTAAGACTGATCTCTTCAACTGCGTCTATGTTCACCTCCCCGTTGCTTGGCGTCCAACCATTCCCTGTACAGCAACCACTACAAGGCACTATCCTTCATGAAGGGCACTATATAAATGCAACTTGTTGTGCATGTTATACTCTGCACATATGCAGTGTATTCGGGGTGAGATTAGAGTTGTTTGGGAAATATTTAGCTTGCAGCACAGATTAGAAAGACAAGCTTTGAGAGAGGCTGCAGTGCAGCCAAAACAAAGGTGCAAAATGTTCACAGATCACATAGTGGGCAGAGACACAGCGTGATACAAACATCAGCAGCCTGTCTGACTTCAGAAGGTTCTGATAATTGTTGCAGGCTGAAAAAACATAGGACTGTTATCTCAGTCTTAATTTTCAATTATTTGCTGTGTTTAGATGGTGGAAAAACTCTCACTTATTTCAACTACGACTACAAGGGTGATTTCCAGACAGTCACTTTTGAGGGTCCTGACATCAAGAAAATTTTCTATGGAAGTTTCCACAAGGTCAGTTTATACCGAAATAAAAATGTATAGGATTCTGTGTTAGAATTTCATTAGAGGGGTATTAAATTCAATGTGTCAGTTCTAATGGCTACCATGTGCACCTATTTTAGGTAAGTATCTGCCATTTGTGAGGGCAAAGTTTAATTCATATCAAGTACAAAAGTTGTACAATTTTCTAATGCATTGTTAAAAAGCAATACAGTATTTTTTTCTCTTGATGGGTTTCTGTGCAAGAATATTTTTCTCAATTTTTCTCCCAACTTCTCAGAGGTTGCTTTGTTGCAGAATTTTCAAGAGGCAGACAAAGTACAAGGGTTCCTACAGAATTGTTTTGGTCAGCCAGGTGTCTGATACACATGCAAACCCATCACCATGCTTAAGAGTATCCAAACCAAACTGAGAATTCCACATACGTATGCCACTTACGCATAGAAATTTCCCTGTGTTTGGAAAGGAATGCCCACTCTCTTCCTGGAAGGATGCACCCTGCATATCTAATTCTGGAAAGTATTAGTCGCAGGTTGATAAGAGCCAAGACGTAGGGACCTCAGAGTGTGCTGCAGTTTATCCAGCTAAAACTGCATATCTTACCATTGAGACCATTGTGCAGCTTGGACCACCTTACCTGTTAGGCATTGTCAGGGTTAATAGAGTTGTCAGGTTTAACAGGAGACAAATGATAGGAATTCCTAGTCTAAGTGAATCTCCTAGTCTCCTTCCCTGAAGGAGACCCATTTTATCTCCTGAGGCTTTTTTTGCACCATGAGACAACCTGAAAGCACTGATGGTATACAGTTCTGCCGATGCCAGAAACCCTCCTGTCCTCCACCCAGGTGATCATTCACCATGGATGAAGCCAGACAGTGATCATGCACATCAGTAGGAGCATCTCAAGCACACTGGCCGCACTTGAATCCACACGCAAACACTTGACAGCTGAGTCACTGGATAGAAATCACCAGAGAGGGCTTTGTTAGACATTTTACTCGCTAACACTCTGAGGCCAGTTCTAGCACTATCCTGTCTAAGATCAGCTAACTCAACAGAGCTCAGCAATCAACTGTGAAACCTTCTGGATCTGTTTAACTTAGAAGAACCACACAGGCAGTAGGATTACTTACTGAGTCACTAGTGGAGTGAGTTTAGATTAAAAACACATGCATTTTCTTCTGGGGGAGTGATGCCAATTCTACAGCCAAATCTGGGAATCAGATGTGAATTGTCAACTGCTTCAGTTCTACTTTCACATTTTATGAATTTAAAACAGAGTCGAATTAAAACAAATTTAAAAATGGAGTCGCGTAGCTCAGTGGTTAGAACACTCGCCTTGCAAGCGAGACACCTGGGTTTAATTCCAGGCAGGGCGAAACCTTGGGCAAGTTTCTTACTCCACAAGCTTAATAATAATCTTTCCAAAACAAAACAATAAATTGGTCATTTTCAATCCACGACTGTTTGTGGGACACTGCTGTGCGCAATTGGCTGCTGCGTTTTGCCCACAAATATACGATCGATTCACTTTACAGCATATTCTGTGAAGCGCTTTGAGACGTGTAGAAGATGTGAAAAGCGCTATATCAAATGCAAGGATTATTATTATTATTAATTTATCTGAAAACCTTGATTAGAATCCAACTTCGTAATGACTCACTTTCCACATCAGGAAGGGAAAGTTGCAGCTTTTCATGATGTATTCATGCAGTAATAATAATAATAATTATTTATTATTCAAAGTGATATCAAATGAAACCCATTACAAAATAAGTTGATTTATTCCTGTTCATTAATTATTGTTGATCTCAACATTAATTAGGTGGTTAGACCCCACCGCAACCCACCACTAGCCCCCTTCCTGTGCAGGCACGAGACGGGCCCTTTCCTGGTTTTACTAGTTTTGCAGAACCACTGTTACATTTTTTTGATGCCAGGATGTTAACACGGATTAGGGTTATTACGATGAGTTTGTCCGAGAGTGATTCTTAACAGAGCCTGTTTGGACTGATTGTTGCATTCTTTACTGACAGTTGCATGTGATTATCAGCAAGACCCACACCAAGCTGGTTATTGACTGCAAGCAAGTGGGGGAAAAGCCAACCAGCGCAGCAGGGAACATCACCACGAATGGAGTGGAAGTGTTGGGCCGCATGGTGCGATCCAGGGGCCCGCGAGACAGCTCTGCACCAGTGAGTGGCTCACACCTACCTTTGTGACTGCTAAAGACGAAGCCTAGCTTTTACCCTCATGGCCAAATTCATCAAATTTCTCCCAGTGTCCTGGCCAACAATCCTCCAGTTAAACTAGTCATTTACCCCCTACATTTTTGTGGGACATTGCTGTGTGGAAATAGGCTGCTGCATTCACCTTCAAATACACAGTCACTACACTTCCACATGTCGACCTGCCTTAGTTGGTAGCTCTCTCGCCTCTGTGTCAGAAGGTGTGAGTTCAGGTTCCACATTGGGAATGCAAGAAATGTGCTGCATTGTTGAAGGACTTTTGGGTGAGACATCTGAGATCCCATGTCCCTGATTAGATAGATGTTAAAGATCCCATGGCACTATTTGAGAAAAAGAAGGGAGTTTCTTTTTGTGTCCTGCCCAATAATTCCCGAAAGATCATTTATTTCATGCTGTTTGTGGGACACTGTTATGCACAAAATGGTTGCCAGTTACACAGTCACTGCACTGCACAGTAAATCTGTGAATTACTTTGAGATGTCTTGGTGCTATGAAAGGCATCATGTCAAATGCACAGACTGTTATTAGTTTTGTTAGCAGGCAGTGGGGTTGCAAAAGTACTCGGATTGGAGAACTAATTTTATGGTGAGCAAGGTTAGGCCATGCTCACCCCTATTAACCGAATCATGTTCCACAAGGGAACGAGGGTTGTCCCCGCAGACAAGCCCCAATTCCCCCCCAAACTCTGAAGGCATGGGGTCAACTTGCACATGTATGCGGATGACACCCAACTCTATCCCTCTGCCTCCACCCTTGACTCCAGGACCACTGCTGTCCTGACAAATGTCTGTCAGACATCAAATCCTGGATGAGAGCTAACTTTCAACAGTTGAACGTCAACAAGACCGAGGCTCTCCTGATTGGCTCCTGTCAGCACCTCCTCACCTCAGGGGCTGACAGCATCACCATCCATGGTTGCACACTCCACCTTACTAAGCCAGTCCAGAACCTTGGGGTCTTGATTGACCCTCAACTGTCCTTTCCAACCCACATCTGTGTCATGACCCACTCAGCCTTTCCTTCCTCTGCAAGATCGCCCGGCTCCGCCACTGTCTCACACCACAGGCTGCCTAGACCCTCATACACAAATTCATAATATCCAGGCTTGATTACGCAAACTCCCTGTTTGTCGGCCTCCCCAACTCCTCCCTCCATAGGCTGCAGATCATCCAGAACTCTGCAGCCCGTGTCCTCTCCTCCACGACCCTATCACCCCCTGACTCCACTGGCTTCCCATTACACAGAGGATACAGTTCAAGATCCTGGTCCTCACTTTCAAAACCCTCCTTCGGTCACCCTACTTCCCTCCCCAGCCCTCCACCCTCCCCGATCCCCAGCTTGGGTCCAAAACATTGATTGTCCAGCGCCATTGGGATGTCCTCCCGAAGTGAAAGGCACTATACAAATGTAATTTTGTTCTTAGAATCCACCACACATAGAAGGGGATCCCTGTCTGCAGGATTCACAGAAGCATTGAAATGTACAGCACAGAAGAAGGCCGATTGGTCCATCGAGTTTGTGCTGCTTCTTTTAAAGATTAATCCTTTCATTCTCATTTACCTGCTTTTTCCCCATAGTCGTACTTTACATCCTCTTTTTCGCTGCGAGGCGCTATTTATTTTCCCGTTTTCCCGGTGGCCGCTTTCTCTAATGTATCCACAGAATCGCACAGAACAGTCTGAGCTTTGTCTGCAACTCCAGGCTCGGCAATAAATACAGCTCAGACAGACTTGGAACTAAAGTAACACTAAATTAAAGATTCCTTTGTAATGAGTACAAGGAGGTTCCCTTTGTTGGGATTTTGTAAATGTGTATAAATCACTAGACACAAACACCCCTGTTGTTGTAGAAAATAGTTTGTGCTTTTGGTCACATTCCTGCACCGCATTCTGCTTGAGACAGTTCAGGAAATGTTCTTCTGTTTGCTCTGATTTTGATGGTAGTCGACGTTTTTTCAACAATGGTTCCTGTTACAGTAGTTCTTTTTTATCTTTGTGACTAAACCACGAAACTCAATTTTATTTTAAGACCAACTTAAAAGCACTCGCATTTAGAGCACTCGCCTTGCAAGCGAGAGACCTGGTTTTGGTTCCCGGCCGGGCAAGTTTCCTTACTTCACCCGCCTCTGTTTACCTAGCAACAAAAAGGAACCCAGTTGTTAGTTGATTGGTGGATCGCTTTTCCAGGGATAATAATACTTTAAAAAAAATAATTTGGTCACTCAATCCACGACTGTTTGTGGTACACTGCTGTGCACAATTGGCTGCCGCCTTTCGCCCACAAATATACGGTGTGAAGGAGTTTGAGAAGCCTAGAAGACGTGAAATGCCTTGGTGCATTTTGAGCCTTTGATGCAGTGTCACACATGCTTGTCAATCTCAATGTCAGTCTCTTGACGTCATCCTGCAGTGACACTAGGTTTCCAAGCAGATTTGTGAGAGCTTCCATTGGCAATTCAATTATGCAATCTCTGCAAGCCCAAGCAATGGTGACCAGAGGTGGGTGGTAGCTCCTGGTTATTAGACTTCTTTGTACCTTCCTTTTTCACGCTTCATTTCTGTTATTTGGGTAGCGGATTTCACATAACTACATTTCCATGGTGGTGGACACCTGCATGAATGTCTGACAGCATTGCATTGTACTTATACAATGATGCCCCACACACCCAGGATGTCAGTACACCTGTTATCAAATGTATTTACTCTCTGATAATTTTTGATAAACATATTTTAAAACACCACCTTTACTGAACTCTAAGGTTTTTCATTAATAAGTGTCTCCACCATTGAGAGATGCTTTAGAATTGCCTGGAATTTCCTTTTATTCCCCTCAAACTCTCTACAATAATGTATCTCTGCTTTAGATTTGGTCACTAAAATTTGTACTTAAAACACAAATATTGCATATTATTTTGCACTGAAAATGTAACAGATTTAAATTTTTTCATTGGGTGCACAAATATAATCTACTGTGAGTGAAATGTGTGGTTCTGTGTGAAGAATTCACTTGGGTCTAAAGCACAGTGATTTCAAACCGGTTTCCTCAATAATGGCTCTGAATCAAAAATGTGGACTCCCTCTGGTAGCCAGATCTGCATCACACTGATCTGTGGGAATCCCGCTGAGATGTGATTTATTTCTGGAGCAGAGTTCCTTTGGGTTGGCACATTTCCTGGTTACCAGAAGGAAAGCCCTTGTGACCTGGTATCATTATTGACCCTGATAAAATCACAGCAGTTTACACCCTCGTATTAGAATCAGAAGTGTTAATTTACAGAGGACAACAGGGTGTATACGCAAATGGATAATGGAAATAATATTAACTTATTCTGGGCTGAGTTTAATTTTCTACATGAATTCCAATCTTTTTTCTTATGTCAATCCTAGTTTCAGCTTCAGGGCTTTGACATTGCCTGTACCACCTCCTACGCAAACAGGGACAAGTGTTGTGAGCTTCCAGCTATGGTGAGTGCAAAGTGCATCCGTCTGTTGACTCATTATTTAGAAAAAACATGTCTTGTGAGGTTATGGAGATGGTGGGTGGGGGAGGAGAAAAATATGTAAGATAGAAGCAGGGTTACTTAGGATTGATTTAACATGTCGTAATAGAAAAAGGGAATTTATAAGAAAATGTTAAAATGTTTAATTTTTTTCTAAAACTTTTGCTGGTATGGTTCCAAAAGATGTTCTTTGGAATTGTAGCCATCAATGAAGAAGAGTTAGTGAGAAACATTGGACTGAGACTGAGTAAGTACTAATGTGATATTGGGTAGTGGCTTGTATAGATTTGGTTAGCATGACTTGCAACTTTCTGAACTCAAAACCCGTTGTCCTAAATTTAGTTTTGAATGGATCATTCTTGAGTGAACTTGATATTTCTTCGGGTTTTTTTTGGCAAAAATTGCTTACATGGTTGATCATACTGAGGTTTTTGTTGTGCTGTACATCAATGTCTTGCAGTATATTCCAGTTGGTTTTATGAGAGGGTATGGGCTCAACATTCCTGCTCAATGCTGCCTTTGTTTGTTAATTTAAGGTGACGTTTTCAGGGTGATGAATTTTTTTTTCAGAGAGATGAAGCCAATTGCCCGGCTCTGCCACATGCCTGTACTTGTTCCCAGGACAGCAAAGGACCACCAGGGCCTTCAGGACCTCAAGTAAGATTGCAGTTTTGACTTATATTCTATACAATTACAATAAATAAATTTCTGTCAGCCTGAGTCAGTAGAGAGCACTGTCACCTCTGGGTCAGAAGGTTGTGGGTTCAAGCCCCACGGAGGGACTTGAATTCCTAATATAAACTTCATGCCAGTGCAGTTTTACAATGTCAGCCAATAAATTCCTCTCTCCATTTGCCTGTTCAGGTGGATATTGAAGATCCCATGGCACTATTTGTGAAGGGAGTTTCTCCCGGTATCACAATTAACAATCCTCCAGATTAATTAATCATTTATCTCATGACTATCCACACATTAGTTGCTCCGCTTGCTTACCAAAAAAAATCCAAGAAGAATTGAGATAAAATAAAGGTTGAAATTCATAAAAATTAAAAACAGACAAGTCCAATCATGTTGCACCTCTGGTTATCAGCGGGACTTAATACTTTGCAAAAAATAGCTAGATACTAACCTCCTTCATCTTTGTTTCTCATGGCAACAAGTTTTGTTTATTAAAGTTTCCAGTAAAAATATTTAACAAAACGTCTCGGAAATAGTGTTTAGGAAACCAGGAGTTAATTTAATTGTGGGTCATTATAGCCTAAGAGCATTCATTGCTTAATGTCTGTTCTTGTGAAATGTACATCTGTGTTTAAAAGATCAAAGAACAACCTTTAGTAATAAAACTACTCCTTACTCTTCCTGTAATAAAAATGACAAACTGATTTTCTGATGTAGAAATCTTTCCAAATTAAACAATGTGAAAATAGTGATGTGCTCCAGAGAATCATTTCAATTCTTTTTAAAAATTAGAACAAATCCGTTAAATCTCAAATCTCTGTTAAGTGATAATTTGGATCTACTATAAAAAACAGAAGTCACTGGGAACACTCAGTAGGTCAGGCAGCATCTATAGAGAGCCAAGTGTTCCTAGCGACTTCTGTTTTTATTTCAGATTTTCAGCATCTGCAGTATTTTGCCTTTTGTATCTACATACAAAGCCCTCCATGGCCTTGCCCCACTCTACCTCTGTGACCTCCTAACCCCCTACCAACCTGCCCGTTCCCTCCGCTTAGCTGGCTCTGGCTGGCTCCACGTCCCCGATCCACCTGCCCCTCCATTGGCGGGAGAGCCTTCAGCGACTCTGCTCCCAACCTCTGGAACTCCATCCCCCAATCACTCCGCCTCGCCCCCTCCTTAGCCTCCTTCAAGACAGATAGAGTTCTCTAATGACTTTTCAATTTATTTATCCCCCAGTGATGGTGAGGCAGTATTCTGATAACACATGCTGATCCTTATTGATCAGTGCCTTTGGGTCAGCCAGGTTTCTGATACATGTGAAACTTGTGGTTATTCTTTAAATAAACTCTTTTTGAAAAAAAATCCCTGTAATAAGATTGCTTCCTGTGCATTCTACCATGCATTAATCAGTTTGCTACAGAAGGATTAAACTGTATCTCTTAACACAAGTGAAAACTTTACTGGAAACGTGCTCTAACTATTTAAGGCATGGTAAGATGTGTCTGAGGCAGTAATGTCAATGAAAGGTTCAGATAATCCCTTCACCTTTGGTTACGATACCTGAGCAGGTTATGTTTATCTAATCCTTTTAATTGGATTCCTGCTTTAACCGTGTTAATTTTTCGTGTAACCTTTTCTGTGAAAATGATGCTAGTTGAATATGGATTTCTTTCTTTTACTGGAGATTTTCTGCTCCTGTGTGATGTAGGACTTTGATTTGCATTTTGTGGCGTACACAGAGCTTATTTGGGAAAGTTATTTACGGAAAACCTCATTATTGTAACATATGTGGATAAAAGTTCCGTTCAGTTTTAGGTGATGCGCGATTATAACAAGCATTGCTTAGATTAGAACCTTATCACATGCAACATCAGAAATTCATAGTTTAAGATGTTCCCTTGTTAGCCATTATAAGCCTATTGATTGTGAACTTATTCAACTTCTCCGTGTGCATGTTTGTTATAGGGTGGTCCAGGTTTAAGAGGTGCAAGAGGAGAGCGAGGAGAACCAGGTCAAAGGGTAAGATTTTCTTTTGTGAAATTTTATATAACTCATTGAAGAATCCCTCGAGGAAAAAATACTTTCCTTCTCACTTATCCCACACATCAAAAGCACAAATCGTAAATTATGCCAGGTGTATGTACAACGCACAACATAAATTAGCTCAAATAGTTTACTTGAAGGGTGGAGTTTGAAGTCTTCTTTCTTTTCTTGATAGGGAATAGATGGCCCTCGCGGTGAAATTGGCTCTCCAGGTCCCCAGGGACCGCCCGGTCCACAGGGACCAAATGGACTTTCCATTCAAGGACCTCCGGTGAGTTTATGCTCTTACTCCAGCTGGAAATACTTGGTTCAGTATTGCTTCCACTTGATCACCCTCTTCTTCACTGAAGACCTTCTCCAAAGAATGTATCTTTGTTTGGGTTACGTTCATTTCTCAATTCTGACACCTACAGAAATTCCTTGCAGTGGTGAAGTAGACACCATTTCCAGTCACGGAGAACTCATAAGAAGCAGAGTGTCCATTTGCCTGTTATGGAATTGTCAGCTTCTCCCTTTTCTCCTCTCCCACCATATGCCTACGCTGGAGAATAAAGGTGCCATTTGGTAAAATCAAGCCGTTTGGAAGCCGGACAGTACATTGGGGTACTGCTCACATTTAATCAGCTAAAACCATGCAGCCTAGCTTTGTGAGACATTGTTAAGCTTATTGCTGTGTGTCCACCTAGCATTGGCCTACTCATTAGGACTTTGGCTCGCAGGGTTATCATTTCCCAAACGGGAAAAATCCCAAACAGCAGTGAACATATCTGCTCCATAATCCAAGCATCCTGCTCAATCACCTCCAATGCCTGAACCATACCTTGATTAATGTTTTTCCTCCCAATTTTCAGAGCACTGATTTATTGCATTGCTACGTTGTCTTTCATTCAATTAAACTTTAAACCAAGGCCCATCTGCTTGTGCTTAAGGTGGACTTTAAAGGTCCCAGCACACTATTCAAAAAGAGAAGGGAGATTTTCCAGGTGTCCTGGCCAACAATGCTTTAGATAATTTGGTCAGTCTCCTCATAGCTACTTGTGGGACCTTGCTGTGTACAAAATACCTGGTGTATTTGACTACCAAAACACTGCACTTGACAGCAATTATTGTAAAGCACTTTGAGACATTTTGACATGATGTGATACTATAGCTGGCTAAGATCAAGAAACATTTCCTCATACAGAGGGATTGCTCTACCCCAGAAAATTTTAGAGGTGAAACCAATAGTAATGTTGAAGAGAGAGATAGACAGATGTTTGAGTAGTATAAGTATCAAGGTGTTTTGTGAAAGGGCAGGCACTGGAATTAAAAGATCTGCCAAAATCTAATAAACTAATGGAATAGGCTTGATGTGCTGAATGGCCTCCTCCTGTTCCTGTTATCCTGTGTTTCAATTTCAATACAAGTTGTTTTTCTTTCTTGCATTTACTTCTATTAATCAAACAATTTCCATTTCTGAAGCGTATCTTTGTTAAATCTGTAGGGAACCATGGGTGAAAAAGGCGACAAAGGAGATCCTGGTTCCTCAGGCCCACAGGTAGGATTACAATTTAATTATAATGCACCAAAAAAAAACTTTCTTTATGTCTGTCAAAATATTATTACTGGGATGTATATTTCATTCAGGGTTCTATGACATAATTGACTATATAAACGCTTTCTTCCATTCCTCTTACATATTTGTTGCTTACTGTCTAAAAAACCTACAGATGTCAGCTGGGGTTGCTGTGTGTCTGATAGCTCCTAGCTTTTCTGTTCAGAATTTAAGGCCTCAGGCATCTGTCAACGAGTTGACAAATATTACAAGTGCCATCCTGCAGAGATCTGCCCAGATTGATCCTTTTTGTTTCAACAAGAGCTCCTTTAACTTTGAGGAAGGGACAAGTGTCTCCGAAATGTTAGGTGTGCGTGTTTGTGTGTGGGGAGAGGGGGGTTTGTTGCTGACTTGACTTCACCAGATCCTATCCTTCTTGTTCCACAGTTCTTTGATATTTTTTCCTTCTGTCCCCCGAAGGCAGCAGTTTGTGATGGCGTGTGTTTCCGGGATTTGGGAGTTTGCAGTGTGTTAGCCTGGACAATAGACAGACTGTCCATAGTGTAGAAGGGGAAATGACTGCTGAGTACAATCCTGTCTTCAATCATGTGCACTTCAGCAGGGCCTTGCTCAACGGTGAGCAGGTTTGGCCAAATCCTTACTTGGGATGGAAAGGCTAAGGCTCCAACCATTGCCCTGGTTGACATCAGCGAATCAGCCAAAATCAAACTACAATCCCTCTTGTCTGCATAGATCAATCCCACACCAACCAGTATCCACCCACTGAGTTGTCAGGAACTTTAGACTGATGGTTTATAATTATTTGTCTTTTCTTTACTATGTCTAGGGAATTCCAGGCGCACCAGGGATCCCAGGGCGGGAAGGTGCATCAGGTCAAAGGGTGAGACTAAACACATAATCAAACCAAAAAGAATGCTATTATCGTGTTCATACTGCAATATATAATTTTAGGGGAGATCTAAAGTTTATGTTTTAAATGTTAAAACACGTGTGTGCGTGTATGTGTGTTGAGGGTGTATGTAAATTTTATTTTAAATATTAACACAGCGGTGTGTGTGTGTGTGTACATGACTGTGCTTGTGTGTAGGGAGGGAAGGGAATGTGTACAAAATATGTTGATACCAATGGGCTGACCACAATACTTTATGATGAAAGTCCTCACAGATTGGGACGGGATATCATATTATTCTTTAAAACCCGGGGATAAACAAAAAAACATATTACCAGGGATAAATAAGCAATAATGTCACCAGGGATATAGAAGGGATGGTGTTACCGGAGAGTTAAGTGGCAAAGTTATTAATGGGGTATGGTCAAAGAGTGGGCATTGGAAATAAAACATCTGCTAAAAACGCTCAGTGAGCTGAATGGCCTCCTCCTGTGCCTGTTTTCTTTTATTTTTATGAAACGCATGCTCTCCTTGGACAAATCAAAGGTGTCCTGATCCACACTTTCCGGTTGATAAAACATTCCTAATCAATCCTGCTGATAAGTAAGAAATGGAATGTGTTTAGGAATACTGCCATATTGACAACTAGTGACCTAGACCCTGGCACAGCAGACCTTATTACTCTGTCATTACCGCTAACTGGTATTAAAAGCCAAGATATTTTATTCTTATGGTAACAGGGAAATGCTCTGGCAGCCTAACATTGGATAAAAGAAGGAGGCACTAGATTGTCCAGGTCGTTCTAGACCCTGGAGAGTATATTGGGAATGGTAGGCTGATTGTACACCTCTTGGATTAGGCCTGTAATCAAACTGCAAGTCCCAGGGTCCATATGATTAACTATCCCCTTACGGTGGGCTGCTGCCATGAATATTCTTAGATAAGTGATATTAATCTTGCAGCGGCGTTTTTTTGTTAAGATACAAACTTGTCTTTGGTTCACTGACCCTGGAGTGCAAGTTGTTGCTGTTGTTGATTGTGGTTGTACAGACGGATGTAGTCTCCTTAGTTAACAACCAGGCCTGGCGTTGAGAGGCCGTACTTAAAGATGTAAAGGGGTTAAATGCATAATGCAAAAAGATGCAAGTGAAACAGATACAATGTAAATAGCCTTTCTTATCTTTTTAGTATGGCCTTCCCCTCATTGCCAACTGTGCCTGCTTTGCATTGCTGTTCTTGAGCAGGCCTGTATGGCAGGTGTAAGTGATGAGCCCTCTGTTGCTGCTGTTTTGATTCCCATCCTTGTGGGAAACAGTGTTCTTTCCCCAGATTACCCGCCTGAGACTGAAAACTCACTGTGAGAGAGACCCCACAGGCTGCTCCCACGATTGGTGACCAGGAGTGCAGCAGTGAGCTGTACCTCCACACTGAAGGTTAATGAACCCAGGACGAATTTTGTTTTTCACACATTGTAACCTCAATTATTGGTGTAATGTGCCTTTGAACTGAGGTGGCTCAGTGTACCAAAGTCAGTGGTGAGGTGACGGGTTTGTTGAATATTCACCACAACTCTCAATTGTTTATTTATTGGAGTATAGTTGCACTATTATAGCAGTGCTTTCCTTGTGTTATTATTTAAATTATAAAACAGTGAGGTAAGGTGTTAATTAACACAAGGAGCACATCACAGTACATCGCAAACTTTGTCCCAAGTCTATATCGTCTGGCATTTTAACAATGTGTATCATCATCTGTACAGATGTCAAAATATTCATAGCTATAAGTTTCTGTTGCTCAATAGCTTTTTACATGAAATATCAAATGATTATGTAATCCACTTTTGATCTAGGGTCCACCTGGTAAAGATGGTTCTGTAGGGCCACCTGGCTCACATGGGCCTGCGGTAAGTACTCCATCCACTTGAGCTGTAGGAGGATATAGTAGTCTTAAACCGTGTCAATTTTTCAGGGTCCAAGAGGTACAGAGGGTCCACATGGACCACGTGGGTCTCCAGGTACGAGGGTAAGTTTTTTTTAATAGAAATAGGAACAATAAGAGAAGCCTCCCCCCAACAACCTCTGCAACAATTAAGTTCACTTTACATACATCATTCATAGAGTGTATGTTGAAATCAAATGGTGTAACAGCTAGAGAAAAGCCCCATGACATGAACTGTATTTTCTTAGGGCATCTCTTGTACATCCTGAAAGTCTTGTAGTCTGGTGAGGCTTAGGCCTCCAGCTGTAGATTTCCTTGGAGTTAGCATTTTGCGAGTCAGAGTGACTTACAGGAGGCTCCCTCTGTATGACACAGTTTAGACTGTAGATGCTTTTTGCAGTGTTTATTTGATTTGAGAGCTTTTCAAACCTGTTGTCAAGTCTTTCTATTAAGCAAAGACAACACTTGTTCAGTCTTATCAACAAGCTGTTGATGAAATTGATTTTTTTTAACAAAGCACAGTATTTCTCTCTTTTTAAAAATAATCCAGTTTGCAATATACACAATGCAGTCTAATTTGCATTATCCACAATCCAGATTCATTACGTTCATTGCAATGTCCAATTGCAAAATTTGACATCAGGAGTTTAAATACATAACAAAATAATACTACTTACATTTGATCCTGCCTTTCATATCATGAGGATGTCTCAAAGCACTTCATGGGATGTACTGTAAAGTCCAGTGAACGTATATTTTGTAGGCACTGCAAGTCCTAACACTCTATAATAAAGCATTGTTTCAAGCACTTTAACTGCAAGGCAGAAAAGAACAAATAAATGTCAGTGAGCAAAATTACTGCCTGTTTCCCTGTCACTGTTTTACTCACCAACTTTTCAGTTTTGCTTTAACAATTTGGAGTTTGTGGGTCATGGATTTTTGCAATCTGTAAATTGCAATTGACATAATAAACCGGAACAGCGGATATTGCAATACACATCACATTGTTGGAGTAATTCATTTTCAATAATAAAACCATTATATTCTCGTCAGGTGAAGATTAGCAACTAAAGAGTCATTTTAAAAAAAATTCAAGCCTAATAGTTTCTAGTCCTGTTATCAATTTTTACAAATGATTTTATTTAGCAAGTATATGTAGAACTTGGAAGTCTTGCTGTCTCCTTACAATGTGAGGAGTATTGTAGAGGGCAGAATGGACCTTGCAAGTAGTCCTGTGATCACACAGGATGTGGGACTGACATTTATTGATTGGAATCAGTTTCTGCTGAATCTGCTGATTTTTAAAAAAAGATAAATGAACCTTTATCCCAAAACAGTACAAACACAAATGTAAAAATGGTACCCCTATGTGGGACACGGTACACTGCTTTAATTGATGGAATTGGCTGAGCTCTGTGCAGGATTGGGTAACAAGTCATTCATGACAGCCAGTCTGCAAATCAATGTTCTGTTCAACTATCATCCACTATATTAGACTTGCTGCTGCAAGTAAAGGAAGTTGTTCAGAAGGTACACCTTGGAAGTCAAGATCGTTTAATAGTAATTTAGAATAAGTAAGTGACCATTGAATAAATGGTACCGGGCAACAATAATATCCAAGATCAACAGCAGTGCGTAAATACGAAAACTCAACTCAGGTATCTTAGTCTTGCATCTGGTATCCATACCACAAAGTAATTACTCACTCAGTAAATTATTTGCCATAATCCAGCCTAGCATGGTATGCAACCATTAAGCCTCCAGCATGAAACATCAGTTATTGTACTGTGCTGTGCCTAATTATCAGATGCTGCACTGATTTGCTGAAAACCTCCTAACTGAACTTGGCTAGTGCATGAGAATTGACAGACTTTACAGACTTGCTACCACTACTTAGCGCTTTAAGTCATTCCCTATACTTTACAGACTGGTGGCAGTGTCTCATTGAGAGCATTCTAGTGGATGAAGAACACAGCACTATAGTTGTCTTTTATTCATTTTAGTGGTTGATTGGTCTGTCAGTGTAATTGTAGTGTTTCACTTCTGGTGAGTCTAATTCAGTGTTATAAAGGGGCATTTGTGTCCTGTCCCTCCTGCTTCTAAAAGCTCCAGAATAGCATGAAGCAGCCTGGATTACTGTACAGCAATGGCAAAGTGCAGAGCTGCAGTGATGTTTGCTAGTTGGCCTGTATTAGATATATAGTTTCTGAACACTGACCAGGATTATAGACTTAGAATCCTTCTGAGCAGCAGTAAATGGGTTTCAATAGGAAACATAGCTAGGCAAATTGCTAGCTATAACTTGTACTTTACAGTGCCTTTCATGTAGGATGATCTTGTCTGGGTGCTTTATAAAGATGATAGGGATCAGCACGCAAATTAAGGGTTTTCATCAAAGGCCCGGTGAAAGAGATAGGTTTTTAGAAGAGTTTTGAAAGCAGAGAGAGGCAGAGCAGGGTAAAGAGATTTCGAGATAGTTTCAGAGGCGGTGCAGCTAGTGAATCCTGGTAAGGTGGTGGTGGGGGCTATGCTGAGTCTACTGCAGGAAAAAATATGAGCTGCAATTTTGGATGAATTAGAGCTTGTAGAGGGTAGAGATAGGAAGGAATTGGAAAAGTCTTAAATGTAATAATACAGGAGTGTTCAAAGTGTCTCAGTAAGTAGTAATATAAGGAAATGTACCAAAGCATTTGGCAAGTCTGGTGCCCTGTTCAAGCTGACTAAAAGTAAGTACGAGAGCAATCTTATTTTTATCTTTACTCACATTTTAATGTCCTCGCATAAATGGAATGTGGAGGATCTCCTTAATGAGATGGAAAACCCTGCTTAAAGTGGCAGCCACTAAAGGCCAGCAATAAAAGTGCTTCACACAATGACAGTTTGTTACATAGATAAATGCTGTATCTAATCTATGATAATTCAAACCACATAAACAGCCATGAGATGAATGACCAATTCATTAATCTGAGTTTCTGAACCCTCTATTTCAAATTAGCTCAGATTTAGTGTCAATTTGGATGAGGGAGGAAATATTGGCACCTGTAATTTACCCCTCCGATCTTCAAAGCAACCTCACTACTAATCCTGTTATAATTATAATCCTTGTAATTGGTGTTTCACAGCAATTGAAATCAGGTTGAGGAAAGACAGTTCTGCAGCAGAACACGTGCTAGTGGAGAAATCACCCTGATCAATAATTCCATCACGGACAGTTTGGGCCAAATGATCTATTTCCATGCTGTATCATTCTATGTAATTCTGTGAAATAGTTAGCACCTTATCACATCATCAGCATGTTTCAAAGTGCTTCACAGCATTTATAATAAAGTATAATGACTGTATCTGTAAGCCATCATGGTTGACAATTTGTGCCCAGCAATGTTGCACAAGCAGCCATGAAGTGAATGACCAGTTTTATCTGGGTGATTATGGCTCCACATACTCCTAGAGAATGGCTAAACATTCCTGTCTATCTTTCCTCATCCTAATATGTAGTTCTCAGCCACTCTGAATCACCTGGCTTTAAGGATTAGCCAACAATTGGATTTGAAACTAAACCCTTTGAATTGGAGATTTATATTACAGCCTCAAAAAAATTGGAAGCAACTTTTAATGTAATATTTGGGTTCAGACTTGTCTTAAGTTAATTATCCTGATTTTTATATCCAATACCTCAATGAGTGAAAGAGTGTGCTGTTTGTGTTTTATCTTTTTCAAAATAATCTTGAATGAATGATTTCATTAATAATGTTAAATTGAACTAATAGTTATTCTTCCAACATTTACTATCCCCTTGAGATAATGTTTTAAGAAAGTTTGTAACATTAACAGCCACAAAAAAATGCTGGTGAATTTTATTGCATTTGAACTCACTATTAGGTATTAGCACAGATTGAGTGCTGATGTATTTATACATATAAAATAAACTCTCAAAAATCTAGCCGCTATAAGAGATCGGGGTTTGTCTACGGCTCATGAAATCCTCCATGTTCCATAGTCACTTTGCATGTATTCATTTGTTATGAGTTGTGCTTTTGCTAAATGGCTTCTCTCTCCTAATAACTATTTATTGATGTATCTTGTTATTTACATTCAATCTACTTCATTTAACGCAAAACAGTGATTCATTGCATGATCTTCAGCAACCATCTTATTTGCATTTTCTTGTGACTAGCTCAATAGGAACCTGCAAGTTCTGTCAATGCTCCAATTATAAATATTGAGTTTCATCCATCGTCAACCAATCTCACTCTAAATCTTGTACATTTGTGAGAGAAAGTATAAGTGATCTATAAATACATATTTGTGTGTGAAGTACAGTATCATCTAATAATTCATAGTTTTAAAAAAATCTTCATGAATATCTATCTTTATAAATAGTATTTATCATGTTACATGTACATGGAGCAATGACAATGATCACTGACAAGGCCCCTGTGTTAGGAATGGAAACGTTCTCTGCAGTGTTACGCAGTGGTATATCCTGCAGTTTGATAAACTTTACCATAAGTATTATTCTGTACAAATATAGTTCTCTCCCATTAAGAAAAGCCTGCATGTTTACTTACAAGTTAGAAAGATATTTTTTAAATCTCATTGCATTTAAAAACCCTCATAAAATGTTTGCCTTTGCTATGTGTGCAAACATAGCACACATAGATAGCAAAGAAAAAGCTATTTTGTTTCCATTTAAACAAAATAGCTGGTTAGTTTCTTGAAAGATCTGAACATTTCTAATTCACATGTGTGCAAAGTACTGTATACTGCTTCATTTGGTAATAAAACCTTTGCACATTGTAAAATGTTAACCTTTCAGTCATAAATGTTGCGCCAAGTAGCAATTTTATACAAAATAAATGAGGTCTTCCACATGCTCTGTTTTGAAAAGGTTTACATTTTAAAGCTTCCATTATTTTTATAAGATTACATCTTCATTTCCTATCCCCTGTGAGATGACTGGCTTGGTCAGTCACTAAGCTCCGAAATACTAAAGTCTTGCCGAGATGTGCTGTTTAAATGATCTTGTGTGCTGTGAAGCTAACTCTTGTCCTGAATGACTTTGTAGGGAAGTCCAGGTGCTCCAGGCTCTCCCGGCCATTCAGGAAGCCCAGGATCCCAGGGTGGATTAGGACCACCAGTAAGTAAAACATTTGCACTTTGTACTTCTGGAAAAGAATGTAAAAATAAGTGCATTACTAGTTACAAACAGCTAAACACAGCAGTGATGTATTATTGTAGGCTGATTTTTTTTAAACAGAGGACCTGGGTAAGTTGGATAATTATAGAGCCAGTGATTTGCTGTAGAAACCCCCAATTATTTAGAAGTTAGTTACATGCAGTAGGAACACTTTTGAGAAGGTAGGCAGGTGCTGAACTATTTTGCTGAACTATCAGTGAAATGATCTGCTCCCAAGCTATGAAGTTTACAGTGATTTGTTCTCTGATTCGACCTTTCTCCATTGTATGGAAGCTCCTGGCTTGCACCTACGGCTTCCCGCTTACTGTGTGGTAGGGACAAGGAACTTCCTTGTGGGGAACTGTGGATGTGAGGCTGTTGAAGAGTACTTTTAAGCACTGTTCTGTCCTGAAGTTCCTACAATAAAGGTCAATTGAATTGCTTTCAAATTCTGATCAGTAAAAACTAAAATTAAAGTCTATGCATGTCCTACAAAATACGTAAATTTCTGACACCTCCATACATTCTGTGGTCTCAGCACAGCCAATCTTCAAATTTATTGCCTCGCAGTAAATTAAATTTGCATTAAATCTTTAGGCCATTTGAATGATTTTGTTCAGTTCTAACACTAAAGTGCCTTTTATTGTAAACCCATCAATGTTACAAAAGCCCCATGCTTCTTGGGAACATCGTTTAAATTGCCCTGGCAAGAACACATTTACTTGAAATATTTTTCTTTGCTGTTAGTGGGCCTTACTGCTATGGATTAGTAAAACTCACTCAAGTTCGGTCTTCAATGAGGACTTTAAACAATAAGAGCGTTGTTTGGGAAATTCCGAGATTTACTGATTGGAAATCCATTAGATTATGTTCCAGATGGTCCGGTAATTATCTGTGTCCATTTCATGGCTTTAGTCATGGTTTCAGCAGTGAATGATAGTGTAAATTGAAGCTTAAATAAGAGGTGTCTAGTTGATGCACACATTATGTGCATCAAGCAGCAAAACAACCACACCACCTCTGTTCTATCCTGACAAACAATCAATAGCTTTTGCCTTGGGGTGAGGGAGAGCGTTAAATCTGGTGCGAGTCTGCCTGACCTCCCTGCGAGTAATTAATACAAGATTTTAAATGGGATTGAGAAAGTAAACTCAGATCAATACTTTCGGATGCACTGAGACAGTAGAATAAGAGGACACAGGTTTAGGCATCCAAAGAACAATTTCAGGACAGGCATCAGAAGGTATTTCTTTATCCAGAGAGTAATTAACAACTGGAACAGATTGCAGGGAAGGGTGGTTGAGGCCATATTTTAAAAAAAAGCATGATGTTGCGATCGGAAGATGGTAGTTTGGGGAGTGTGGGGAGAGAGAGTATTCTGGAACGATTAGATCAAATGGGCCAAAGGGCCTTCTTCATCCGAAATGATCTTATGATCCTTTCTCCTGCAAACAAATGGCTTTCCCCAGTGGTCTGTGATGATGTGACACAGCTCATTTTTTCTTTTGAGCCTTAACTCAGGCCAAGCCACGTTTGTTTAATGTGTATGATAGATCGCTTTACTCATAGGTATAATAGTTAACACTGAGGGTTGTTAGAACGTGAAATGCCTATGTCTATGCTTTCTTTTAGGAGGGAACTAGATAAATATAAAAGAGTAAGAAGATAAAGTAGGAGATTAAGATTCTCTTTCAGAGAGAGAGGACAGTCATGGTAGACTAATGGCCTCCTCTGTGCTGCAAATTTATATGGTGCTTGGATCAGACTTGCTCAGAACTTTAATTACAATCTACTTGGGGTAACCTGCACTAGATTTTAATGGCTATCAACTTCAAAAGTATTTGGAGCCAACGGAGTTTTCTACAAAATACAGGCACCCCTAATAAAGCAGATTTGCTTATGAGGCTGCTGCTCTGTGAGCGGTTGGTTTTCAGCGTGGACTCGGCATCCTGTTGGCCGCCAAAAATGGCTGATTTTCAGCTTAATGTGTCATTTCCTATGTGCAGCTGAAACATTGCTGCTGAAGTCACTTCCTGTTGGCTGAGCCAGCGCCGCTGATGTCACTTCCTGTGTGCTGAGCCAGCGCCGCTGATGTCACTTCCTGTGTGCTGAGCCAGCGCCGCTGACGTCACTTCCTGTGCCCTGAGCCAGCGCCGCTGACGTCACTTCCTGTGCGCTGAGCCAGCGCCGCTGATGTCACTTCCTGTGTGCTGAGCCAGCGCCGCTGACGTCACTTCCTGTGCACTGAGCCAGCGCCGCTGACGTCACTTCCTGTGCGCTGAGCCAGCGCCGCTGACGTCACTTCCCGTGCCCTGAGCCAGCGCCGCTGACGTCACTTCCTGTGCGCTGAGCCAGCGCCGCTGATGTCACTTCCTGTGCGCTGAGCCAGCGCCGCTGATGTCACATTGCAAAGAGGTTAATGTCAGATGACCCAGAAATCAGTCCATTTTCCACACTATAACGGGTCTAAGACATTGTTCCCAGACAACTACATTCCAATGGGGTTAGCCGGTAGATCATGAGAATGAAAACTGGCTCATTTTAATTGTAAAAATTTTGAATCATTTAATTTAACTCTTACTCTGTTTAGATCAAGAAAAGAATTGGAGGGATTCAATAGTTAATAGCTTTTGAAATGCATGTTGAACTGCCATCTGCATTATATTTCCCTCTCTTTATATTGTGTTCAGTTTCTTTGTAGAGATTTCTATGTGCAATTGCAGAAGCCTAGTCACCAATGTTTCTACAGTGCAAATATCAAAATGTTATTGAATCCATAAATATCAGCTGTTTGTTACATCAACAATGCTTTATTTAACCAGGATTGGGTGTTGAGGAGAGGCGACAGGGTAAAGAGAGAAAACACACCTGATTAATGATGGTTAAACATGCAATGTGCTATTCTCTGGTTCTTTGCCCACCAAGACATTGCTGCTAATGGTGGTCATATCATTAGTCTCTAAATTATCCTTCAACCAATGTTTACTTTTAATTCTATTTCAGGGCTCTTCCGGGTCAAAGGGCGAAAAGGGTCAAAGGGTAAGTATTTTAAAAGACTGGTTTTACGTTATCTGGAATAAATAATAAGAGGTAACAATATGACTATTAAGGAGATTTTGAAAGAACCCTCAACATAATGAGAGGTTTGTGGGTGTCTGGTATGCACACCCTGTAAACAGCCTTGCCCGTTTGTGCCCTTAAACTCCAGGATGCTTTCTGTCTTGGGATATTTTTCTCACCATTACTGCTGTGGTGTTCCCCTCTCTTCCCTAAGGCCTGTCTTATTAGAAACCTGGATAAAACGTTTGCCTTGGGGTGGGGGAGAGCGTTAAATTTGGTGTGAGTCTACCTGACCTCCCTGTGAGTAATTAATACAAGATTTTGAATGAGATTGAGAAAGTAAAATTGGAACAATACTTCTGGATGCACTGAGACAGTATGATTAGAGGACACAGGTTTAGGCAGTGTCCTCACCAAGCCAGTCAGGAACCTAGGCATCTTATCCGACCCTCAACTGTCCTTTCTCCCCCACATTCATGCCATGACCCACTCTACCTTCCCGCACCTCCACAACATTGCCCGATTCCACCACTGCCTCACCCCTCAGGCTGCCGAAACCCTCATACATGACTTCATTATGTGGAGTCCTGCAGCTCAGTGGTTAGATCACTCGGCTTGCAAGCGAGACACCTGGGTTCAATTCCAGGCAGGATGAAACCTTAGGCAAGTTTCCTTACTCCACAGGCCTAATAATAATCCCTCCAAAAAACAATAATAAATTGGTCATTTTCAATCCACGACTGTTTGTGGAACACTGCTGTGCGCAATTAGCTGCCACGTTTCGCCCACAAATATGCAGTCAATTCACTTTACAGCATATTCTGTGAAGCGCTTTGAGACGTCTAGAAGACGTGAAAAGCACTATATAAAATGCAAGGATTATTATTATTATTACAACCAGGCTCGACTATGCCAATGCCCTGCTCGTGGGCCTTTCCAACTCTTCCCTCCACAAGCTGCAGACCATCCAGAACTCTGCAGCTTGTGACCTCTCTCGCACCAGGCTCTGTGACTGAATCACCCCCACCCTCGCCCATTTCCTCAGAGGATCGAGTTGAAAATTCTTGACCTCACCTTCAAGGCCTTGCCCCCTCCTACCTCTTCGACCTGCTGACCCCTTATCAACCTGTCCGCTCCCTCCGCTCAGCAGGCTCCAGCTTGCTCCATGTTCCTGTCCGGCCCACCCCACCATTAGCAGTTGGCACTTCAGCCTCTCTGCCCTCACCCAGTGGAACTCCATCCCATATACCTTTCGCCTTGCTTCCTCCTTGCCTCCGTCAAGGCACGCCTCAAGGCTCTCCTCTTCGACCGTGCCTTCGGCCACCCTCCTACCCTCTCTGCCCTCCACCCTCCCTGATCCCTCACTGTTAGTGCCTTGGCACGTCCTCCCGACATGAAAAGCGCTTTGCAAATGTAATTTTGTATTCTATTGTAAAATATGCTCTCTCTGCATCTCTTTAAACCTTGTGCAAACAACATTTCAGATAGCCTTCAGTTGGCAGTAAGGAAGATATCTCTCGCTTTGAGGAATTAACAGAGAGAACATTTTTCTTTAAGAGTCTCACCTGTGACTAAAACTGATAATAAAATGAGTGCTGATGATTTTACGTCCCAGATTTCTCATTAAATTTAAAACATAAGTTTTTTTCGTTGGTTGTTATTTACAATAATAAGGATCCCTCCAATTCCCTGTCCTCGTATGTGTTTGCATATGATTAACACAGCCGTACATTAGACTACGTGATATAAAGGGAAATTAAATAGTATCAAACTACTTGCTTGTAAAAGGAGATGGTGTGAAAGGGAAATTCTTCTGTGTACTCAGTGAAAATGCCCCATGCTTTGTGCAATTCCCAAACTAAATTTAGGATTTTATTTTATAGCATCTCTATTGTGGTGTGAAACAAAATACTGTTGTGTGTTTCCAATAACAGTAATAGAAACCATATTATTTCTAACATTGTCTTTTTACACTAGGGAGATATTCAGTCGCAAACCACGGTCCGTTCGATTGCTCGGCAAGTGTGCGAGCAGCTTATCCAGAGTAAGTATTATTATTATAAGTAACCACTGTGTAGAAATCCTGAGGCTTCTATGTGGAAGCTGCTGCTTGAGATGTTTTTTTTACATATGGACAGTTTAGAAGGAGAAACTATTTCAATATATAGCTGTACAAAATTGAGCAGTGCCTCAGAGATATAAGGGATGGCAGAGAAATTCTACCAGGGTCTAGATTTACTATATTTATATAACATTATAAAGTCCTGACTTCCAGAATTTTGCAAATTGTGAAATTCAGTCCTACCTTTGGAGTCGATTGTCTATCGTTGTTGAAAAATTACAGAAAACTTGGCTTCAAAAAATTAATTGATAAAGAATTTGCCAAATTCTAGATGCTCTTAAATGCTACAAATAATGATAATAAAAAAATCTGGATCCAGGTAGAATTTTGTCCCAAGACATTGTAATGTTATGGTTGTAAGATTTGTGAGCTGATCAACTGATTGCAATTGTGCAAATATAGTAATGGGTTTTGAAAAGCATGGGTCAGGAAAAGGCCAATGCAAAGGGAGCATCAGAACTTATTCATCAGGAAACTCACAGTACATCAGTATGCCAACCCACAAGATATCTGCTCTTTAAAGCAGAATTCTCTCAGATGACATACATGAGGTGGAGAGGTAGGTTAAGTCGCAAGGCATTTTTTCCAGTATGATTTGCTATTTACGCTGTTGTTTTGTCAACAAGTGTTTTTTTAAACCCCATTTAGAGAGCAGTAGCAGTGCTGGGAGACTCAGGTGGTGGAGCAAGAGAGGCATTTTTTTAAAAATAAGTAACTGGCCATTCTGTTGCTAGTTAAAAGTTCAAACCGCTTACCATCCGTCTCAAGAAACAAAAGCAGCTGTGTTGGCAATCCTACTGAATTTAGGTTATTTTACCATCTGAAAGATGTGATCAAAAGCAAATCTATGTCTGTGCTGGAAAAAAAAGTTAAGATAATAATGAAAGGTGGGGTGCTGTTTTGACAGAAAACCGAGAGGTACCTAATGTTGAAACAGTAGTGTCAATCTTGCTGTAGACGTTTTGTTGGAAAGTCAAACCTATTCCAAACTTGGCTGCCTTTAATTGAGGCTGTAAGACACATTGGCCTAAGGGGATCCTTTTTGTTGAAATGCTGATTACCGGATTACATTTGTGATGTGTGGGGATTATTGGGGTCTTGATTATTTTCCTTTTAAAGTGCCACGTAATTCAGTCGTGCCGCTACAGTTGTATTGGGCCCACGTGATATTACTTAAATGGAATGGGCCAAGAAATGCCCCACAAACCACCAACCCCTCCTTCCCTCTCTCATCGGTTCAGGTTAAGACTGAGATACCAGGTCTGTTGGATGTCCGATTCCGACTCACCAGTTAGCAGGATATCATATTCTTTGTTTATAATGAAGCAGATGTCCTGCTAATTGGTTTATGGGGTCAGGAGCTCCATCACTAGCGACTCTGCTTCTTGGTTTTCACCATTGAGAAGGGTGGATTAACCACCACGTTCAATCTGATAAATATTACTTGAGCCATAAATTTGATCCCTCTACTTCGTGGTCTTTGATGCTTGATTTCCAGAATATATTGCGTGAGCACTGAAGGTAGCCGTTGTCTTCGAAAAGCATTCACAAACCCCATTGTGTAGTCGTGGAAATGGATGCATTCTCCTACTGGTCTGATCTTTAGCTACTCTTGATTTTTCCCAGGTCACATGGCAAGATATAACTCTATTCTCAACCACGTTCCAAACAACCACGCAACAGTTCGGGCAAACCCAGGGCCTCCTGGCGAGCCTGGGCGCCAAGGACCTCAAGGAACTTCAGGAGAACAAGGACCTCAGGGACGTTCAGGATTCCCAGGAAATCCAGGCCTGCCTGGCAGACCAGGAGAAAGAGGTAATGCAAGCGCTACTTTGCTAGTTATTTATGAGACCGGGATTTATGAACTGTGGCTAAAGGTGGCACAGAGCATTCACTTAATGTTTCAGTCACTCAGGGACTGCATGTAAAGAGAATTCACACTGGCCAAAAAGAATCATCTGGTGCTAATTTTACTAGCACATTAACCAAAATAGTAGTTTGACCCTCTCTCTCTCTCGGGACAAATTCTGGATAACTATGAAACTGTCAGAGCAGATTACAGAACCTGAAATTATTACTCTAAGAACAAAACTACTAAGGGGGCATAGGTGGTGATTTCCTGAATAAATACATTAGCGCCAATGTGCTGAGGTGTTAAATTCTTCTCTCTCCATAGTATGACCTTTAGGATTTAATCAAGGGTGAGCAGTGTTTGAACAGATATTGCCATGTATTTTGCTAAGAGTTCAGCTGTAGATGAACGATAACACAAATAACCAGCCTGGAGGCAGGAAAGAACTACTGATCCCATCATTTCCCAGACTGCGATCTCTTCCTTTGCACAAAATCTGGCTCTCAGATATCTGTAAAAATCGGAATGCTGCCTCAGAAACTGTTGATAAATTTAATGAATGTGTCCAGCCTGAAAAAATAATTTACAACTGCATTAATTTTGTTACTTCTCTGGTTTGTAATGGGTATTTGGTTGCAGAAACCAGTTTTATTTCAGTTGTGGTAGTTCTAAGCAGTGTTTGTTGATCACCTAGCTAAGTATGGCTGCAGTAACAACAACAACTTATATCCTTAAAGTAGATAACATTCCAGAGCATTTCACAAAGCCTGGGTAGATGCCGAGCAAGGGAGGAGGGGGATACAAGGGGATGGGGTGTGGCTGAATGAACAGTTGCACAGATACATTTTTAGATAGGATTTAAAGACAGATAAAGGGAGGGAACACAGGGGGTTAGAGGAAGGGAGGTCCAGATGTTAGGAGCGTAGTTGCTAAAGGCTTGACCACCAATGGTGGTGCACAGCCAGTCCAAGTTAGATTGGAGGGGTGAGCACAAGAGTGATGTAGGAAACTACAGAGACAGGGAGATGCTAGGATGTGAAGGGATTTATTGGGTGACCTAATACAGAAACACGTTTTCTTACTTATTTGTATTATATCATTTTACTGCTAACTAGAAAAATCTAACCTTTTCCTGACATTTTGATGTTGTTCATAAATTTGCAAAAAAGCAAACAAATGTCTTGCTTTATCCCGTTTTATAGTTCGTTGTTGAACTTAAGTGTGAGCGTGCAATATAAATATAAACAATATATATGTTAGTTGCTTTTAAGAGATCATGGGTTAGACTGGAATGCTTAATATGTAAACAAAATAACAAAACGCAGCCTAGATTCACAAATAAGGTGGGAGAATTGTTTAGTTCCACCCTGACAGTCAATATAAGCAATCTAACAGCACAGAGTAAATAGATTTTCCCTATTTTCTAACCTTCCTTGGATTGAATGAGTAAAAGGCTATATATTAATCGGTTATACAAATACAAAATTACATTTGTATAGCGTCTTTCACATCGGGAGGACGTCCCAGGCGTTGGACAGCCAGGGATTTGGACTTGAGCAGAGGTTTACGATCAGTGGGGTTGGAGGGCAGGAGGGTGGCCAAAGGCACAGTCAAAGAGGAGGGTCTTGAGACTTGCCTTGAAGGTGGCAAGGGAGGGAGTGAGGTGAAGGGACTGTGGGATGGAGTTCCAGTGGATGAAGGCAGAGAGGGTGAAGGCCAGCCTGCCGATGGTGGAGTGGGCTGGGCGGGGAACTTGGAGCAGGCCGGAGCCTGCTGATCGAAGGGAGCAGACAAGTTGATGTGGGGTTAGCAGGTCACAGAGATGGGAAGGAGCAAGGGCATGGAGGGCCTGAAGGCGAGGACGAGGATTTTTAACTATCCACTGGGGGATGGGGAACCAGTGGAGCCGGGGCGACAGTGGGGGTGATAGGGTCACAGATCTTGGTGTGGGAGAGGACATGAGCTGCAGAGTTCTGGATGTGCAGCTTGTGGAGGGAAGAGTTGGGGAGGCCAACAAGCAGGGAGCCTAGATGTGATAAATGGGTGAATGAGGGTTTTGGCGTCCTGCGGTGTGAGACAGTGGCAGAGCCGGGCGATGTTGCGGAGCTGGGAGAAGGCAGAGCGGGTCATGGCATGGATGTGTGGTAGAAGGTCAGTTGAGGGTCAAACAAGATGCCAATGTTCCAAACTGGCTCGGTGAGGTGGAGTTATAAATGTTATCAGGCAAAGGATAACTTTGGGATATGGTAAAGCAAAGGAGCTTACTCCTCCATCTGCGTAATATTAAAACATGAAGCAAAGATCCACTTTGCAGAAAGTGTCTTCATGTTTTAATCAATGAATGTACTTCTGTGGAAACGAGCACATTTCCAATTTCCCCTTTGCACCTTGCTTCACTGATAATGTACGTGAGGGGTGAATCTCGGAGTGGCTTTACACAGTATCCCACATTTATTTACTTACCGAGCTCCAGGACTGGGAAAAATAAGCACTGGCTGAATGCACAATAGTAATACTGGGTAATCAGGCTGTTCCCAAGCGATTGTATCTAAGGCATCTCCACATTCTTTACAACTTGTACTGAGTAATACTGGGAAATGAGGTTTGTCTTTGGTGCTTATATTCCAGATGCTTCAGACTGGAGATTTTTAGGTTTTATGACAAACTTTAGACGTTTTAGCTTTATAGGCTCCTGTCCATGGCGGTCTTCAACACAGACTGCTGGAACTAATTTCTTCCGTTACATTTAATGTAACGATTGTCAACTGGAGAATATGTCTGGCTCCTTTCATTGGGTTTGTTTCAAGGCCAAATCTCCAGTTGAAGAGAGGACAACTTCAGTGCCAAATGCATCCCTTAACGAATAATCAACTGCTACCAGTATAATTTTGCTTCATTGTTCACACTTGTAAGATTAGCAATGCCATTTACCACAACAACCACTTGTTAGATAGTTTTTGGTTTTCATCTTCTGAAGTGCTCCTCCATTGTTTTACTTCTTTTTCCTTTTCAACAATTCTCATTAAATCCCTCCCTCTCTCCTCCTGAATTATACTGTTTTCCCTCCAAGGCGTTGACAAGCTATTTAACCATGGCAACCCCAGTCCAGTCCTTAAGCAGCATCCACGTATGCTCACTTCCAGCATTGCATAGCATTCAGATTTGAAAGAAAAACAGAGATCGCTGGGAAAGCTCAGCAGGTCAGACAGTGTCTTCGGAGAAAGGAAAGTTGGACTCACTTTCCTTTTTCCATAGATGCTGCCTGACCTGCTGTGTGTTCCCAGTGATCTCTTTTTTTTCAGTTTTTCACCATTTGCAGTATTTTGCATTTTATTCAGATTTGGAATCCTGGTTATTTTTGCCACTCCATAGCCCAGACACAGTAAGGGCGATCGTAAGATCCCACCACCACCCTGTCTGAGATAACTGAGCAAGAATTCAATCCTCCTGGTTTTCATGGCTCAATACTGCATGATACATTCAGACATCAATCCATTGATGGAGTCTTGTTGATCCACTCTTTCATTTAAACATGATTTAACAAACATTGTTACTCAGAACATAGAAGTCTTTGAAACTGGAGATATCACTTGCTTTTCACAAGCTGCATTGCTTCCAAAACTAACATTTAGTGCTGCTTTCTCATGTGATAGTATTTTCAGTCATTTGTAAAAAGCTAGTGTTACCTTACTGGAGGGCATTGCCCCAGCCCAACCTCTTTCGCCCACAAAATACACAGTTAACCCAATTACAATAAATCTTGTGAAGTGCTTTGATACGTCTCGACGACATGATCAAATGCAAGGATTATTATTATTGTTATAGTTAATGGTTCTCAAGATTGTCGCTCCAAAGTCCATGAGAGTGATTGGTTGACACACATTCATGCATTAACTTACATAAAATGTACAGCACAGAAACAGGCCATTCACTCCAACTCGGCCGTGCTGGTGTTTATACTCCATGCCAGTCTCCAATCACTCCTTATACCCTCCCCGACCCTTCTATTCCCTTCTCTCAGTGTATATCTAGCTTATTCTTAAATGCATCTATACTATCTGGTCCCACCAATGCTTCAGGCATCGAGTTCCACAATCTCACTACCCTCTACACAAAGTAGTTCCTCCTAAATTTTCTTTTAGATTCCCTAATCTCTATCATATACTTGTGTCCCACTAGTTCCTCAACTAGTGGGAACGACCGATTTATAGTAACCTTATATAATATAACCTTTTATAATTTTGAATACCTCTATTAGATGTTCAAAATTACGTCTCTTCGCTAGTGAAAAAATACATAGGAACATAAACTGACAAATTGTTTCACATGGGTGCCTGAAGTGCTTTATATTGCTCTCCCCCACATTAAAGGACACGGATTGCTTTCTGCCCATCTGAACATCTTGTAGCTCAGTGATTAGAGCACTCAGCTCGCAAGTGGGAGAGCTGGGTTCTATTCCCGGCAGGGCGAAATGTGGACAAGTTTCCTTATGTCACAAGCCTTTGTTTATCTAGCAGTAAGTATGAACCCAGTTGTTAATTGATTGGCGGATCGCTTTTCCGGGGATAATAATCCCTAAAAAAAACCATAATGATTTGGTCATTCAATCCACGACTGTTTGTGGGACAATTGTGGCACAATTGGCTGCCGCATTTCGCCCACAAATATACAGTCAATTCACTTTACAGTATATTCTGTAAGATGCCTAGAAGACGTGAAAAGCGCTATATCAAATACAAGTGTTCGTATTATTATTATGCAATATGTCTACGTCTTCTCTGGATCCAACTTTGGCAGCAATATTTATGCATCAATGATTGAGTCTGCAGTGCTATTCATGCCGTCTGTATTGTTGTTAATAAATTTTACTCCTGGTTGCTTATCTTACACTATCCTCTGAACCTTTTTCCATTGATGGGTGAGCTTGAAGATGTTTTGCAGTGATTTTGTTTTAACACTGCATCATAAAAATTGAAGGCTTGAAAAGCCATTTAGACTTATCCTGTATGACCTTAAAATTTAAGATCATGCAGAATAGTGGAAAATTCTTACATTCAGTCTTAATTCAGAAGATGATTTTTTTAAAAAGGCCATAATTCTGTGCAACCTTAAATTTAAGAAAAAATAGTTTGTCTGCTAAGAATTTTTTCCTCGTGTCTCAAGAGCACTATTTAGCACTACACATTCCAAGTGTTAAAGGGGTGTAATTTGTGGGCTGGGGTAACAAGTAAGCCATTAACGTGAGTTGTTAATTGCACAATGAAGGGCTCTCTGTACACGTGTGTACACATAATTAACCCAAGCTACAAATGTTACACAGGATTGTTAGCTTTACCTACAAATCAGACCCTTTTGTCATTCAGTGAGTAAGGCTTACAGGACAATGTGGGGCTTAATCTCCCATTTCTAAATGAAACCTCTACACGCCTTGCTTGGAACAAAATTGACAGATTGTTCTTTATCTTTCCTTTTTTTTAAAAAAAACCTTCCAGTTGCGTCAATACCCCCACAGCCTTAATTGACCCATAAGAGTATTGGTCAAGTGGTGGACAGGTAAGAGATCTGTCTAAGAAAGTGATTTTAGCAGTATAGGAGACCATGTGTAGGTCATTCTGGGCCAATGTGAAAGTCAACTGTGAGCTGAAAAAAACATAATTGGATACAACCATTTTGGCTGGTGAAACTTATTTCACCACAGGAATGCAGACGTATACTATGGGATTTATAGACAAATGGCAAAGGAAAGAAGCTGATTGACAATAAATAAGAGAAACCACAAAGTAGTTTCTGCACAATTAGGTGAAATTGACAAGCTTCAGAAAAGCTGCTTGAAACAGAATTTTAAAAAAAATATCTATACCAAAGATATCTTTTTTAACCAAGATATTGTTTTTGGCTCTCAAATATTTTGTGCTGTGCAATTTGACCATTATCAACCTTTCCAAAACTTACATTATTGGAAAGAGTGGAAGCAAAATTATAAAGTGTGTGCCAATGTCTCAATTTATTCCTAAACTGATCCCCTACAGCCTTCCATTCTGTGCACTCTTTCTCTTTTAATGTTTCCAATGATGCACATATGCTTTTAATGGTACATATGAGTGAGCTGTCTTTAAGAAATATTTTATGTGCATTTCAAAGAATAAAACCCAGTAACTTTCATTGCTTCAGTAGCATTTGTTTTTCTATTCATTATATTATCTTAACTTGGTCACTCAATCCACGACTGTTTGTGGGACATTGCTGTGCGCAATTGTCTGTTGTGTTTTGCCCACAAAATACACAGTCAATTCACTTTACAGTATCAAAACACAAAATATTGCAGATGCTGGAAATCTGAAATAAAAACAGAGAGAGCTGGGAAAACTCAGCAGGTCAGGCAGCATCTGCGGAGAAAGGAAAGTGAGTCAACGTTTCGGGTACACAAAACATGTTCTGACAAAAGGTCGTGGACCCGAAATGTTGACTCACTTTCCTTTCTCCATAGATGCTGCCTGACCTGCTGAGGTTTCCCAGCTTTCTCTGTTTTTGTTTCACTTTACAGTGTATTCTGTGAAGAGCTTTGAGACGTCTCGAGACATCTAAGGCGCTATGTCAAATGCAAGGATTATTATTAACCCTAAAAAGTCCAAATAATAATCCTTGCATCTGCTCTAGTGCCTATCAACACCAAAAAATCTCAAAGTTTGCAAGGAAATACTGTCAAATGTACTGACTGTATTTATGTATTTGTGACAAACCACGGAACAGTTATGGGAAAAACATTTATGTTCTCTGCCACATTGGCCTTTAAGCAGTTTATTCAAATGACTGCATAATGCAATTGTTAGCTTTTCCACGAACACTATCACTTTGTTAAACAATGACATTGCCAAACTTTTTTTTAAAAAGAAACTTTGACACAGAAAGCTGGGCAGTTGAAAAAGAACATCTGTGAAATTATGGTCATGAGTATGTGCAGTTCTGAATCTGTATGGAGGAGCCCAAATCTGTATGTGTTTGGCCTGTTTGTCACTTGAATGTAGGTTCTCGTGACCCTGTTGGAATAGCAGTCGTTTACCTTAGCGTGGTCCAACTGGCTGCTATGAATCGTCAGACCCATGGTCTATAACTTTTTTGCAGCATTACTATTAAGAGCAGCTTTCACTTTCTTATCATTTTTGTACTGATAATTATTCATACTGATAATGGATTCCATCCCACCCACGAAACACTATTTCCTCAGACTTATTTGACTTCATATTCCCAGTTGATTTCATACAAGTGGTCTTGAGAAAGTAAGCCCCAGATATGCCAAGGCAGTTGTAAAGGGCAATTTCTGGACAGACACCAGGAAGTATTTCTTTACATAGGGTATATTGTAAGGATGAGATCCATTACATTTGTGATCTCCAAAACATGCTGCGAAACGAAGCTAAGTGCCTAGTAACAAACAAAAGACTAACGTTTCTCAGCCTGCAACCTTTCCAAACTGTATCATAGTAAAACAGCAAATTTAATGCGTGAAAAGCTGCTACATGTCAGTCTTTAAGCAATGGTGTGTTTAGTACCCATTCTTGAAGGAATAGGTGCATCAATTTCTATGTTAATTGTTCTGACATTCTTGACATTTTACCAGGTTTGACAGGTGACAAAGGAGATCGGGGAAGTCCAGGAATTGGCAAACAAGGACCCAGAGGACCATCAGGATCACCAGGTAATGGCTGTTGCCATGACAGTACTATTTGGGCAAGAGACTTAAACAGATCTGACAGGAATACTTCCACCAGACCCGGTTGTCATTTGTAAAGCTTCATTGGCTGTATGGATGGGATGTGACACTAACTCAGATTGTTCTCAGTCCAGACTGCTATCCAGCGACGCTCTCTTCCCCCCGCTACCCCACCCCCACACACACTCATGTGGACTTTAGGTAAGGACAGGATCGGGCATGCTGCAATGGTTCCCTGGGATGGAGCAGCCCTATGGCACTCGCTGTCAAAGCTCACACATTAATAGTGACCACTTGAGTGTGAAATGCTGCAGGGTGCCTGTGGTACAATGCCTCAGTGGAAGGAGAAAGGAATCAAACTGGAACGGGGTGGCAATTGTTGGAGTAAACTAGCAGCAGGAATCTATTTTAAAAGCACATTACCTGTACAGGACCTCAAGGGGAGGGGCGAACTGGTAGCCAAGGATCACCTGGTCTTCAAGGCCGACCAGGTACCTCAGGACGTTCTGGAATCTCTGGTCCAAGAGGTCCCCCTGGTTCACCTGGCTACTGTGATCCATCATCCTGTGCTGGCTACAATCTCGGAGGTAGGTTATTTTTCTGATTGAATCTTGCTGCTTATACAATTATTGTAGTTCTTCTTGTTCTGTAAAGTCAGATGTGAACATGTAAGTTGTGTTCAGTTTGTCCAGCTTCTTGTTGTTTATGCTCAGATTTACTCAGTCTGACCTTCAGATACAATCTGTTCGCAGCAGATTTGTCTGAAGCATTGCGATGTGATTGCTAGTGGTTTGTTCTTGTGTATCTACCATTGTTACAGATGGGGCGTAGTTAAACAATTAAAGTACGCTGCACTTGTAAGTATGGCAACAGCAGAATTGCATGAAATGCTCTGTGGCTTTGCTTTCGATACAGTGTCATCATGATACCTTTGCCTTCTCTCCCCTGAAGTAGTGCTTGCCAATGAATGGGGGCAGTGGGGCTCTAAATGATAATTGGTAATAATCCTTGCATTTGATATAGCACCTTGACATGTCATTGAGATATCTCAAAGTGCTTCACAGAATATATTGTAAAGTGGATTGACTGAATTTAGTGGATGAAAAATTTACAGTCAAGGGCCTTTATGGCTTCACTGCCTCCACACTATAATGATACTGGGTGAATTGTGAACTCCATTGGATACTTATCACTTTGAATTGGCCAGAGGTGCCGCCCTCTCTCCAATACTGTTTTCAGTGGTGATGTCCGAGAAGCTGTGTGTATGCCATTGGACATCCTGATTCGGGATCGCGGTTAGAGAGACACTAGTACTTGGGCAAGCTAAACCCCCCGAGTAGCTGGGTTTAGCTTACCCAGTACTAGCCTCTCTAACCATGATCCGCAATCAGGAATAGCTGGCATGCTGCTGATCAGCATTCAAAGGTTGAGATCTGTAATCTGGAAATCAAACGTGGCTACTCCAACTTTAATATGAGAAAGATATGGGGTGGGCCTCAATCACACAGAGCAGCAATTTTGCTCCGATCCCGGTTATCAATCGCAGTTTTATGAAACTGGAGATGGTAACTAGGAGGGTAACAAGTAGCACAAATGCACCTCCAGGCTGCTTTTTTTCCCATTGATGTTCAATTTTGGCTTCAGCTTGTTTGTAATTTTGTTTAACTGACTGTGCTATGTGTTTCTGTTTGTCCTTTATCTTCCCTTCCACCTCAATCCCACCCATTCTGGCATAATTTGAAGGTAATGTTGCTCACAATGATCATCAGCCACGAGCTACGTACTAACTTGATCTTTCGCATTCTCCTGGCACCTAGGACAGGTGTGAGGTCTGACCAGCTACTTGCTGCATCCTGCCTCATCCAGGCTAAAGGCAATAAACAGTAACCGTCATCATACAGGCACTACCATCATTTCCCTTTTATTTAAACCCAGCTCTGTCAGCATCCAAAGATACTGTATATTTTTGTAACAAATGCTAAAGTAATTGCCTAATTCCCCTTAACTACATTTGGCGTTGAACTAATCGATCTAACTTTGAACTACTTTTATGAGTCAGATCTGTTTTCCGATATCCATCCATTTTATTCATCTGTTTTATGATGAAAGAATTTTTTGCTAATGAAACTCTTCTTTGTATTTAAGTGAAACTGAACATGCCTGGTTGTGAGAATTTGCTGACACAAATGGCTGCCATGTTTGCCTATAAAATCCCAGTCACAACACCTGAGAGTAACTGTTTGCAAAATGCTTTGAGCCGCTGTGACATCATCAGGCGCAACTCTCCTTTTTTTGTGCATTGCTTTTGGCCTTTCGGAGAGACATTGCTCTCCAAATTTCATAATTATACTAATAGGCACTGCCCATGTTCACAAGTAGCTAAGGTTTGTTACTATACACCCAATACTTACCCCAACACACACGCACACAAAATTGTGTCCACTGCAATCAGTCCAAAGTGCTGTGCGAGCACCATTTGAGAAATCTTGACTGAAAATCTTTGAATTCGCACTGAACCCTTCAACCAGTAATTTATATGTAAAAACAAAAATAAGTCTACCTTTGTGTTGTGCCACTTTCTCTCTACATCTGGTGCTGGGTTTTCCTCTGTGGTGTCCGTGTGTGCTGGTCTCTGGAGTTCTGTCAGTCTGTGCTGACATTTATTAATGTAGCGCATTCAAAAATTACACATTGAAATGTACATCAAGAACCAAGCAGCTTTGAATTACAAATAATGTTCTAATATCCTAATCATATTTAATCTTCTGCCTCCCTCTTGTGCTAACCATGAATACTGTTGATGGTGGTGGGTTAAGGTGGATACGGTGATCCAACTGATCAAGACATTCCTGTAGTACAATTACCTCCCAACTCCTACCAAACCTATGACCCCAGCGATCCTTATGAGGAATATGATCCATACGTAGTTCAGCATCCCTACCCAAACCCATACTCCCAACCCACCTACCCAGAACCTCGACCCGTCCAACCAGATGACACCTTAATGGAAGAGTCCGAGGCCATCGAAGTCCGCTCGCCTGGAATCAGCCGGTTCACAAGGGATTTGTCCAAAGGGAGCAGCACACCATGATACCAGCAGAGAAGACTTACAGAGGAGGCTTGGCCATAGTCTGGAATGTTACCGGCAGCAGTTTTCCCCTGAGTGAATGGGTCATGTAGAGATGCAATGATGGATACCAGTTTGGTAGATTAAATGGGATTTTTATTAACGAAACTCTTATTAGTTAAAGGGAAGTCGAGCATGAGAGTGTTGGACATGAATTATCTGACGTAGCTGAATAATGTTTTTTTTGGTACCATTCCATAATTGTATTAAAAAAGATGTTGAGGTCAAATACTTCAAAAACAAAATAGTGATTGGTCATTTCCAAACACTGCTCCTGTTTGAGATCTATGGATGGGTGCAACAATATCAGCTTTGAGGGCTTTGTTGCGTTATATTGAACATAACATGCATTTTCCTTTGTGTAACAGTCCTATTTGTGTTAAATTAATATAAATGAGAATATTGCAAAGAGGAATCATCGTTTATGTTCCACAAAAGCAGATAACTTGGTTAAAGAATAAATGGTTGTGTGCTTAAAATGATTCATAACCACTGGGCTGAGTTTCTGTTTCTAGGCAGCCTGTCAAAATTCTGTATTAGGATTATAAGTCTGACACAGCAATGGAGAGATGTAAATTTATGTATGGGAATCTTTATCAAGATGAAATGATGCATTTTCTACTTCAAAAGAGAAGCCATTAATGAAGACTTGAAGGTTTTCTATGTTGTACCCATTCCAATAAATTGGTTTTCTAGTGAACCTCGCAGATAATGTATTTGGAATACATAATCTTGTTCAGGTTTATACGACAATAAAAGCAGATGCGTACTAGTTTTAACAAATGTCTGCATCTATTTCTTGCTTTTGAATTTTACCTTCACAGTTCACATCCTGAAAGAGTGTCCCAGCAATCCAAACTCCACATTACTTTCCTACTGTACATTGGTTTCTTGTAAAGGTACAGCAAATCAGAGGAACTACAGCAGAGGAGACCCATTCTGCTGTGATGATCTGGTAAAGTAAGTTGCTGCTCGAAATGAGCAGACCCTCAAGAGTGCAGCAAGGATCATTGCCGGATGAGTGACGATAACAATTTACGGTTATATAACACCTTTCACGTCAGGAGGATGTCTCACATCACACAGCTGATTAAGCACCCGGGGTTGGGGGTTAAGATGACCAAAATACACTTAAGTTCACACGAGAAAGCTCAGAGCTGAACTTGTTCTCATTTAAAAAAGAGAGATGGTGGGAGGAAATATATGGAACAGATTGCAAACAATAGCATCTGGTGCTGTGTTGATCTCTTTCAAAGAAACAAATGGATAAGTGTCTACTTCACAAGATTCAGTGCATAAATACTCTCCAGGACACAGTGGTCTCTGTTGCTGGGGTGAGTTGGGGAAATGTTGGCTGTGGAGGACAACAGGCCAGACCTCAATCATGAAGATGGAAGAATATTCTGGAGTTTTTGTTTGATTGCCTTAGGGAGTTAGAGTTTGTACGTAGATCTCTCCTACAGGACTCAGTGAGATAAACTTCACGACAGAGTAATTCTAATGCAGTTTCTGGAGGAAATGGGATCCAACAGTCAAATGGACATTTCTAATTTCATGCTTATATTCTTAATTGCTTTTTCTCAAACGCACTCTCAAACATTTTTCTCCCCTTCCCCCGCCAGCCAGACACCATCTCAGCTGTGTGATGTGCTTTGAGGCATCCTCCCAATCTGAAAGGCGCTACTTAAATGTAAATTGTTATTTGTTGTTGCCCAAGCAAGTTTCAAGATGAGTGATCAGGAACAGAATCCTTGACTATTTTTCTCTACAAACTGGAACTTTAAATGTTGTTCTGAGTAAATCAATACTACTGAGTTTGAAGCAGGGACACTGCACGCCTATGTGGTTCGAGAGTTTGCTGAAGACATTCACTGAGATAAGAGGATGGATTACAAAACATCCAATTGCAGCTATTCATCAGAAAACCAAACTAAAGTCTTCTTTGACCCAAAATATCCACCATCTGCAATTTGTTTTATAAATGGACATGTTTTGGCTGGCAAAAATAGTCTAAATGCCATTCTCAAATTTCATAAGCATCTGTCAGCTGTTATTTATTGTATGTAAAATGGACAGTATTACTGTGCAAAATGTTAGCTCTGGAATATTGCAGTTGACTGACGATCTAGCAATGGCTGAAGATTGAATCAAATAAAAGTGTATTTTTGCTATAATTTCACAATGTGTACAGCAGCTGTCCTCATAAACCACCTTAAAGTGAGACAAATTGTCACCTATTACAATTCTATTTTACTCATGAGGCAAGCTGACTTTTGACCTATTATGTCATCTTCTGAGCAACCCTTATGTTCCCTGAGCTTTACAAGAACAAACAAAATGACATGTGTCTTAACCCAAGACATTTGAGGTTTGCCCAAACACAGATTCGATGAGTCTGAGGGAGAGCCCGGGGAGGTTGGGTTCAGACCCGCAGGAGAGAAGATGTTGACGGAGCCATAGAGTATGGCTTTCATCTTTCCGACATTCAGCTGCAGGAAATTTGGCTCATCCTGGCCTTGATGTCCATTAAACAAGCTGACACGACATTAGCGGACTGGGAGTCGCAGCTGGAGATGATTTGGGTGTCATCCTCATACATATAGTTGCTAGCTTTAATGGATTATGTCAGCTTTATTCAAGTGAATAATTTCCTTTTAATCATACCTTCATTTTCTCTTAATAATCTGCTTTTATATAACTGCACATCTATTCTTCATTCTTCACAAAAGTGAAGAGCAGCTGATGTGAGCACTAGCTCTCAGTGTAGCTTATGGTAAACTTGAAGACCTACCTCATCAAACTTGCCAATGGTCATCTCCCACCTCCCCCTTCTTGGTGTCCATCCCGTCACTGTGTAGTGCTCCAAGAAGCTATCCTGCATGAAGGGTGCAAGTTGTTATCTATGTGTAGGCTTGAAGCCTAACTGGTAAGAGTAATATTTGCCAAGTTTTATTCATAAATTCCAATTGTTGCAGTATGGTGTATGCTTGGAATCTTTCTCCGAAAGAGTTGACACTTGACTTTCTCAGTTCATGTCACTCAGCAATGAATGAATGGTGTTACAGACAAACCAGTATCGGTGTTTTCCAAGTTTAATCTGAAAACTCATTATTCCAATAGTTTTTTCCATTCTAAATTTTTTGTTAGGGTGGCTGACGATGATTATTCATACATGACATTCAATGGTGAAAAGGCTTTAACTCGCACCACTGTAATAATACTGTCATTCTTCACACAAAAGTCCACTGTTTCCAGTACAGCTTTCTTTATCCACAAATGCACATTGAATTTATTGTGAGCAGAAAATCCATTAAAATTATTGTGATAAGTTATTGACCAATGAAATGTTTGTAGTTTATAGCATGAACATGCAAATTATTGGCTACTGTGCACTATTCCTCCACTAATAGGAAATACATTCCATTAATTAAGTAACTGGGTTAGTTAAAACAATATCTTAGTTTTAAATCCATTAAATTTCTACTCTATGGGATCAGAAACAACAGAAAAGGTGCTGACATATTCATACTCGACCATTGTGCCAAACCTGGGAGCAGTGAATCACCGCCTTCCTTGTTTCAATAGTCCAGAATGAAATAGGTTAGCAATTTAAGTGAAGCAAGGTTTAAACACTGGCCCAGCACTGCATTGGAGTGTCATTTTACACAATATAAGTCCCAACGTGGGCTTGAACCCACAACCTTCTGACACAAGAGAGACACCAACTGAGCCAGTCTGACACAATGCAGGTATTGGGAAACTAGGGTTTGGCAGGTGTGAGATATAATTCTCCACTCTGATCAAGAGGAAAGTACACAACAAACTAACAACTTGCACCCTTCACGCAGGATAGCTTCTTGGAGCACTACACAGTGACAGGATGGACATCAAGAAAGGGGAGGTGGGAGATGACCATTGGCAAGTTTGATGAGGTAGGTCTTCAAGTTTACCATAAGCTACACTGAGAGCAAGTGCTCACATCAGCTGCTCTTAACTTTCGTGAAGAATGAGTGATTAGATGTGCAGTTATATATAAAGCGAATGGTAAAGTATTGCAATAAATCTTCAAAATTCGAGTGAAGTTGAAGGGCTTTTCCTGACATTTAACTAATGGCTTGGATTATGATAAAAGTAGCCTTCTTCGGACCATTTAATCAGCCAGTTTGTAGATTACTATTGTTTTCAGATATTGGTGAAATATCTGAAAATATCTTTTCAGCCAAAATGTTAAAGAAACAAAAAAAACTGCATATCTGTATGCTTATGAACTCTTAATCATCAATCTTTGAAACATTAGAGAAGTAAATCTATGAAATTGGTAGTCTTAAATTACAAGCCAATTACTTTCTGAAGTCTTCTAGAGACCTCAGCTCGGTTTTGTTCTTTTTAACATTCTCTTTATGCCTTTTCATGGCATAGCTGTATGCAAATGGGCTGCAATGTTTGCTTTCAAGGAATATACTCTACACTTCATAGAAACTTTGGGTCTTCCTCAAAGCTATGTTAAATGCAAGGGTTATTTATTATTATGAAACAGGCTGTTTTGGAAAGGACAAGCAAAGCTGAACCCCTCTATAGCAGCATTCCAAAAACATGAAATACAGGGACTCAGTGCACTTTGTCAATTAATGTAAGCTGTCTTAATATGACTGTTGTGAGGCTACGATTGCAACTCACGGCTTTTCACTGGGAGTTCAGCTGACAACCTCTGAAGGTACCAGTTTCCTGAATAGACGCATGATTGAAATGATTTTCAAAAGAATGTACTGACACTATTTTCCCATAATTGAATTTAAATAATACTTGACCACTTTTGTTAGATGAAGTCTAATTTCAATGACTTGACAATTTATGAACAGCATTGCTAATTTAACATTGCAGATTTAAAGAATACTATTATTGCTTTGGAAAGTTGTCAGGATTTAATCAGTCTACATAATGCTAGCTTGGTAAATTTCCAATAAAGCTTTACATATGCGCTTGGATACAGTCTACCAGATTGGAATAATGTCATGAAAGAGTAATTTGTTTCTACACAGCTAAATCACATAGAACTTGACGAAACAATCACTTACAATTTGGTAATGTACTCCACCTTTGTGAAGTGCAAAATCTGCAATCTGTATTCAAATCCAACCCAGACACACACACAGTTACCTCTCAGATCTGGTAAGGTCAGAAATGAAATGAGTTCTTAATCAACTGCCAATAACTGCATTTGGAAGCAATGTTGAGAGGTAAAACACAAAGATTTTGTATTGGAAGAAGTTCCACTGGTATTGAAAGGACAGCTGTTTTGAGATGTTTAAGGTTTGTGGTATGTTATGACAATGCTTGATGTCCTTGCATTCAAGCAGAACTAATTCATGTCATACTTGACAATTTCTCAACTGTCAACTTTTAAATTTTGCTGTGTAACATTGGAGTATATAGTACATAGTTTCTTTGTGCAAAATGTGCAGGTTGGGTTTTTCCACATATAACACATATAGAGGGAATTACAGGTCATCCCAGTAATGTGATTAATAATAATAAACCCTGCATTTAAATTAGTACCTTTCATGTCAGGAGGACATCCCAAAGCGCTTCATGGTTTTTACTGTAAAGTGTAATGTGTATTTTGTAGAATGCAGCATTCAATTTTCCACTCATCAACATCCACAAACAGCCGTAAAGTGAATGAACAATTTTATCTGGAGGATTGTTAGCCGGATTCCAGGAGAAATTACTTCCTGTTCTCAATAGTTCAAGGGATCTTTAATATCCACGGTAACAGGCAGACTACTTGGGACTTTGATTTAATGTCTCATCCGGAGGATGGCTCCTTTGATAATGTATTGCTATCCTCAGCACTGTGTTGGAATGCCAGCCTAGACCATGAGCTTAAAGTCCCATCATGGGGCTAACAACCAGTGAAAGAAATGACAGGTACTTGTGGAATCCTTTGTAACAGTGTGTGGGGATTGGAGAGATATCTGATTGCACAAAAGGGTAGGTTTTTAGAAAGGTTTTGAAATCAGAAAGAGAGGGAACTGGGCAGAAGGATTAAGGGAGAATTGTAGAAAGCAAAGACAAAGTTGCTTAAAACCTTGCCCAATGTTAGTGGGACAGAGTTGGGAGACGAACAGGTGAGAGTTAGCAGAGTGCCGGGAGTGGATAGGAGAGTAGTAGTGCAGTAGATCACAGATCTATTGGTTATTCTACAATTGTTGAGAACAGTGAATTCTATGATGACTATTGAGTCCAAAACAGATTTCAGACATGAATATTTAACGAAGATATCCTTATGTGGTTAGAACACTCGCCTTGCAAGCGAGAGACCTGGGTTTGATTATGGTCAGGGCGAAACCTTGGGCAAGTTTCCTTACTCCACACGCCTGATAATAATCCCTCATTTGGTCACTTCAATCCATGACTGTTTGTGGGACACTGCTGTGCGCAATTGACTGCCGCGTTTTGCCCACAAATATACAGTCAATTAACTTTACAGTAGATTCTGTGAAGCGCTTTGAGATGTCTAGATGTGAAAAGCGCTATATCAAATGCAAGGATAATAATAATATCCAGAAGTGCAACATGCCCTTCGATGCAATCTACTGTTGGGAGTGGAGTTTCAGCAGGTTGGTGAAACATACTTCTAGTTTACCAGAAGTGCCCCTTGGATTCCTTAAACAATTATCCTGTTTAAAATCACAACTTTTTTTAAGGCTCCATAATCATCTAAATTCACTTCAAGTTTGTATTCCCGAAGCATGTAAGAGCTCCATATTTTGTTTTGGTTGGCCGGGTGTCTGACACGTGCGGAAACCCATCACCATGCTTAACAGTATCCAAACCAAGCTGAGATTTCCATGCATCCCACCTACACATGGAAATCCCATAAGCAGATTGTATGGAATGGAATGCGCACTCTCTCCCTGGAGGGACCCATCCTGCTTACCTAATTCCAGAAAGTATTAGATGCAGGTTGGTAAGAGCCAAGGCTTGGGGACCCCAGAGTGTGCGTTGGGGCACTGCTGGAGTCTAACCAGCTAAAACTTTCCTGGCAAGCTTTCCTGCTGTTTGTCCAGCTAGGATCACCGTACCCGTTAGGGCTTTGGCTTGCGGGGTTAACATGAGCTGAGTTGGATGACCCTTGCCCGTGTGACTAATCTCCCCTTCCAGCTCCTGCCAATGAGCACAGGCTGGCTGTGCTGTCACCAGCTGTGCTCTAGAATACTGTAGTCCAGCCTGACTCAGGAACCAGATTACCGATTGATACTAACCTTAATCTGAAAGTCATGCAAAGAGATAAATCACAAACTTAGACCATTCAAGGGCCATATAAAAGTTATTGGATGTCATGCGAGAATGTGACTTAATTTATAGAGATTCACAATGTTAACAAGCACTGAACCATTAAACATGTCCAGGAGCCTGTAGTTATGCAGAATGTGAAGAATTGGCTTGTAGAAGTTAGTTGGTTGACCACCTAATAATAATAATAATCCTTGCATTTGATATAGCGCCTTTCACGTCGGGAGGACGTCCCAAAGCGCTTCACTGAACACACTGTAAAGTGAATTGACTGTATATTTGTGGGTGAACGCGGCAGCCAATTGCGGCAGCAATGTCCCACAAACAGTTGTAGATTGAAAATGACCAATTTATTATTGTTTTTTGTTTTGGAGGGATTATTATTAGGCGTGTGGAGTAAGGAAACTTGCCCAAGGTTTCGTCCTGCCTGGAAATGAACTCAGGTCTCTCGTTTGCAAAGCAAATGCTCTAACCACTGAGCTACAGGAGTTGATATTCAAAGGCAAACTGATTTGTTTGCATCAATTCATATATTCTGGGAATCTAATGCATTTTGTTTGCTGTAAAAAGTAATAATTAGTATCACTGATCAGATTTTATATTCAAACATGAATGCATGAGTAAACTGAATACAAAATATCATCTGTTTTGTCTCTGTAGCTTATCATGCACACACACATATGATTTCCTGTACTAAATTATGCCCATATGCTACTGAACCAGAGATCCCTATAAATTTTTCACACTTGATGGATACATCCTGTAAAAATATAATAGCCTGAATAAATAAGAATTTCATAGCCCACAGTGAACAAGTCTGCCAAATCAGGTATATAAATACTCAGTTTGGTTACTTTTGCTACAAAATTAATATGATTTTAATAATAAAATTCTTCATACATATTGCAAAGAACTGATACTATTCATAGATTCGTGGAAAGTACAGTGCAGAAACAGGCCATTTGGCCCATTCAGCGCGGTCAGTGTTTACAGTCCACACAATTTCCCATCCTAGATCTAATCCCTAGTCCCATATCCCAGCTTTTCCCCATATCCCTCAACTTTAGTGTCCAGTCTTTTTTTTGAATGTGCACATGGTTGCCCCCCCAACAACTGATTATGGTTTGTTTTCCATATAGGTTTTCTTTTTAAAAAACTGATGAAAATCCCCCCTCTGAAGCTCCTTTTGCAGCAATGGAAATAACCTTCAAATGCATAATTATGCAACATGATTACTTCTAAAGGTGTCAACAAATAACAATTCAAAATAGAAACAGAATCGAGAAGAATGACTTAAGATTCTTTTAAAACGATGGCATAAGTTCATCTTTTTAAAATGTTGGCATAATTTGACAGTTCTTTCAAAGTCTACATAATTTGGTCAGTGAGTGGGAAGGTCGATTTTGATGATTTCTATCTCATAAGGACACAGTTTAAATTTACTACAGGTTCCGGAGTTAGGCTAAACACCAGGACGTATTGGGCCTCTACGCCCCAAACCTCTGGAACTCCTTGCCACAATCCCTCCGCCTTGCCCAAACTTTATCCATCTTCAGATCACACTTGAAAGCCTACCCTCGACCATGCCTACAATCTCCTCCCTTTCTCCCTACCTCAGTGTCAAACTACATCAATGCCCAGCGCTCCAAGATGTTACTCCACTTGAAGGGCACTATATAAATGCAAGTTGTTGTTATTGTAATATATTTTTTCAGTATCGCAATGATTGAGCTGAAAATTTATAGAACCAGTTAGCTCAGAAACACTAGTGTTTCATAATTATTTCATGTCCGAAGTCTAAATTGAAAATAGTTTCCACAGAACCTCAATGTTTCAACAACTTCTGATCTTGATTTGGCAGTAACTATTTGTTAAATGCTTCCAATTGATTAAAATTGACATCAATAATTGGTAATAGGAAGAAAGGACTTTTATTTCTGACACGCCATCATTGTGAAATATAAATAATGTTCAGATTCAGCCTCTCCAAACTTGGAATGTAGTTTTACTTCATTCTGTAATCATCAGGTCTGCAAAGAAAAGAAAAAAATAAGATGGAATGTCAAGCAGTACTGAAAATACATCTGTTTCACATTAATATGATGATGACATTAAATAATGGTTTAACATATTCAAAAAGGACAGTAATTTTGGCACGGTTTCCTCAGTATCAAGTTCTGTTAATATATGTACATTTTAAAGTTACAATTCTTAAATTAGAAAAAGCTGATTTTATATACACGTTGTTACACACTTTTTCTCCAGCAAAGACCAGCTTCCAGTTAATGGGTTCAAATTGTCCCACATCCACTTGGCCCATCCAGGTCCATTTCACTAAGTGACTGGAATGTGAAGGATTCTCCCTCCTTGAAATTACAATTTTCTTCATTCAGAAGCTGAATTTCAAAGGTTTTATTTTCTGCTCAGACAGGTATGCATGAGATTCTGACTGAAGGCATCAGTGATCAATATGTGACCTTAATGAACCTCCATCAAACCACTCACTAGATGATTCATTCCAGAGAACAGTGTCCTGACATTTGTCGCGGTGACCGCTACTATATAAATTACTGCACAATAATCCTCAGACTCAGTGACTATGAAGATGAACTTTGCCATTTGTCTGGAATGTATCTTAATATATCCCAGTGCAAACAAATATGGACAATGTGCTTGACTTTGTGGAGGAAGGAGATCTAATGTGTGGGTATAGATACAGGGCCACTTAGCTTCAGTACTGCAGCATCTACAAGTTGCAACTGTGGAGCAAATTACATCTTATTAGTAAATGAGAACATCTTATGAGTACATCTTATTTTTAAATGTAACTAAAAATAAAAGTAAATAGAAACAAAGGAACATTACATTGGTACCTGCACAATAAATAATTTGAATATAAAACTTTAGGCACTTTGGAAATCAAATTCTAGTTTTGCAGCAAATGCATGAAAAATTTCAAACGTGAAACTATTTACCTTGGTCTATACGCTATACCTTCTCTAATAAACTACAATCTGTGTGCAGTAAATACAGTATGTGAGCATTACTTATTGTCACATCAATCAGCAACAATAACAATTTGAGTGTTAGGTAACACAGTTTATAATAGATATTAAAAAAGAGTTTAATGGAAAATGCTATAGTGAATTGGACAGCATTATAATGGCACAATATTAATCAATTCAGGTTTTAAATACCAGAGTTTTTAAAAGTACCTATTCAAGAATCATTTCTGTTTCTATTTGGATTCCAAATATTGGGATTTCTCACATAGTTTCCAGTGAGCTCATTTAAATTTTACCTAGAACTTGTCATTTTACGTATTTAGTAGAGAAAGATCCCACCACTGCATTTAGCTTCATTTCTTCAGGTCTCAACTCAACCTTTTTTTTGTACAGCTCACCAATAGTTTGCGTTATTGGAAATATAGATCCACCTGCCAACATTTGGCATTCTATTGAAGTTAGAGCAGATTTAGACAATCAATGATAGAAATCCAGGTAGATGTGTGCTCTGTTCATAAAAACACTCAAAGGAGAAGGGCATTTTCAATGTAAAGTACTCTCAAATACAGTTATGTTAAAGAAAAATGATATCCACAATATGTTTTGTTTAAAAAAAGTAAGAATCTGTCTATTTTCTCCCCATCAGTCAAAAAGCACACAAGACCATGGTTCTTCTGTGGTCTTGGGGATGAGTAACATTCTCCCAGGCCTTCGTAAATGGCATTCTTCCGCTAGATTTAAGTAGGTGTGCAACAATAGCCTGTGATAATTCTTCCTAGTCTCTACTGCGTATTACCCACATCAATGAAGCAAAGATAGAAAGAACATACATTATTAATATTACTTATCACACTGAGACATCTCAAAGCATTACTTACTGTATTGTCAAGTGCAGTGATTACGTATTTGTAGGGAAACATTAAAGCAAAGAAAGAAGAAAGAATTTGCATTTTTATAATGTCTTATCACATCGACACATCTCAAAGTAATACTTACAGTACTGTCAAGGGCAAACACAATAACCATTTGTGGGCATCGACAACATGGCCAAGATTACATTGCTGTCAGCAAATTGGATGCTGCATTTGCCTAAAAAAATGTGGTGGAGCCTGACTCTGAGCTGGTGGGGGAGGTGGCTGTAAGCACGGTCGAAGAGGAAAGTTTTCAGGCGGGAATTGAAAAGGGGGAGAGGGGCAAGGTGGAGGGATTGAGGGAGAGTGTTCCAGAGTTTGGGGGCGTAGTGGTTGAAAGTGCGACCTCCAATGGTAGGGCAGCGGGTGCGAAGGACGAGCAAGAGGTCGGTGCCAGTTGAGTGGAGGCGCCAGGTGGTGGAATGTAATTGGTGGAATTACATTCCTCAAAATTCATATAAACATAAATATCACAGCACAGAAAAAGGCTATTTGGCTCAATGTGCCTGTGCCAGCTATCTGAGCTTGGAAAGATAGGGAAGTATTGGGAGTGAATAATAATAATAATAATAATCCTTGCATTTGATATAGCGCTTTTCACGTCAGGAGGACTCCCAAAGCGCTTCACAGAATATACTGTAAAGTGAATTGACTGTATATTTGTGGGCGAACGCAGCAGCCAATTGCGCACAGCAATGTCCCACAAACAGTTGTAGATTGAAAATGACCAATTTATTATTGTCGTTGGTTTTTGGAGGGATTATTATTGGACGTGTGGAGTAAGGAAACTTGCCCAAGGTTTCGCCCTGCCTGGAATTGAACTCAGGTCTCTCGCTTGCAAAGCGAGTGCTCTAACCACTGAGCTACAGGACTCCACGAATGGATTTGAACATGAGTGTGAGGATCTTGAAGTTGATCCGTTTGTTGATGGGGAGCCAGAGTCTGGCCAGAACTGGTGAGATGTGGGTATGGAGTTTGGTCCGGGTCAGTATGCAGGTGGCAGATTTCTGAATGACCTGGATCTTTGAATAGTGGAGCAGGGGAGACCGGTGGAGAGTCAGTTTGAGTAATCCAGGCGGGAGGTGACAAACGCATGTACGAGGATTTCGGCTGCATTTGGGGTAAGGTACGGTCAGAGGCGGGCAATGTGGTGGAGGTGGAAGGCGGCGGTCCTGGTCAGGGACTGGATTTGTGGGAGGAAGGACAGCTGGGGGTTGAATCGGATGCCTAGATTGCACACTGGCTCGATGAGTGTGAGGGAGAACCCAGGGAGGTTGAGGAGGTCAGATCTGCAGGAGTGAAGACATTGATGGGAGCCAAGGAGTACTGTCTTGTCCGTGTTTAGCTGCAGAAAGTTTGCATTCATCCAGGCTCTGATGTCTGCCAGACAAACTGATAGAGCATTGGTGGACCTGGAGTTGGTACTGGAGGAGGCAAAGTAGATTTGTGTGTCATCCGCATACATGTGGAAGTTTACCACGTGTCTGCAGATGACATCACCAAGAGGGAGCATGTAGATGAGGAAAAGAAGAGGGGCAAGGATGGAGCTCTGAGGTACCCAGCAGGTGACCGAGCAGGAGGAGAAACCACTTGCTGAGATGAAATGGAGGCGGTTGGTTAAGTAGGACTTGAACCATGCGAGTGCGGTCCTACTAAGGTTGATAAGGGAGGAGAGGCAGTGGATTCCCAAAGGAATTTTGTTCCTTCAAGAAAGACTGAAGGAACAAAATTTCACATTATTGAGATATAAAAAAGTTTTAAAAAGATCAAATCTATGATGCGCATGACAAGAGAAAAGAGTTGCATGTTAGGAATATGAAGGATTTCATTTAATTTCACACTGCGCTGTTGGAATTAAATTATTCAACCAAAATCTGCTGTTAAATTCAATAGGAGATAATCTGCCGTAGAAACAAGATTTTTGAAAGAAAATAAAATTGTACTGAGGCCATAAGTAATGAAAACAGATTACATTAAGATTGTTCTGATAGTAATTGATTTTTCAAATGTCATTGCTATTGTGAACGGATGTTTCAAAAGTGCTAAATAAAAGGAACTACCAGCGAGCAGCAGAGACGAGGATATTTAGTCTTCAGGTTTGCAATTTATTATTTTATGTAGAAAGATCATTTATAGTAAGGAATTAATTTGTTTCAAATAAAACTGTATTATGGATGAACTATCTATATCTAAACATTTATATACCAATTGCTCGCATTTTATTGAAACAAAAGGAGCACAGAATATGTAATCAAAACACTGAGACTTCTTTAGGAAACTTCTCTTTATTAAATCTTGCTAACACACACTCGGTTATTTTGTGATCGAACTGGAGAAGTCAGTTAAATAGTAGCATTGCCAAAACACAAATTAAAAACAGTTTTTGTTTTGTTTTTCTCTTCTTGTATTCATTAACTGTTGCTGACACTACATTTTTCCTTACTTTCTCCCTTTACCGCACTAGACTCAATTTCTCTCAGAACACGTAACATTTTCCAACCAAAAACTATGTGTCGTCCAACATAGTTCTCTTTACTGCAAAACCACTTGAGAGTTGCGGCTGCATTTTTCCACCAGAAACTGTTGCATAGAACAATCAAAATCTGGCAATAATAAGGCAATAATCTAACTGAAAGTGTTGGAGCGTGACCCAAATGGTTTACAATTGTCTCTGAATGTCGAGTTGAGATTGACGCTCTGAAATCGGTTATTTTACAATATATATATTTTGGAATCCATGATGCTTTAACCAGTATTTAAATTTATTGGATTTTGTGGTGTTTAGCCATATTTGTTACAGCAAACTATTTGTTTATTTCCGGACTATACTTCAAACATTAAATGAAGTTTGCCACCAGCTGCTTAGGGGACAGATTATTTGTGATCTCTTAGGAGTGAAATTCATCAAATACTCTCTCTTTCTCTGATCTAGATTTGAACCCCAGGTTTGAGATCTTGAAATGCAACATCAGTAAATCTTTGGCAGATGTTACTTTAAATACAGCTTTATTTGGATGCTCGTCGGCTGTTTTTCTTTATGTAACACCCTTATCCTATCATAGTGCAGCCTCATTACAGCACCTTTCTATTATGTGTTGGCATTCACACACTCTA